CCTCCTTTGTTGAGACTACATCAGCCACACTCTCCTTTTGTTCCCTGTGCCCGCAGTCCCCCCAGTGTGGCCTCTTGGTCCCACTTTCCTAACCCTTAACCATGCAAGGTCCTACTCCTCCGGCTGCCTCCATCAGACGCAGAGCCCCTCAGATACCCTGTCAGACCTGTCCCTGGGACTCCGGTGCTCACAGAAGGCTCGGCAGACAGAAGGGGCTGCTGAGATGTGCGTGTCACAGAAATGACCCAGCGAGCCTTGTTGAACAAGTTAGGTGCCTCCAATGTGCTGTACTCTGTGACTACAGTGGAGGACAAGAAGCCTCCCCTGCCCTCACGGAGCTCCCATCAGGGACAACAGATGTCCGAGTGACTGGACTGTCCCATCTGGAAGTGTGATCCAACAGTGGGGCAGACTCCCTGTGGGGGGTGACAGGATAGGGTAGGCCTCAGGAAATGAGTCTGTCGAAGCAGGCCATGCTGTCTCAAGTTTCATTTTGGAATCATTTTCAAAGAAATGAAAAGAACGTTCTTATCTCATTTCCAAGGCTTCCCACCCCTTCTCCTGCCAGTTTTGGAAACCTTGTTTTCCAGCTGTAGGAAAGAGCGGAGGGCCCCGTTCTTGGGACTTGAGCATATGCATTTCAATCTCCAGGAAGACTTAATACTACTTTGACCACTGGGCCTTGACCTGGGAGTCTGTGATTCAGGTTTGGACTGGGGCCAAAAACGTGCATTCGTACCCAATTCCCAGATGCTTCTGGCTCTGCTAATCCCAGGGGCCACGCTGAGCCCCACCTGTAAGCAGTCTTGGGTTTGAATCAAGGCTTTGCCCTGGCCTCGGCAGGTGAGGTCGGGTGCTTCCCAGAGGTTTAGCTACACTCCACATAAAATGACAGTTGTATCTGGGATAAGGGAATCTCTAAGCCCTTCTGGACCACGGGTTCTGGGGTCTGCAGACAGGGCTCTTCGAGCCACAGCAGAGGAGCAACACCTGGGACAGGGGCCAGGGAGAGGCCCAACTGCATGGGCAATGATGACCTGGAAAGCCTGGAAACTTATAGCAAAGCTTTCAAATTAAATACAATTCTGGCTCTGAACACAAGTGCCTATGATTTGTTCTTTGTCCTCCGGGAGAAGGGCAGCAAACCTCTGGTTTATTCAAGATCCCGGGGTGGGAGGACCAAGCTCAGAAAGGAAGAACTCTAAACCAAAGGCCAGGAGATACACATTCCAGATTCGGCAGGTATAAATATGTCCTAATATGTCCCAGGTATCGCATGGAGGCATACCTACACTAAAAAAAAAAAAAAAAAAAAAAAAAAAAATAGCCATTGTGTGTCTGAAATTGAAATTTATCTGCATGGCCCTGTATAGGTACTTGCTAAATCTGGCTAACTATCTCTCACTCCCTCCAAGACAGGTGCTGTCGTGGTCTCTCGCAAGAATCTTGGGGCGCCTGGGTGGCTCAGTCGTTAAGTGTCTGCCTTCAGCTCAGGTCATGATCCCAGGGTCCTGGGATTGAGCCCCACATAGGGCTCTCTCCTTGGCGGAAAGCCTGCTTCTCCCTCTCCCACTTCTCCTGCTTTGTGTTCCCTCTCTCACTGTCTCTCTCTGTCAAATAAATAAAATCTTAAAAAAAAAAAAAAAAGAATCTCATAGGTAAGAAACGCTCATGTTGAGGCACTGTTCACAGGTGTCTCCAGATGGAAACAACCCAAAAGTCCATCAGTGCGTGAATGGTTGGTTAATCAAAATTGGTACTGTAAGGGCCTACTTAGCCAGAGCGAGCCATTTTGTTGTTTATGCAGTAAACTTAGATTGAACCTGCCCCTTCCCCGCAAGAGGAAAGCGCTTAGAAACAGAACTGGTGAAATACGGCCAAATAGCCCCAATAACGGAGCCCAGATACAAGGACGTGTCCGGCCAGATGGAGACGTCCTATCAGTGAAAGCACCTCCCTAACCACCCAAGAATGTGGGCCCTGCCTTTTGGGCGCCAGTTCTGACCAGAGTGATAGGCTAGTTCAAATAACTACTATAGGGTGAATTGTAATTCAATCGGCCACCTGTGTGTGGCCAGGCTCGACCACATGGCCTTTACTCTATAAAAGTTAGTCTGTGAGGCTGGGAGGGGTCGCCTCTTTGCGAGAGACGGCCCTGGCCAGTCAGTTTGATTCCCGATGCTTGGCGCGAAATAAAGCTTTGCTTGGCCTTCGCTTTGTATCAGTCTCGTCCTTTTGTCTATGGACCCTTTCAGTACCACCATATGGTGGAATATTAGTGAGTCATAAAAAAGGGATGAAGGGTCCTCTGTTGTGAGCTTTTGGGGTGGTGGTGGGGAGAAGACGCGGAGTTGGCTGAACTTCCCGGCTGCAAAACAGGATTCCGTCAATCTGAAATAGGATTATTTTTATGTGAGATAGCCGCAGTAGGCAAAGTCGGAAGGCAGGGTCGTGGTTTTCCAGGGGCGTGGGCAGAGGGGAACAAACAGTGACTGCTTCACAGGTATTTCCATTGGGGGTGATGAGAATGTTCTGGAGCTAGACGGTTGCACAGGTTGTACAGGGTGAATATATTTCGTGTCATGAATGGTGTCTTCTGTATATGTTACTACACTTTAAAAAAAAAGGAATGGCTCCTGTTAACCTCGGTATACCTCCTCCCTGTGTGTCACGGGTGGCATTGTGTCCCCCAAAAGCCACGTCGAAGGCCTAAGCTTATTACCTGTGAACGTGGCCTTACATGGGAGTAGGGTCTTTGCAGACGTAATCGAGCCAAGATGGGCTCATTAGGGTGGATCTCATCCAGCGGGACTAGTGTCCTTATAAAAAGAGGGGAACACGGAGCCGCACCGGGAGAAGCCTGGGGCTGCCAGAAGCTGGCCAAGGTGAGGGACCTCTCCGAGAAGCATCAGAGGGACCATGGAGCTGCCACCACTTGGATTTCAGACTTCCAGCCTCCCGAACTAGGAGAAAATGCATTTCTGCTGTTTTAAACCTCTAGGTTTGTGGTACGGTTATAGCAACTCTAAGAAACAGATGCGCCATGGAACCTAGACCCACTCACTTTTAGCGTTCATCTCCCCGCCCCACCCCATGGTGCCAGTACCTCCCCCTACCCACCTCCTTTGGGGGAAGCAGCATCCTCTGGGCATCGTTTCTCTCCAGACCGGCCAGAAACCTCCCTCTGGGCTTTTCAAAGAAGCACACAGCCACAGATGCATCATTCCATTGCCTCAGTTTTAAATATTTATTTAAAATCCAGAAGGGAAAAGGAGTAACAGAACCCACTGGGGTTTTAACACACTGACATGTGGACAGACAAGAACAAGGACAGCAGAAAATCCCAAGAACAAGACAGAGGCCAGGTGGAGACTGGCGGGGTGTGGGGATGGGGGTGGGCGGGGAAGCGAGGGCTGAGATGAGGCCCGAGCTGCTGCAACACACTTCCATGGGGAGCGACTGTGCTGGGGGTGGGAAGGCGAGGCATAACCGGAAGTGTCTGGCGGGGAAGGTGGGCCGGACTGAGGTATTAAATAATGAAAATAAAATCCAATTCCCAAAGAGACACAACTTTAGAAGGAAAAAAAAAAAAAGACACAAATAGACGTTCACATAAAATTTCCCCTTCTAGAAAAATAATTCCATACTTAAAATAACCTCAAAATCCCACCTGGGTGCTGACTGGTTCTCTGATAGAGGGCAACTCAGATAACACTGACTCTTCCCAACATGCTGAACCCCGAGATCCCCATAATTACTTTTTCTCCTCAGCCCCCATTTACACTTAACGATGATGGAAAAGCAAGAGTGATGGCCATATCTTGGAAGGGACAAGCTCCTGGAAGGGAGGATCTTAGGGAATGATCCAGGGCCTTATAAGATGGCTCCAAATTGACATTCTGTCTCCAAGGCCAGTGCCGACCCAACACCGCCCTTACAGCCAGTTTCTTCAAGGTCAAGGCTTCTCCCATGACTCTCCAGTCTAGATCCCACCTTCCAAGATAAGCCTAACTTCCCTCTAGGGTCGTGACAGGCCAAGGCCAAATCCTTCATGCTCAGGCCTCTCCCTGCCTTAAAAGGACAAACATTTCAAAGTCCATAAATTAAAAGGTAAATCTTTTCTGCTTCTGTTTCTGGTAGGTTGTTTTTTTGTTTTTTGGTTTTTTCCCTTTTTCTTTTTTTTTTTTTTTGGCTTTGCATTTTTTTTCCTTCCTTTTTCCTTCCCCTCCCCACACGTAGTTGATTACCTGATGAGCACAAGGGGGATACTAGGAACACTTTTAGAGTCTCCAAACTCTGTCATTTGGAGGAGAGAGGAGAATGTGGACAATAACCCACATTGAAATGGTTCTTCAAAGTCTGTGGCATAAACGGTAGCACCTTCAGAATCTTAAATAGGTTTTCTTTTGTTCCTTAAAAAAATCACATTCGCTACGAGACAACGAGCACCATCGATTTCACAGTGGGAGGTAGCTAGCATGAGCATCCCCCACCCCTGCCCTGGGTGTCGCACTGCCCCCTCTTGGCCTCCACTGCTTCCCACCCTCTGGCTGCTCCTTCTCTCACCTCTTTCTCAGGTGAAAAAATAGTAATGCACCTTCTTTGTGTTTGTTTAAATAAAATATATATACTTCTTTCTTTCCTTTTCTCCTTTTTCATGTCTCCTCTCTAATATTGCACATCAAAGCTCCCTGGCAGGGTCCAGCTGGCGAGATGCCCCCTCCTTTTGAGCTGGCTGGAACGTGGGGCTCTTTGGGCAGGAAGCTCGGGAGGGCAGGGGGTGGCCACAGAGCTGGGAGACAGGCCGCAGGGCTCAGGCAGCTTGCAGGCCCAGTTCGCTCTGGCTGGCTCTTTGGTTGGTCTTTGGGGCTGAGCTGGGCTCACTGAGTTAGTCCCAGGGATACCCAGTCCCCTGCCACTCGCCCCCTTCCAGCCACTTCTACCGGGCAGACAACAGCTGAGGCCTACCCAAGGATCCCCGGGCAGGTGAGCGGCCTGGGCCCATGTGCCCCTAGGTCCCCTCCTTTTGCCTCCTCCTCCTCTTCCCTCCCTCTCGAGGCCTAGAGGAGCCAGGAGGTCAGAGGTCAGAGGAAGCACGCAGGTCCAACTTCGAGTCGGTACTGCTTCCCTGAGGAGGCAGGAGGGAGGTTGTCCACGCTGACGATGGGCAGCTGCTGGGGGTCCTGGGTCCGGAAGGTGAAAAGCGTCTGGTGCCAGCGGCCATCCTGGACCTGAGCGGAGAAGGAAAGGGTACACGTGAAGCTATCACGACCCACGTCATCTATGTGCACATGTCCCTGTCAGCTTTCCCACCCTTTGTACCAGGCACATGGCATTTCACTGTATCAAAGACCTGTATTCGTCCTCTTAGACTGCTGCTACTTTGTCTATGCAGGTAGGGAATGCTGTGACCAGTATCACTCTCGCTAAACCTCTGTGCACGCTCTTCTCCTCTCCTCGGTCCCCTAGAACAGATTTTAGAAGCAGCCAGACGGAAGGACACGTACGTTTCTGAGGCTCTGCGTATACGCTGGATATGCGGGCATACCTCGTTTCATTGCACTGTGCTTTCCTGAGCTCCCCAGATGTTGTGTTTCTGACAAACTGAAGGTTAGTGGCCATCCTGCATCAAGCAAGTATCAGTGTCCTTGTTCCAACAGTGTTTGCTCACTACATCTCTACATCACATTTTTATAATTCTTGCAGCATTTCAAACTTTTTCAGCATTTTCACATGTGTTTTGGCGGCCTGTCGTCTGTGATTATGACTCACTGAAAGCTCAGATGATGGATAGCATTTTTGATTGGTGATGTATTTTTTAATTAAGATATGCACATTGTTTTTTTAGGCACGATGCTGTTGCACTCTTAATAGACTACAGTATAATGTAAACGTAACACCTACATGCACTGGGAAACCAAAAACTTAGACTGTTTTATTGCAATATTCATGTGGTTGCAGCTGTCTGGAACCAAACCCACAATATCTCTGGGGTATCCCTGTATTTGTACAACGACTACCCCGAAATCCTCTACCAGTTTTCTTCCAAATAGCTTTCTGCAAGACTGTTGGTCTCCCCACATCTTCACTCACACTGCGTATTACTAGTTTTGTTTAATCTTGCGAAACTAGTTTTCCGGACAACTTTCTGACTCCCTCTCCACCAACAACCCTCCCAATCTCAGGTATTTAAAAAAATAACCAAAAATGTTAAAAGAAGAAATTAGCCTGGGCAGGGCGGGGAGGGTAGGCAGAGAGAATCGATACGTATTCTTCAACAAGAAGGCTTGCAAGTTAACAGCCTATGGAATTTTTATCAGCCAGATCTCCTCTCTGAAGTTTCCCAGAGAGGACGGTGAATACAAGTGATTTTACAAAACTGTTATAATAAAATTATTACACAAAGATAAAAATTATATGTATTTACTCAAATTTATTAATACAATATACTAGATGATACTAATATACTGATGTAATATACCAGTATGTATTAAACTGTTACATACTATTTTATAATAAAAGCGCATCTGTTCAACTTGTCTGCACATGAGGGGCCCATGAGGGGCCCCAAGGTTACCTTGCAGCCATCCATTGGTACTTCTGGCCGGAACTGACCCCCTGCTTCGAAGATCTGCCCATTCCAGGCCCGGAAGCGCACAGCCCGCTTGGCCGGGGTCCGCCCAGCGCCCTCCTGCCACACGGTCATGTTAAGGCAGTGGATGGTGATATGCTGTGTCACCTCAGAGCTCAGCAGATGCAGGAAATTCATCTGGACCCGGCTGACAGCAAACTCGACCTGCAGCAGACGCAGCGGTGAGGAAGGGCCAGGTCGGCCACCGGAGGCTCTCGGAAACCTCCCCTCTCTCTAGTGGGCGCAGGGAGACGCTCTTTCTCGGTAATCGTTTCCCTGCTTTGCTCCCAGATGTGTGTCTACTTGAGACAACATAGAGAAACCGAGGTCGGTGCAAACTGGTCCACAGCCAAGGACTGATGAGGAAGGGAAAGCACCCAGGGCCGCCTAAGTGCACAGCCAGACCTACGGGAGTCCTAAGTCACCCGATCCACCCCCAAGGGCATGGGCACGCGGGAGTGGGGGTTGTCTCTGGAGCTGGGTTGGGATCCCAAAGCCTGGAGAGGAAGAAGAACTAGCCCAAGACCGAGAGGCTCTTCAAGTGCGGGAGAAATGAGAAGTGGCCTCCCCAACCCTTTCTAAGTCCCGAGATGTCAGAAATGGCAGTGACCTCAAACAAGGACGGGATTCATGGCTTCAGACGGTTGGTTTTCCTTTGTGTGATGCAAGGGCCTGATTGAAGCTTTGATTGCCTAGGCATCCACCCCAGAGCCTGTGATCTCGAATAAACGCTTTGCCAGCCACGGGCCAGATGAAGAGCCCAGCTGCCTCCCTGCACTGAGCCTCCTTTGTTTTAAACTTTAAGATTGCCGATGCTGGCCATTTGGCATTTGGGCCATTTTTTTTTTCCTCTTCCTGTGCTTTAAATTCCCACTCTTATGTTTTCAATTCACCAATTAAGAGTGAGCCTGGGAAGCCCTAAGGCCCTGACCCTGGACCCCAATAATAGCAGAGCCCCAGGCTCATGCACTCTCTCTCTCTCTCTCTCCCCCAGCAACCTGGCTGGGTGGTCCCCAGTGTGCTGTGTAGTTTCCACATCCCGTAAGTAACAAATCTTTATTTTTTCCAAGTTTCTTCATCGTGGGGGGCATCTTGTGATCATAGTAAGATCCACAAGGGCTGGTCCAGCCGCCACGTTTGAAATGTATAGGCTGAGACCAGTATAAAATGGTGGTCATCGTTCCTGATGGGGATGGTCACCCGTGCAGGTACCAACTGTGGTCTCCCCACTCTGCCAGGAGGGTCTGGCTCAGAGTCAGAGTCAGGGGGGAATGGACCTAGCTGGTGGGTGTTCCTTGGTGAGGCTACTGTGTTTCCTGTTGAATCCCAGTGTCTGGTACATGGTAGGAACCCAGAAAGACTTGCTGACCAATGGGCCCACACAGAGATTCTCAAACCCTGGGTCTGACCTAGTCAGGCTCAGACACCTCCTGGAGCCTCCCCAGGAGGGCTGATGGGATGGGATGGATGTCTGGGTCCCTGCCTCCCCTACGGGCAGGGGGAATCCTCTCCCTGGAGCCTAAATCCTCCCACATGGAGGACTTGCCATCCCTACAGACCTACAGTCCACTGTGGGGTGCCCCACTGCCACCGGCTACCCCGGTTTGCTGTTGAGCGGCCCTAAGCCACCTCAAGCGCTCATCCCGGAGACGGGCACGCGCAAAGTAGGCATTGAACATCAGCTAAACCTGCATACCCGCCTTGGGCACCATGACTTAGTTTGCATGGATGGTTCCTGGTTCTCCAAGCCTGGCCAGCTTGGCCAACTATGTTTTAGGTATGGGGCAGAAAGTTCTATTTGAAACAAAAACCATTAATATCATGCATTGCGGAAGGGCGTAGAAACCACGGATTTAGAACAATTCAGCCCCCGATTTGTAGGTGAGAAAACCAAGGATCACAAAGAAGCCACGCAGCAGGACAGTCAAGGCTCAGTTAGAAACTAGGGTGGGCGGTGGCCCAAGGCCGGGTGGGTGTGGAGAGGGCCCGCGGGCAGTGGATGGGAGTGTGGACAGGTACCTTGGAGGCCGTGATGGGCTTGAGACACGTTTGCCCACCACGGGTGAAGTTGCAGGAAACTTCGATGGTGTCGGATGAGCAGCCAAGGTTTGGGTCCACCCAGTACGTACCTGCAGGTGACGTGGAGGGGGGATGGTACAGGTGTGTGAGGCAGGGGAGCCCAGGGCCCCGTTCTGCAGGTGGACCCCGAACCTCAGGACCCATTGAGCCCTGGTTGGGCCTGAAGTCAGGAGAGGGAGCAGAAAAGGATTCCAGGAGCCACTGAGATGGAAGGGGAGGCTCTGGGCAGAGCTCACAGCTGGCAGAGCCCCTGGAGGGGCCACGCAGCTGAGCGCTTGCCTGCGCTGCTATTGTCAAGGGTCCATTTTACAGAGGGGACAGTTGAGGCCAGAGAGCGACTGAATGACCAGCCCCAAGGATTTAGGGCTCATCTAGTTGAATGGACGCCCCCCCAAGACTAGTGCTCCTCCTAGGGGCTTGTCTGGGGAGGACGGGGAAGCAGCTCCCTCACTTGCTGGGCACCTGTGCCGGCATCTGGTTCCCTCACAGGGCTTCCGAGGAAGCCAAAGGCCCCACAGCTGAAAGACTGGGACAGCCAGACGCTGGTCCACCTTCTTGTCAGTGAAGGGAAGAGGTGTGGCAGAAAGGGGGGAAATCCTGGTTCTCAGGGCATCCATGACAGCCCCCTCCCCCAGCCCCTGTACCCTCCTGGCCTTTGGGTGCTAGTTCTGCCAAAGCTCTTGTCTCCTTGCCCTGAAATGTTTGTCCCCAGCTTGCAGATCTGTGGGCTCTGAAAGGATAAAACCACTTGCCCACACTCCAGGAGGCACAAGGTCCGCCATATTGTGAGGCTCAGTGGCTGTTGAGCAGGTAAGGGACTGCTTGCATCTCTGCCTCCCCAAGGACAGAAACTTGGTCCCAGTGAGCCAAGACTTGACCAGTCCCTCTGCCCAGCCCCTCCTGGAACTCCCCTGCCCTGCCTGCTCCACCCCCAGGGGCAGAAAGCCCTCTCTTCAGACCCCACAGGCCCTCATACCATCCACCATCTTCTGCTCACAATCCATGAGGTCCCGGCAGACCCGGGCGGGGTTCTCTTTGGTGCCCAGGGGCATTTTAATGCTCTGGATGAGGTTGCTGAGGTAGTGTAAGGTTTTAAAGATATCCCCTCCCTGGTCCAGCACCAGCCGGTCCGGATGGTTGTAACCCTGTTGTGAAGAGAGAGGGGGGCCACCAGCCCCTGAGATCTTGGCCCGGCCCAAGGGTCTTAGCCTCCACAGCCCTAAGTTCTTGCTACTGAGGAGATATCCCTGAGTTCTTAGAGGCGTGACAGGGCTCCCTCCACTTGACAGATAAGGGAACTGAGAGCCAGGAATGGGGGCTGTCATGGGAGGGGACAGGACACGAGGCAGTGGCCTCAAATCCCTCCAGAAGGGGCCAGTGGAGGTGGTCTTTCCGCCGACCACCCCCAGGATGGGAGGAAGTCAGCAGGTTCTTCTGGGCTGCCCTCTCCCTGGACTGCGAATCCTAAGAGAGCCGACACAGCGCCAACCTTGTCCAGCTCAGGGAACCGATGAGCTATGGAACTCTTGGGGGCAGGCCACATGGCAGGCACTGACCACTCGAGAGCCGTCCCTTCTGTCTCCCCTAGGGAGGGATCCCATGTGGGCAGCGGTCTCAGGGTACCTCTGCTTTCAGTGCTCCATGTGTGTCCATCCACGTCTGGAAAGCTGCTCCCAGGTCATCTTGCTGCTGTGCAAAGAGATGACAGGGTGTATATTCTATCCCCCCACCACCACCCCAGGATCCCCTGGGACTCACTAAAAAGGACACCAAGGGTCTTAGCCCAGTGGCCAAGTCACCTGCCTTCTGTGCAACTATTTGTCCTTCCTCCACTTACAAAGAGAGTCAGAGCTGACCTTTTCTCTCCCTTTTTCCAGGAATTTCATCATCCACAGGATTAAGTCCAAAATCCTCCACGTGGTTAATAAGACCTGGCCTGAGGGCTGTGGCCTCTGGCCCAGCCTCTCTTCCTTTGAGTCCATATGTTCTATGCACCAGACATACCATTATACTGCTAAGTTGCTAAGCACCATGCTCTATCTGACAACAGGGCCTTTGCACGTGTTGCTTGCATCACCTGGAGCATTCTTCTTTCCCTCCATTGCTCCATCTGTCTATCTACTATTCTGAAGGTTCTCAATCAGGGGCAATCTTGCCCTGTAAAGGATATTTGGTTACATCTAGAGACATCTTGGCTGTCACAGCTGGAGGAGGGGGTGCTCCTGACATCTAGCAGGTAGAGGCCAGCGATGCTGCCAAACATCCTACGATCACTCACAGGGGACCAAAGAATCATCTGGTCCCCAGATGCTCACAAGTGCTGCTGTTGAAAAGCCCTGCCCTCTACTTATCTTACAGATGCCAGCTTCCGCAGGAACTCTTTCCTGGTGCTCTTGCCCCCCAGGCTGGGGGCGGCCCCTTTCTCTGAGTAACTGTCCCACACCTGCACCTCCAGCCCTAGCACGGGGCTTGCCAGAAGCGGTCTTACTGTGAACACAGTGACAGGGAGACTCTGATGTTGGGTAAAGCCCAAGTGGCCCAGAGCCCAGACGCTAGAGGGATTTCTCAAGTTCAAATATCAGCCTTGCTACTTGGTGACTGCAGGACCTGGGCAGGGTGCTTACGGGCTCTCTGCGTCAGTATCCTGAGAATGGGCATGACAGTAACTCTCAGAACCTTGAGAGGAATCAGTGAGCTAATCCAGAGGGAGCACGCCTAACGGTGTCCGCCTGCCACAAATATTCAATATGTCCGCTACTGTGCACAAAATTTAAAATCCTCGAATTTTCCTTTAATTTATTTATTTAATTTTTTTTTAGAGGGAAAGGGTTTTGTCTGGATCTCTTCACTTTCCCTGAGCCCTCTGGCTTCCTTAGTGATGAGAAGGGCTAGGGAGGGTGTGGAGGCGAGGCCAGGGCTGTCCGTTCATTTTCATGGATGATGCTGGGGGGTCAGACAGGGAGAAGCTGAGAGACGAGAAGAGCAGAGAATCCGAGGGGCGCACGGCCCAAGGGCTCCTGCTGGGTTTCCCTCAGCCACTGGGGGGCAAAAGGGGCGGGACGCGCTGTCAGGGCCTGACCATAATCCTCAACAGGGGCAGTGGTAACAGGGGACGGGCCTCTGAGCAAGGAGGCTTAGGAGGGGCCATACGTTCAGGCTGGTACCCACCAGGGAGGACTGCTCCCTTGTCTGACCCTCTTTGGACTCAGAATCTGAGGGGATGAGACCCTGTGATATCGTGATTTGTAAGAAAAAGAGATTTGGTCTTTGACCTTCTTCCTGGCACCGAACTCCTAAAACCTGAGAAAAGTCTTCTGTCACCCTAATAAGGTGACTCTTGGAAAGCCCCTGGGTAACCAAAGGATAGCTTGCCCAGGGAAGCAACCTTGTGAGAGGTGGGTGGGAATCTTCCGTCCGGACCCCTCACCCCCAGGGCGGGAGAAGGGATGGTGGTGGAGTCCCTTAGCCACGGCCAATGATTCCATCCATCACGCTTACGTAATGAAGCCGCCATGAGAACCCAAAAGGCTGGTATTCGGAGGGCTTCCCAGCCGGTGACCACATGAGGTTTGGGGAGAGCGGCTCCCTGGAGAGGGCTCGGGAGCTCTGAGAGCCCCTGCCTCACACCTTGCCCTGTGCCTGTCTTCCATCTGACTGCTCCTGAGGTGGTGGTGTTTTTTATAAGAAACCAGTAAGCTAGTAAGTGAAATGTTTTCTCTGATCTAAGAGCAGCTCTAGTAGCCTCATACCAGTGAGGGGCGTGGGACCCTCAGTCGGTCAGAGGCGCCGGTGACAAGCTGGCATCTGGGCGGGGCAAGGATGGGGAAGGAGTCCTGCGGGATTGGGAACCCGTGGGGTCTAACCCTTCGTCCTGGTGCACACTGTCAGAACTGAGTTGAACTACAGGGTGCCCAGCTGCTGTCCCCCAAGTACTCTTTGGTATGGGGAACACCTACCCACCCCCCAAGCTTGAATTGACACCAGAACCTGTTTAAACCCTCAGCAATCAGCTGATCTGTACCAAGGACGCTGACAGGACCAGGAGCCCAGCCACCGGAGCAGCTTCCCGGGTTCAAGGTCAGGGGCGCATCCTGCCTAAAACCAGGATTCCCCACTCTCTGCCTCTGGGCTCTTTCTGCTGCTGCAAAGTCCAGGGTCCAAGATGGAAGGACAAAAGTTCACAGGCAATCCTGGGCCTAGCTTAGGGGTCTAGCTATTGTGACCCAGAAAAGAGGTCAGCTGCCAACCGCCTCCCGCCCTCCCAGGCCTTACCCCAATAGGCAAAAAAGCACATTCTCCAACTTACAAAGTGAATAGGGCTCCCTGGCCGACCCTGCAAAAGAAGAGGCTCAGTGACTATTCGAGAGGGACTGGGTATGGGGGTCCCAGGGGCTGTCAGGAGCCTGGAGGGGCCACCCAGGCACGAGAGGACGTGCAAAATTGGTCTCTGCTCTTCTGGAGGCTTAGTCCGGCCAGGGCCGCTCTACGCTCTCCTAGAAGTCTGGGGAAGCTTGTGAGGTCAGGGCCAAGATGAGCATCTGCCTGCAAAGCCCTGGGTCTCACTCCAAGCTCCGCCTCCTGCCCTAGAGTTCCAGGGGCACTGAGCACAAGTACCTACCGGTGGGCCAGGCCGCCCTCTGGGACCAGGAGGACCCTGGAGGAAGAGAAGAACAGTGAGGCCCTGGGCAAAGACCCTCCACCTTCCCTACCGCAGACCTCCTGGAGCAGACCCAAACCCAGAGACAGTGATGCCCTCAGTACAGAGGGTACCGATGGCTGACTGAGGTCCAGAGGGAAAGAACACGCCTGAGGACTTCAGTGGGCATGGGTAGGGGAGCCCAGAGCGCCCACCCTGCCCCACTTCCCCGACCCACCAGCCCCCGTACTCCAGCCCACTCCCCGACCCACCAGCCCCCGTACTCCAGCCCACTCACCCTCGGACCTTGCAGTCCCTGGAGGAGAATAGAAGCAGAGAGAGACAGTTAGGGAAGCGGGCTGAGCTCTGCCCTCCATCCCTCCCCCAATCCTCCTCTCCCCAACCCGCCGCCGAAGCACTGCCCTCCCCCAGTCCCTCAACTCACCAAGTCCCCTCGGCTGCCTTTGTCACCCTTTGGACCCTGCAATAAATCACAGGCCCCATAAGAGAGGACTCAGAGAGGAAGTTCTATTTCCAAGATGTGGAAACTGAGTCTTGAGCTGGCCCTGGGTCACAGAGACAAGCTTGTCCCTGTGGTCTTCCCGGCCAGCTCCCGACACGTACCGGGCGTCCCGAAGGTCCCAGGATTCCGAGGGGCCCAATGATGCCTTCCTTTCCCTAAAGGAAAGACAAAGGTTTGTGTCTTCATTCCAGGGGCTGGGGAACAGAGTCCCAGGGACAGGAGAGGAGCCGGCAGCCTGAGTGTCCCATGGTGATAGAAGGGAGACTTCCTCAAGCAGGGGCACGGCCATGCACATTCTGGGCCCCTCCTGTGTGCCTTGTTGGGGGGCAATGAGGGGGGAGAGGGGAGCAGGTGAAAGGAGCGGATGGCAGCCCAGTTGGCAGGACCGGCAGAAGCAAGGGGATGGCGATGGGGATGGAGGCTGTGGGCAGAGGGGGCTCAAGCCGGAAGGAGCAGGAGGAGCAGAGCAGGGGTCCACCCAGCGGACGGCTGGCCAGCCTTGGGCCTGGGCGACTGTCCCCGCTAGGACAGACCACGAGAGGACTCACCATCAAGCCAGGGGGCCCCCGCGGGCCCTGGATGCCTTTCAAGCCAATGTCTCCAGGGGGGCCCTGTGGGAGGCAGAGGAAGGGCTGTCTGTGTCTGGGCTGCCATTGGGTCAGGGCTCCAGCAGCTCCATGACCCCTGGGGGCTGGCCACACTTTGCCCTCCCTTTCAAGAGAGGTTCCGGGGAGAGTAACAAATGTCCACAATTACCAAGCAGGAACCAGCATGCAGGGTCTGTGCTGCATGGTGTAAGCCTCCACTCTGACTTCAGGGTTATAACCCTCTACGGTTATCATACCCATTTTACAGCTGACAAAACTGAGGCTTGGAGATACAAAGTAACTTGCCTAATGCACAGAGCAGGTAAACTGAGCCAGGCTTAAAACCTAGGTCCGCTGGAAGGTGAGTTCTGGGGACCGAGGATGTCCCTGCTTGATTCTGGAGGCTTTCCAGCCCACACCGTGAGCGCTCAAGAAATCTTTGTCGAGCGAGCACATGGAGAAACAAACCAGGAGGTGGATGGATGGGACCCCAACAGGAGCAGGCCAGAGTGGGAATTTGTACCTTGGGTCCGAAGAGGCCAGCCATTCCTGGGAAGCCCATCTCACCAGAGTCACCCTGTGGGGAGAGCGGAATGACGTGGGGTGAGTGGGGCCAGAACTACGATGCCCAGCCAATCACCCAGGCCCCCTGGGCCTGCCTCCTCCCATGGACATCACCGACTCCATCCCCAGGCAATCAGATGAGTGTAAACAGCTCACACGCTAGACACCAGTCAGCCTGGGCTCGGAGGGGGCTCCGAGGGGGCACGGGCGTGTGTCCTCTGTCGCACGAGACAGTGGAGGCCAGCTCAGGGATTCCATGAGGAAGGCTCTAGAACACTTAGGACCTCCTGTCCCAGGTCTTCAAGGAAGAGAATGAGAGGACCCGCAGGCTCTTCCCCACCCATGGCAAAGTCTATCTGTTGTGGGCCTCTACGTGCCAGGGGCTCTGCAGGGATCACCACGCATGTGGGTTCTGACTTCCGCCCAGGGAGGCACAACACACCCTGTCCACAGATGAGAACACTGAGGCTCGCAGAGGGCAGGAACTTGCTCATATTCACACAGAGGTCACTGCGGGGAGTGATCGGGGGTGAACGATTCTGGAGGCCTGGATTATATGCTTAACGTTTAACGTAACTGCCCAGCAGGTTTCCAAAGCGGTTGTACCGTTTTACGTTCCCGTGAGCAGAGGAGGAGAGCTCCAGTGGCTCCATATCCTTGAAAACACTTGATCTGTTCAGTCTTTAAAAATTTTTACCATTCTGGGGCACCTGGGTGGCTCTGTTGGTGAGGCATCGGCCTTTGGCTCAGGTCATGATCTCGGGGTCCTGGGATCAAGCCCCGTGTCGGGCTCCTTGCTCAGTGGGGCATCAGCTTGTCTCCTTCTGCCCCTCCCCCTACTTTTGCCCTCTCTCTTTCAGATAAACAAAATCTTCAGAAACAATTAAATGTTTACCATTCTAACAGGTGTGCAGTAGTACCTCATTGTGGCTTTAATGAGCGCTTGCCTCATGACTACCGATACTGAGTTTCTTTTATGTGCTGATTTGCCATCTGTACAACCTTCTCCGAGATGTCTACTCAAGTCTTTTGCCTCATTTCTTTATTGGGCTGCTTCTTTTCTCATTATTGAGTTTTGAGCATGCCTTACGTATTCCAGACACAAATCCTTTACTAGATACATAATTTTCACTTTCTCCTAGTATGTGGCTTGTCTTGTCATTTCTCTTAACAGCATCTGCCCTTTGAGGAGCAAAAGATTCCAAGTTTGATAAAGTCCAATTTATCAATTTTTTAAATGGATCACGCTTGTGGTGTCATGCCTAAGAAACCTTTGCATAACCCGAGGTCTCCAAGACTTTCTTCTATGCTTCCTCCTAAAAGTTTTAGCATTTTAGGATTGAGTTCACTTTTGTACATGGTATAAGGTCTCCAATTGTCCTTGCTAGAAAAGACTCTTCTGTATCCACCGAGTTGTTTTTGCAACTTTGTCAAAAATCAGTTATCCATGTACCTGTGAATATATTTCTGAACTCTCTATGCTGTTCCTTTGAGCAATTATTAGTATATTTATGGTAATACCCTCCCTTCTTGATTACGGTAGCTATATAATAAGTCTTGAAATCAACCACCAGGAGGCTCCCAACTTTTCCCTTTTCAACTTGCTTTGGTTATTCTACACCTTTTGCATTTCCAAATAAATTAGACAGAGCTTCTTATTTTCCACGAGAAAGGTCTGATGGGATTGGGATCGGGATTGGGATTGGGTTGGACCCATATACCAACTGGAGGAAAACGGCCATCTGAACAATACTTAGTCTTTGACCAGTGAACACAGCACCTCCATTGACCTCGGTCTTCCCCAGCATATTTTAGAAATGCTTTCAGTTTTTCAATGCACATTTCTTGTACACCTAGTATCACAGGTATCTCTACGTATTTCCTATTTTTCTGCTGTTATAAATAGTATTGCTTTTTAGATTTGGGGTTCTGATCGTGGCTGGTGTACAGTGACACAGTTCCTTTGTGCTGCTGTCCGCCATCTTGCTGGAGTCACTTGCTCTCATAGCTTGACTGTAGATTCCACTGGATTTTCTCTCTAGACAATAATTTCATCTACAAATGGAAAGACGCACTTCTTTTTTGATATGAGTGCCTTTTCTTTATTTTTCATTCCTGATGGCATCGGCAGGAACTGCGAGCACAATGTCGAACAGAAGTGAGAACAAGTATCTTTGACTCGTTTCTTCTTTGACTGATTCAGCCATTCACTATTAAGTATGATACTGGCCACCCGTTTTTCACAAATGCCTTCTTCCCAGTTGAGGAAGCTCCTTTTTCCTTACCAAGGTTACGGAGCGCTTTTATCAGAAATGGAGTTGCATTTCGCCAAGTGATTTTCTTGCATCCACTGTAGGATCAAATGGGTTTTCTCTCTCAGTTTGTTAATATGGTGCATTACACTGACTTATCTTCAAACGTTATACCATCCTTGCATTCCTGGGATGAACCTCATTTGGTCTTGATGTACTTTTTTTTTTTTTAAGATTTTATTTATTTATTTGACAGACAGAGATCACAAGTAGACAGAGAGGCAGGCAGAGAGAGAGGGGGAAGCAGGCTCCCTGCTAAGCAGAGAACCCGATGCGGGGCTCGATCCCAGGACCCTGAGATCATGACCTGACCCAAAGGCAGAGGCCATGTCCAGGCCATGTCCAGCTTTGACATCAGGGTAAGGCTAGTTTCATAGAATATGCTGACAAGTATTCCCTCCTCTTCAACTTTCTGGAAGAGTTTATGCAGAATCGGTATTACTTCTGCCCTTAACTTTGACTAGAATTCTCCAGTAAAGTCATCTGAGGCCAGAGTTTTCCTTGCGAGATGTTTGTTAAACCACAGATTGAATTTCTTTATTGGATGTGAGGCTATTTCGGGTTCAGGTCATGATCCACCCCCCTCATTCTGAAGGGACCACTCAGATCTCATGTCTCAGCCTCCTTCCTCCCCCCTCCCCCCAACTCAGGGGAGGCAGAGGAGTATCTGGTGCTCAGAGAGGGTATCACTCTGCCTTTATCACAGAGCAGGCGGGAGGCTTCCAGGCCTGTGTGTGCATGTGTGAACACGAGTGTGTGCACGCCAGTGTGAGAACATCTGTATTCCCTGGGGCTTACTCACCGGCTGGCCTTTGGATCCGGGCTCCCCCTGGCTCCCAGGAAGCCCGGTTCCACCCGCCGTCCCTCGTTTGCCGGGAGGACCTGGCTGTCCCGGTAACCCACTTTCACCCTTAAAAAAAAAACCAAACACCAAAATGACCAAAAGGGAAAACGGTACTGGGGGGGGGGGGGGGGGGGGGGCGAGGAGAGACAGAATAGTGATGCCTCAGGGTCAGCTGACCTCTCAGGATGCTGGGGCTCAGAATTTCAGCCTCCTTAAGAGGACAGCCTCTTTCTTCAGTCTGGATTTCAAGTTCCAACTTGCCCTCCACGCTCCTACCCTGCCTCTCCTCTTCACTGTTTCCTCCCAGCAGACCGTGAAGTTAGCCAATACCACCCCCCCCCACCTCGGCCCCACCTCTGCTCCAGCCCTTCCTCCTGCCTGGGATGCCACCTCCCCTTCTCTCCACATTTCAATCCTCCCTGGGCCAAGTCCACCTCTCCCCCTGCCTGCTGTTCCCACGGAGGGTTCAGTCTTTCCCCAGCTAAACCTGGTGCTTGGGGAAGACCAGAGGAGCCATGTCTGATTCATCCATCTCAATCTTCCCTTCTGCGTGTAGGCCTGGGTTCAGATTGACTCATGGCTCCCCCCCACCCCCCGCCACCGCCCCCCCATTGGGAAAACTTACTAAAAAGATGCCCTTTGGAAGAGGGTCCGGGCTGCAAGCAACAGCAATGTTCCACAAAGGCCCACTAGAGGGCGCCCAAGGACAGCTCAATGGCGGGTTGCCCGTTTTAACAGGCCTAAGATTTCCCCTACAGGGATAAACTTCCCCTCAAGCCAGGTTCAAGCTTGGGGCAGGGACCCCCACGAGAAACATCAGAGCCAGGGACTCCATCTTCACACAGGCCCTGGGACATAGGTGCCCAGGTGAGCATTATAATCAGTGTCACTATAGTTAGAACCAAGGTTGAAAGATGGGAAGACAGCTGCGTGGATTAACAGGTGTCTGACCTTGAATCCTGGGGGCCCCTGTGCTCCAGGCAAGCCAGCCACACCTGGATTTCCCCTCTTCCCAGCAGGGCCCACGGGGCCAGGGTCCCCATCGTCTCCCTGCTCCCCCTGTAAAGAAAGAGGGCAAAGGAGGACCTCTCATGTTTCAGGAAACAAAGGCAGCCAAGGGGGCAAGATGTCTCATGGTGCAGGTGAACTCTGGGTGGACCTGGGGGGAAGGAGGTCAGACCCCAGGAGGGAGGTCATAGGTCATCCTAGCTCTGCGTGAGGAGGGCAGGACTAGAGAAACGAGAGATGCTGGGGTTTGTAAATGCGGAGGAGGAGGGAACTTTCAACCACAAGTTCCATCCCCTGGGTGGGGGTATGGGGGTTCCTTCTGGGTACAGGCATGGGTAGTCAGAAAAGCCACTTTCCCAAGTCCCATGCAGGAAACTTCTGGATATGTTGGTTCTGCCCCATCAAAGTTTCCACACCTGTTCCTCCTGGCCCATGGCCTCTGACAGAACCCCACCCCACCCCCAGACCCCAACACAAACATCTTGTCCCCAAGGGAGACCAAGAGTTAACCCCAAGTCCTGCTCACCTGCTGTCCTGCTTGACCATCCCTGCCAGGAAACCCATCTGGGCCCGTGACACCCTCGGAGCCCTGTCTCCCCACCACGCCCCGAGGCCCTGTCAGCCCTTGCAGGCCCTGGGGACATAAAAGAAGTTGATGAGGGCCTCTGGGGGGTGGGGGTGCGGGGAGGGAGGCAGGCAGAGAGGAGGGGACAAGCTGCTGGTCACTCACCTGAATCCCCCTTCGTCCAGGTGCCCCAGCCTTGCCTTGCTTTCCCTTTGGTCCCTGAAAAATCAAGGGGCACATGGCAGGAGCCGCCTGGAGGAGGGGCAAAACCCTAGGAGTTCTGGAAGGGACTGAAAGGAGCATGGGCGCTCCTGTGTGGCCCAGCCCTGCCCCTCCGCCTCTTGGGTCTCAGCGTCTGAATCTGCAAATGGTCCTATCACCCTGGCCTGGAAGCCCAGGAGCAGGGCTGACCGTGGAACCTAACAGTGTTGTCCCCACCCTGCTCTGGGCCCTGCGCCCCTACTGGCTCGCCTTACTGCAGAGGCTCTAGGGCCTTGCAGTTTCCTTGGGGTAGCCTGGGGCCAGGGCTGGCTGGGCTTCAAGATCCTTCGATCCTCAAGAGTGCGGCTATATCCCTGAGCAGGGCGGGGGCGGAGAGATGGTGTGTGGGTGAAGGAGACCCCTGGACTGAGGTTGAGGGCAAGGAAGACAGCACTGGCCTGATTTCAGTGGAGGAAGACACAGGGGCTCTGGGTGCAAGGTGGGAAAGTCCTTGACCACCCCTCAGTTCCCACCACCCGCATCCCTGTCCAACCCCTCCTTCCTCTGGACCCCTGCTTCTCCGGATTTTCTTCAGTGTGGTACGGCTGGCTCTGGCGTGACTGCCCTGGGTTCGAATCCCACTGCTGGCCTCACAGATGGTCCCCCTCCTGGAGGCCCTGACAGTGGGGCAAGTGATCCCCGCTCCATCAGGCCCTTCGAAATGAAGAGATCTTGGCCAGGAAGCTCCCTGTAGGGCACCCACCAGCCCAGCCTCCTACTTGCCTCGGGCTTGGGTGGGGGTCTGCTCTTCCCAGGGTCCCCTGTGGACCTTAGTCCTCTTACCTCTTCCCCTTTCGATCCTTTGGGTCCTGGCTGTCCCCGGGGTCCCGGATGCCCCTGCAAACCAAGGTGAGAGGATGCAAAGCCGCCCCAGGATTCTCTCCTGGGGAGGGTGGCCAGTGTCCGCCTAGAAGGGGAGGGGTGGGAGGGGGTTGGGGGTGTAGGCTCTGGGGGTACCCCCAGCATCAGGGCAAGAGAAACCAGAGTGCACTGCCCCAGGCCGGGTACAGGGAGGGTCCCTTCCTCCCCCAACTGCTGACCACCCACATGGAGCTGGAGGGGGATGGGACAGGGAGCACCACTCACGGGTAGGCCCTGCTGGCCTGGATCTCCACGGAGGCCTGGCACACCCTCCTGTCCCTGGAAGCCAAGGAGAGATGGGTGAGGGGGCCCACCCTGGAGGGGCTGGGGGCCGGGGCAACTTCCCATCCGGAGGAGCCCCGGAAGCCCTTGTTCTTCCCAGCTCTGTGTCATTGTCCCTGTCTCAGCTTGCTCATTTGCAAAGCTGCCAAATGACCCTGCCAGGGAGGATGGAGCAGGGGAGGGGAGGGGAGGGGAGAAGCCTGGTGGGGGCCCAGGGCTCACTCAGCGGTCTGTCTCTTGCTTCTGTCGGGAGAGCTGTTCCCAGCCACTGAGGACGGGGAGACTGAGGCTCTGTGAAGAAGGGGTCTCTCTCCCCAACCTCATCCTCCCCCTCCAGCCCACCCCCTGCCAGCCTGGATTCTGGCCGGAGCCCTCTCTCAGGGGGTCTCCGTTTCAGGCCGGGCACTAACGGTGGGAGGTCTCCTGGCCAAGGCTGTTTCCTGCCTGGGGCCGGTAAGGTCGGAGGACAGCCCAGGCATGCCATGCCTGACGCTGCCACTGGGTAGGAGCTCTGATACTTACGGGGTATCCAGGGTCTCCTGGCTCCCCGCGGTCCCCTCGATCGCCTACGGGGCCCTGGATGACAAGGATGGCAATGAAATATGGGCCATCGGGTCTCCTCTTAGATGTTTGTGGCAGCCTCACCCCTGCTCAGCCTCCCCCTCCCCACCCCCTGCCACAGCAGGAAGCTAGGGTTCCACTTTGGTGGCTGTCGGGGGATGGAAAAGGGGGCTTACCCGATCTCCAGGTGGCCCAGGGGGCCCCTCAGCCTTGCCATCCTCGCCCTGCTCCCCCTGTGGACACAACCAGGACTTATTTCTGGCTCCTGGTGAATCTGGGGAATTCCAGACACTCCACACAGAGTGGAAAGGGCCTTCATCAGTGATGAAGACCAGCCTACTTAGGGTTCCAGACGGAGAGGAGAGACGGAGGCCAGAGAGAGAAGGGGCAGACCAGGGTGGCGGAACCTAGAGAGTGCCCTTTACTACCCCCTGCTGGGAACCCCCCCCCCATCCCCCGCCCCAGCAGGCAGGAGCCCTCCGCTGCCAGACCCAGACAGCTCAGAGCAGAGACCTTGGTCACAGCCCGCTTGCACAGGACCAGCTGCTCAGACCCCCATCTGGTCCCTTCCCGTCTTGGAGCTCTTTTTCTCAGCTGGGGAGCAGGGAAGAGGTGGGGTGAAGGGACAATGGCAGTACCCAGGAGGGAGCAGGGTGGGGGGAAGTCTGGGAAATGATGCAGAGTCCCTGCGTGGTGCTCAGCACAGAGCGACAATAATTCCAACCGCTCGTGGGCGCAGGCACTCACTGAATACTTCCAACAACCCTATGAAGCAGGTGACGGTATTCTCCCCATTTTACAGATGAGGACACTGAGGCACAGAGAGACCCTGAGGGCTGCTGCATTGGTCAGACACGAAAAAGAGTCCCTTTCTCCCATCTTTGCTGGAATAAAGTGGGCAGAGAGCCAGGTTTAACAGGAACCTTCTATGCTGGTTGGGAGTCCCGGGAGCAGGCCCCAGGTTGCACTCAGCGGTGGGCCTATTAGGGATCCTTGTCCATAAGTCAGGTTCCTATCTGTGAAACAGGGGTGCGATGCCTGGCAGCACTGTTCTGAGGACCCAGGGAGGAGAGCTCCCTACTGCCCATGGGGTAGGGAGCCATGCATTTGGCTGTTGTTGACAATGACAGCAGGGACGATGTGTGGTGTGGAGGTTGTCAGAGGAATTGCAGGAGGCGTAGGGTTTAGGGTGGAGGTCCTTGAGCCCTGGCAGGCCACCCTGGGCCCTGGGCCACCAAGCAAGACAGGAGGCCAGAGGCCGTGTGCCAGCTACAGGGAAGGTGTGATCAGAGCAGCAAGAGGCTGAAACCCAGGACTCAGAATGTTCCAGCCCCAGACAACTGGTGTCACCTCCCATGGGGGTGCATTCTGGGCAGGAGGGTCAAGCTGGGGCAGCCGGGGGCCCCCTGGCTGTTGGCAAGGGTGGAAGGGAAAGCCTGAGAGGCAGGAGAGGGAGACATCCCTGGGGCTGGAGCCCGTCCCAGGCCCCAATCAGTCCTGAGGGCTGGCAGCCGGAGTGCCTTGGACCAGAGCCTCTGTGGCTCCTGTGGGCAGAGACTGAAAGCGGGAGGGACTTGGCCCGAGGCTTTGGACCAGTTGTACCCAAGGGGGTGGCCCAGGGAGTGGGGATTCCCTCTCCTCCCTGACCTCTGTCTATGGCTCTTTGTCCCAAGTCTTGGTCCCACTGCGGAGGGAGGCAGCCGGACAGGGGCACTTTGGAGAAGAGGGCCGTGTTTACTGAAAACATTCCGTGTGGCAGACCCTTTGGGAGGTGTTCCATAGAATCCATACAGCACTCCTCTGCGGCTATGACTACTGGCCCGTTTTACAGATGAGGAAACTGAAGCCCAGGAAAAGAAGGGTCTTAGCCAAGGCCACACAGGAAGCAAGGGGTGGTCTGAGCCAAAAGCCAGCTACACAGATCTCGCCCACTCTCCCCACATTGTGGCTGTAGTTTGGGGAGGCAGATTTAGCAGCAGGAAGCCGGTGGAGCCCTGGGCTTCTCCTCGTTCCCAGAGTCTCATCGCCAGTGTCTCCAGATACCACCTCTGTAGACATGTGCCCCATGGGGAATTCGCCAGGGTGAGCAGCACATTAGCTCATCTAAGGGCCTATTTCTGGCTCAGGAGACACAGCCTGACATCAGAGCCTGCCTCCTGGTCCTGCCACCTTTCCACTGGTCCTGGCCGAGTCCTTAAGCAGCCTGGAGACTCAGTTTCCCCATGTGTCATGTGGGACACTGACACCTCATGGTGCGGGCCATGGAGGAATCCCAGGGAGAGCTCTGCACACGACTGTGTGCTTTGGGGTCTCCCTTGGGACTCTGTCCCCCCTCCTTCCAGCACCCCCCAGCTTGTGCCTGGCAATTCGCTCTTGCATCCGGTTTTACCCTTTTGGGGGCATCTCTGCAGCCCCCAGCTCAGAGCCGAGAAGATATTATATGATCACTAACCACGCATGCACCCTGTCAGGTAGCTGAATGCGTGCGTGAACTAATCGACTACCTTATCACGAGGACAGTGCCTACGGCTGACATATGGGGGACGTCCGGCTCAGCCTCGCATTCCTGAGGCAGCCACCCACTTAACAGACAGGGCAGTCAAGGCTCAGGGGACCCTGGGATCCCACCCGAGGCTCCAGCGGAAGTAGGGCAGCTTTAAGTTTCAGATCCCATTCTCAGCAGCCACAGGGGTCCTGGTGCTGCAGGTGGCTGGGGGGAGGGAGGCTCCCCCTGTTTCAGGGTCTCCTGTGCCAGCTGTGGCAGACTCAGGGCCGAGGGGGAGACTCAGGGTGCTGAGCGGTACTCCCTACAGCTTCCTGTGGGATGTCGAAGCCCACTGATTGCAGAGCTCTTCTTCTCCAAGCAGGGACCGGCGGGACAGTAAGCCAGGGGTATAGTGAGGGGGTTGCTGACTTAGCTCACAAAGGGGGAGCTGGAGCGGGGAGGAGATAGCAGGGGGCCACCTGCTAGGAGGCATCCTAGGCGGAGCCTTTGGGCAAAGGGGGAGGCAAGAACAGGGAGTCTTGAGCTGCTAAGGTAGGACTCAAAGGCCAGTTTGGTGCTGCCTCAGAAGGTGACCCAGGGCCACCGACTCGTCCCCCTTGCCCCAAGTCCCCCCCTGCACCGTGCGGCAGGGCACAACCATCAGCAAGCTTTCTTCTAGCAGTTTCTCTCCTCTACCAAAGCTGGAACCAAGCGGTGGGGTATGGATGTGGCCTTCCTCTGCCTCAGCGGCCCCTTCCTGGCTGGGAAAGGCCGGCCTCGCTCTCTGTCCTAACTAAGCCCTGCGCCAGCTCTCACTGGGGGATCTCGTTCCCGAGCAAAGCTTCAATGCCCACATTCACACAGATGATGGAATTGCGGTTCTAGTCTGTACGTGACGCGTCCCTCCCTCCTGCTGGACTGGAAGCCCTGGCCGGGCAGGACCTGTGGTTTTGTTCTGGTGCTGGGCGCACACCTGACGCGCAGGCCATCTGTGTTGAATGTGGGTCTAATAGGCTCCTGGCCAGCCGCTGTGTGAGCAGGGCTGAGCCGACCATGAACTTCCGCACTACCCCAGCCACAGTGCCCCAGGCGCTGGCTCCTGCCAGCCCAGACGGGAGGGAGCACCCACCTTTTCACCCTTTGGTCCAGGAGGTCCGAGGGGGCCCATGATGCCTTTGTGTCCCTGCCGGAAACAGGATGGTAAGAGGTAAAAGCATAGGGGAATAAGGGCTTGAGACGCATAGTGATGAAGGCCAGAAATTCCAAGGTGGAGACCCTGGGCTATGAGTCTGGGGCCCTGGCTCTGCCCCAGCTCACTGTGTGACTCTGAGCCAGCCCTGGGCCTCTCTGAGGCCTGGCCTCCCAGACATGCCAGGTCAGTCCCCGACAGACCTCTCAGGGGTGGGGCGCTTGGATGGTCAGGGGGCATAGCTTACGCCAGCCTGGAGCAGACCTAGGGCCAGATCTTGGAGAGCCAAGTGTGTCCCCTGGGGCAGGGGCAAAATGCTGGCCTCAGCCAACTTCCCTAGGCCATGGCGGGAAGCATACACACACGTTCCTCCCTTGGGCTTCCAGTTCCCCCTCTCTGGTTCCCATGTCCTTTGCCCTGTCCTTCTTCTGTCCTCCTCTCCCTCTCCTCATCTCCTTGCTGTGTCTCCTTCAGACACTGGATCCCACCTTCAAACTTAACAAGCCATCATTAGCCTCCCCAAGCCTCAGTTTCCCTTTCTGAGTGGGCCCAGAGCCTCTCTGAGGACTAGTCCCCCAACTGTATCACATGGGTTTGGCTCAGCCTCCTCTAAGAGAGGTGCCAGCTTGGATGCAAAAGCGGGGTGAGCCTTTTCCCTTCCACATTCAGCCAGCGTGACGCCTGGACAGGACACACGTGTGGCCCCCACCGCGGGCAGGAAGGACTCAGTGAGGGCATGCAGAGGGGGAGGGTGTTTCTGTCTGCCCACCCCTACTCTGGGGGCCCACCAGGGATCTTCCGTGGCCCAAGGGCAGGCCTCAGCAGGGAGGTGGTGGGGCAGAGTCCGAGGCTGGCCTGGGTTCCCGCCTGCAGGAGAGAATTCCGAGAGGGGGGATGTGAGATTTCTTACACTGTAACCTGCCAGTCCCGGCTCTCCTTGGGCCCCCATCCGTCCTGGAGCACCCTAGGACAGGAGCAGATGCGTGTCGGTACAGGTGTGGTTCTTACCGCAGCGACCTGCCCTGGCAGCAGTCCAGTTCAGCCCCACCACCCTGCAGGTCCATGGCCCCGAACCCAGGCTGCGGAGCTCCTCCCTGAGTTCCCCTCCTCCCTCCGGCCCTCCCTACTCCCAGCTCTGGGGGTTCACAAGACCGAGTGGCTAAACCATCTTCACTTTTGTGAGCCAATTTTAAACAGAAGCAGCTGTAGAAAGTTAAATTATATGAACATACAGTTCAATCAATTAAAAGCGAAGATAACATCTATTCAAAACTCCTCCCTTTCTAATAATTTTGCTCCATTTTACCACTACCTAGGCTCTGGCTTATTTCCGTCTACTGAGTGCACGTGGTAGAACTAGCCGGTGACGGACACTCCCGTGCATCTCCTCCCGAGGGCGTGTTCAAGGACACCCCGGGGGGGGGGGGGGGGCACAGGATCAGCCATGGTGGGAGTGTTCACACCTTGCTGGGAGCACTCACACTGCAGGTGCCTGTCAGTGCTGCACACCGGCAGCTCAGAGATGCCTCACCTGCTTGCCTCCCCCCGCCTCCTCCCCCTGCAGCCGGCAGAGCCCTGGGACTGTCCTTCATGGCGGGCCAGTAAGAGGTGGGGATGGCCTCAGCGTCACCCAGCAATCTGCAGCCCTATCTCATGAGCCCATTTCCAGTGGGAAAACTCCTTGTTCTGTAAAACCCTCCTGAGGGGCAGGTCCCCTCTCCCCCACCACCCCAGAATGGGTGCTTATCCATCTGGGTCTGTAAATGGCTTCAGAAGACCCACAGCCCCCTTCAAACGGAAAGAAATACTTGGCCTTGGGGGTGCTTTCTCAGGGAGAGAGGTGGCAGCTTCTATAGGGTCCCCAAGGGACCCATGATGCAAAAGAAGCAGCTAGGACAAGGGACAGCCAAGGGTTTGGCTGAGCAGTGGAGCAGGAGGTACCTCTCTTTCTTCTCTTGCCCCCCCACCCCTTGCACCCCTGCTCTGTGCCTGCCCACCCCAAACCACCCCACCATGAGAGTTCTCACCGTTGGTCCCAGGCTGCCCCGGGACCCTTTAGGGCCTGGGGTGCCAGGGGGTCCGGGGTCTCCAGGGACGCCCATCTCACCCAGCTGTCCTTGGTAGCCCTTAGCACCCTGCAGCAGGAGGAGAGACAGACTGTCACGGAGCTCCAGCAGAGGGTGGGGAGAGAGGTGGGGGAGGAGGAGAGGAGATCATGGCCACAGGGGTTGGGCACCCGCCTTGGCTCCAGTCCGGCCCTTCTCGCCTTGCTTCCCTGGTTTTCCTTCAGGACCCTGGGAGGAGAAGGAGGGAAGGAGGAGGGTGAGAAATGAGAGCAACCTGAGGTGGAGCCACGGAGCCTAAGGGGCATCGGCACAGGAGCTCTGAGGGCGGACTGCCTGGGTTCGGAACTCACCCTGTGCTCCGTACCCCGGGGACCCTGTGATGTGGGAACTTGGCCTGCGAAGTGGGGACAGGGGTCCTGTTTGCCACATGGGGCTGAGAAGCTAACCGGGGATGGCCCCTCGTGCTCACTGGGTGCCTGGCCCATAGTCAGTGCTGGACACATCCCTGTTTTGGGGTGACTGCAAGGCTCCCAGCTGTCCCAGAGGGAGCAGGTCTCTGCACCTGCCACGAGCCACACACTGTTCCAGACCCCGAGGAACCCTGAGCCGGAGGCCCGATCGAGGTCTGCTCCCACGGATGGTGACTTCTGGGCTGCCCAAAGGTGAAATGACATGGCCCAGCACACTGAGTCAACTGCGGATCTGTCTGACTCCATGCCCGGGGCTCCTGGGGCCTCTGATGACATGCAGCGCGCGGGGAGCTCTTCCTACATCTCTGAGATGCCATGGGGCACTTCTGACCAGCCCGAGGTTGTGTCCCATGGACAGGGGCGCCCTCTTTTGTGGATGGGGGTGGGAGGGGATTCTCCCAGTGGGGCATTGTGCCTGGAAGGTCAGCCGTCCTCCCCTACTATCCCACTGGGGTTCCCAGGCCACTCCCTCCACAGGCTGCTCCGCCCCCTCCCTCGCAGGGCCTCCCTTTGCTCTCCTTTGCCCTGTTCTTGTCAGGGCCACTCACAGGGTGAATGAATGCGTGTAAGTGTGCACGTGTGAGCATAAGACAGATAAGAGAGGAAAAGAAAGGGAGAGAAGAGAATCCCAACTCTGAGCCACACTGGGTTGGGATGTAGGGCGTAAGATAGACAGTGTTTCTGGTCTCAAAGGACATCCCGATGGTCCCCAGGGAACGTCCCTTCAAGACCCAAACCTCAAAGGGAGCTGGGAAGAACATCTACGTTCTTGGTAAGCACTAAAGAACTAGTTCAATTCAAGCCCTTTGGCTGCATTAACAGAGGTATATGCTGTAGGATGAGGGAGGTGATGGCCCCACCTTGGAATAGGAGGGGGCAATGACTAACTGTGATGGAGGAAAGGTAGGAAGATGGGATTTTAGAGGAGCAGGAGAGGCACTTGACACCCATCTGCAGAACAGAGGGGCAGCTGTGTTCTTTGGGGTGATCAGTGGATGGAAATTACAGGGAGGCCACCTTTATTCTGCATAAGGACAAAACACGGCAAAAGTGGACTGGAGAAGACAAATCTCTGTCCCCAAGGGCAGTGCCAGTGAGACTACCCTAGGGCCCTCAGGAAGGAGGAAATGGTAGTCTTGGAAGGACCGAGCACAGACTGCCTTGCATTCTGGTACTTAAGTCCTCATGTGACCCTGGACAAGCCCCTTCCCTTCTGTGTGCCTCAGCTGCCCTGCCTCTCATAGGTAAGTCTTGAACTAGCTTTGTCTGTCTGTGACCCCTTGCCACATAACGCTCCTGAGCACTTGAAAAGGTGGTGACTGGATGGAGGAACCAAATTCTTAATTCAATCTAATTTTAATTAACTTAAAATTAAGTTTAAATACAGATAATTCAGTTACCACAAAACTTTTACATATGTTTGGAACAACTTGAGGATATAAACCTACATTTTCAGCTGTGTATTTTATGAAATCTAAACACAGAGCAAGTATTTCCAATGAAAATTTAGCATCCGAATTGAGATGTGCGATATGAGTAATTTACACATCAGATTTCATAGATTTAGTAAAAAAAAAAAAAAAAGGAAAAAGAAGAAGAAGGTAAAATACCTGATTAATGATTTTTATGTTGATTACATGTTGGAAATGTTCGTATCTGGGCTATATTGAGCTAAATAAATATACTATTAAAATTTATTTCATCCACCTCTTTTTAGGTTTTGAAATGTAAGTATTAAAAAATTTTAAATTATACAGGTAGCTCATCTCCTGTCTCTACCCACAGCACTGAACTACACCATGTCCCGGTCTTTGGCTCCTCCAGGAATAAAATAGTCACAACCAATATGACCGTGGGCCAGGCATGGGCCAGCACCGTGTCTGTGTTCTATGTCATGCCTCCCCCAGTTCTGGCCATGGGGCTGGGAAGAAGGGGTTATTTATCCCATTTGAGAGCCAAAGACATAGGCTCAGTGAGATGAAGACAGGACCCACAGGTCACCTCGCTGGGTTCAGATGAGATGCGGGTCCTCAGTTCTGGGGCACCCCCTGTCCCAGGCTGGTCATATCTGGGCAGTTGTCTAATCATGATATAGGGGCTGGTGGAAGGGGTCAGTGGTCTGAGGTGACTGCTATGGCTGATCCCTTGTCAGGAGGAGAAGTGAGTCAGTACGGAAGAATTCAGCACAGGGCCAGGACACCGAGAGTCTCCCCCAGGACAGAGCAGCCGGCCACTTGTTCTGACAGGCCCTCTCCAGCTGGGAGCGGCCCTCGTGGTGTGGGAAATCCTGAGTAAGGGCTGGAGCGTCCAGTGGGGTGAGGCCATGGGGCCAGAATGAAGACTTTTGCTGGGCCCCCATCCACGAAGATATATTTCTGGAAAGGCTCTGACGGCTCATAAAATTCTATTTTTAAATACTCCACTGTTTCCCGGCCAGAGTGGGAGATACTTGTCCTGCAGCCCTGATGCCAAAGAGACTCAAATACAAGCCTCTCACCACCTCTGTCACCAACACACACTCAGTCTGGCTGCAGTGAATCTCTTTCCCGTTCCAGTAGATGAAATTGGCGGAGATGGCAAAATACAGACATTAACCCTGTTGCAACCACCACCACCAACATGGCCCCCCTCAGCATGGGCACTGTCACCACCACTGCCACTGTCATCGTCATCACCATCATTGCCACCACCCTCACCATCTCTACCATTATCACCACCATCTCCACCATCACTAATACCATCACCTCCACCATCACCATCATCACCATCACCACCATTATCACCATCACCACTATCACCATCACCACCTTAATACCATCACCTCCATCATCACCATCATCACTATCGCATTCATCATCGCCATCATCTCCACCATCATCACCATCATCACCATCATCACCATCTCCACCATCATCACCACCATCACCAACTCCACCATCGTCACCATCTCCACCACCATCACCACCATCAACATCTCCACCATCATCATCATCATCTCCACCATCATCACCATCACCACCATCATCTATATCAGCAGCATCTCCACCTCCACCCAGCCATCAACATCACCACTACCACAATCACCACTACCACCAGCTTCCAGTCATTTCCTCCTCCAGCTTCATAAAGACAATATTTATTTTCTGGCACATTGTAGAAAGCACTTTCCTTTCCAAAGTTTCATTGACTCTTTAAAGATCAGAAAACCAAGTCTCACAGAGAGGCAGCATGATCTGCCTAAGGTCACACAGACCGTGGGTTCTCGAGCCAGAACTCACCCTCTGGCCTCTGGGCCCAGGGCTATTTCTGCTGTACGTTCCAGCCCATTCATCAGCCATGATACTCAAGCGTTTACTAAGAAATAGCCCCTGGAATGTTGGAGCATGTTCCTTCCAAATCCTTCATTGTACCAAAAGCGTGACCCAGAGAGGGCAGCAGTGAGTTCCTAGTGGGGAATGGTGGCCCGCGCCTCTCTGGCTAAGTCCCCCTGACCCCCTGGTAAATTCAATGTGGCTGAATGTGGGACAAGGTCAGCAGGGCCAGGCTCAAGGAGGCCGTGGCAGCCAGACTGAGGAGGGTGATTCTAGTCTGAGGGCACTTGGGAGCCATGGGAGGCTTGGGGCAGAGGAGGGACATGGGTAGATTGTTCTCTGGGAAACCCCCAGGTGGAGGAAGCGGAAAGCCTTTAGGCAGCTGTCATCAAAAGACCTCCTGTCCAACTGTTGGAACAGACATGGGTGGTACTTGTGCCCAGACACCCCCAGTGCTGGCACGAAGCCGTACACACTCACCCGGATGCCAGTGATGCCAGGGGGGCCAGGGGGCCCATCCTCACCCATCAGTCCCTCTTGGCCTTTGTTGCCACGTTCACCATCAGGCCCAGGGTCACCCCTGTCCCCCTAGGTTGGAAGGGAATGAGGAGGAGAGAGAGAATAAATCAGTCCCTCAGCCAATCAGAGGCACTAAACCTCAGGGCTCCATTTGGATGTCCACAGCCAAGCAGCCCCTGGATTTCTCCTGATGGTTCCCTGAGCCACCAAAAGGGTCAGGGTGGCATGTCCTGGCAGGTGCAGGAACTACCCCTGACCCGGTACTCGGGCCAGGGAGAAAGTCACTCAGAGGGAACACGGGACCTTGACCACTCCTGCCCCCGAGTTCACAAGGAGGGGACAGCTTTGGGACTTTCAGGCTCTTTCTCCCCAACACTGATACATGGGGAAGACAAGAGTCTTAAGACACCGAAGGGAATTTTAAAAAAGGAAAACAATTCACCCAATCCTGCCTCTCAGAACCAACTCCATTTTTCTGAGTTGCCTTTTCAACCCTTGCTTACATGCAAACAGTTTATAATACTAATAAGGCAAAGGTCATAGTTTCCATTGCTGTGTACCAGGCTCCAAGCAATGGGACAGCCGATTGAAAGCAAGGAAGCCAGTTAGCAGTATATGGAGGTTTAAAGACACAATCCAAGCGCAGCTCGGTCCATGTTGTTTTGTTTTGTTTTTTGCTGTCTGACTCTATTGCAAACAGCATCTCCCGTTGCCGTCTGCTCTGCACGGCTCTCGTCCTTGCCGGCGGCAGAGAACATCCTCGGCCAGAGGATGGCAGTTCACAACGGACACAGCACCTGCCACATCCAGGCCATGTCGTCCTCGCAGGCGGGGCTGAGGCAGGCTGTGGGCAGAGCAGGGACGAGGGGCGCGGCATGGGCAGCAGCCCCAGAGGAACAGGGTGGTGTGCCTGTCTGAAGGTCACCTCCATCGGGGCTGGCGGGCCCGGCGGGGCATGGGGCCAGTCTGCAAGTGGCTGAGCTGGGACTGGTTGGAGACCCGTGGGAAAGGGGATGAAGTCATGGCCTGGAGGAAGGGGTGGGAGGGGGAGCAGGCTGGGAGAAGGGGAGAGTGTCTGCCAGTTCTGTTTCCCGGCGCCACACTTTACGGGGAGCGCTGATAACCTGGTGTGGGTCCAGGAGAAAGATCAGGGTGCAGAGGGCATGAAGCCGGATCCTGGGTTCTAGGCACAGGAGGCTGGCACAGGGGCCTCTTGGGGCGGTTTCTAGCTCAGCTTATAGGGGGTGGAGGGAGACTCCCTAATGGAGAGGGGTCAAGAGATGGCATGGATAAGGGGGAGGGGCCACTCCAAGCATGCGTGGGCCAGCGCACAGCAGATCTGGGCACCCGGAGAGGGTCAGACAAGTTGGTGTGTGAGATCCGTCCCCACTGAGACTATTGGCCTCCCAGCACAGCCTGGCAGAGAGACAGGGTGCTATCATGATGGCTTTTCTGCAGACCCCAGCTCCAGGAACCCCCTTCTGGCTTGTCATCCCTGGCCACCTGCTCTCCCAGCTCTCCGAGGCACGCAGTCTGTTCCAGGGGGCTGGGCTGGTTTTCAGAGAGGGGCCCCAGCCTGGCACTGGCAGGTGCTACAGCTCCAGGGGCTGCCCAGACACCCTGCCCCCCTCTAGCCTGGCATAGCAAAGTTGTAGCTCCCCTACAGAATAGGCTCTGGGTAGGGGGTTCCTGGAGAATCCTAGAGTCCCCTGGACATCCGCCCATGCTCAGAAGAGCCTTACAAATTGTCTAGCTCAAACTTCTCGATTTACAGATGGGGAAACTGAGGCCCAGAGGAAGGAGGAGCCTTCCCAACCACACATGGGAGTCAGTGGCCGAGCATGTGTGAGACCCTAGGGTTCAGATTCCGAGGTTCTCTGTGCAGGAGACAGTAGCTCCCTCACTCCTGGGGTTATGTCACTTAAATTTGAACCTTGCTGCCACCTCTCAATGGCTGTGTGACCCTGGGCAAATTTCCTCATTTGTAAAGTAAGCAGCAAAGAGTTACTATGGGGATTGAAAGAGCTAATCCGTGTAAGTAGCTTAGCAGCGCGTCGGCACATGACATGAAGGACGAAGGTTAGCCTTCCCAGGAGTCACCACCGCTGTCCCCGCCACCATCTGCTGCGAGTCAGCAAACTCAACAGAGATTGGCAGCAGAAAAGCACGCTGCAGACTCTCACGAACTGTGTGTGTCCGGGAGGTGGTTTTCCCCATGAAGGTGATCCTTGGACAAACACGTGAAGACATCACACTGTCTCCTGGGTTTCAGGAGGACCAGAGAAGATGCTGGATGTCTGCAGCAACTACTCTGACCCAAGGTCTGAGACAGAACTGCTTTGAAGGGAGTGGAGGAGGAGGAGGAGGATGCCAGTGCCTGGAGCCGTGTGAGAGAGCAGGAAGGACCAGGTGAGACACTCATGCCTTGAAGCCCCATCTCCCATCCCACCTCAGCACAACTCCAGGGAGAAGAAAGGTGGCTGGCCAGAAATGGAAGAGACCCCTGCGCCGTGACTCAGTTTCCCCATCTGTCATGTGGGGACGGGAATGAATCCAGCTCCCAGGGCAGCTGGGAGGATGACACGGGTTCAGTCACATAGAGCTCTTAAGGCAGGTGATGCGAGCGCACGGTGAGTATGCTGAGAATTTCAGCTAGAATGTTCTTTAGCGTCACTGCCACTCAAGCAGGCATTGGGCAAAGGGTGTGGAGGGGCTGTCCTGTCCTCCCCAGCAGGGGCCAGGTTGTACCCCAGGATGCAGCCGAGCTGGAGAGGAGAGGAGGCAGACGGATGGCAGACAGGGGGCGCTCTCGGCCTTGCAAGGAAAACCCGGGGCAGCTGGGGAGCCAGCCAGGGGCCTGTCCCTGAGGCACCCTGGTAGACGGGGAAGCCAGGGACCCAGGACAGCTATGGGCATGGGGCAGTGGGCGTGGGGGTCTAGGGACGGGGTAACTGAGGGCTGCTTATCTGAGGTCACGTGGAGAGTAAACGGGTGACAGAGGGAATCCTGGGAGGTGGCCCTTGGGCCCTTGCCTGAGGAGCTGACTCAGTGTGACAGGCCACCCTGGGGAGAGCCCACCTAGTACTGGGCCAGGGTTAGGGCTGGGCCAGGGCTGGCAGCCAGGGACAGGCTTGTGCTAGATGTGGAGCTGGTAAGTCAGAGAGAGACCTCCACTGGCCCCATAGTGCAGGGGAGCCCTGGAGCCTCCTGAAGGTGCCCACACCTTCAGAGGAATCTACGGGGCGTGGTCGGGCTAAGTCAGGCACCAGCGAGCCCTGGGTTTGAATTTTGGATTCTCCACTCACAGCCGTAGACTCTAGATGAGTGCACCTCTGTGTCCTTCGGAGCCTCAGCCTCTACACCTTTAGAATGGGTGCATGGTGCAGAGAGGGAGCTGAAGCTTGGGTCTTGTCTGTACCAATTACTGGCTGTGTGTCTTTGGGCAAGTGCTTAACCTCTCTGTGTTTCAGTTCCCTTATTTAAAGACAGAACTTGGGGCGCCTGGGTGGCTCAGTGGATTAAAGCCTCTGCCTTCGGCTCAGGTCATGATCTCAGGGTCCTGGGATGGAGCCCTGCATTGGACTCTGCTCAGCAGGGAGCCTGCTTCCTCCTCTCTCTCTGCCTGCCTCTCTGCCTGCTTGTGATCTCTCTCTCTGTGTCAAATAAATAAATAAATCTTTAAAAAAAAAAAAAAAAGACAGAACTTACCCCACAGCATTAACTGAGGTGTTACATAAACAAAGGGCTCAGCACAGTACCTGATACATTGGTGACGAGGCCACCATGAAGAGTGGCTCACAGGTCATGGGCGGTGATGATGATTTTCCTGATCTTTTAGGATGTTTGCAAGATAACAGAGAGCTAAGCTGCTGGCTCTGGGTCTAGCCCAGAGCAGGCTGTCCAGACACTACCCTTAACCGAAAGAAGCTGTAGTTTTGAGAAGGGTAGCAGTGAGGAGCGGAAGGGGGGATGGCTCCTAGCCCCGTCTGAGCAGGGAAGGAGGCAGTGGCGGGCAGGGAGTGTATGGGGGGTGGATGGGTGTGTGCTGGCGACAGGGGCTGGAGCTCTGGTCTCTGGTCTCAGAGCTGTATGGGAACACAATGCTTCTGGGAGAAAGCTCAGGTCTTGGATGGGAGGGGAATGCAGGCAGAGGTAGAAGACGGTTCCAGAACACACCCCTGTCCCCCCCCACCCCTGCCCCCCGATCCCACCTCAAGACACTCACCTTCAGCCCATCAGGCCCTGCAGGGCCACTGTCACCCTCGAGGCCTGGCTCTCCCTGGAAAGGGTAGTCGGGAAAGATGAGACACTCCTGGGGAAGGGGCCCAAAGTGTTTTTACTTCCTCCCCCTCCTTGGGGCGGGACTCCAACCGTGCTGTCTCTGGGCAATATGGCCCCCGAATGCCCGGCACACAGAAGGTGCCCAACAGTGGCTGAACCAGTGAGCGAGACGGGGGCTGGGGGGGCTGGGGTGCCCACTGCCAGCTCTTCAGAAAGGAGGAGTAGACCCCTAAGCCCCAGCCTGTCTGCAGGGTGGGTTACCTGGGGGCTACCCCAGCTCACCAGTTACAAAGTGTCCCAGTTAGTTGGTTGGCTGGAAACACGGATGCTCAGTAGTTAAGGCTCTGATGTCATACAGACCTCAGTTCCCCCGCTGGGCTCCCCATTCGCTGGCGGTGTGACCACAAGCAAACTACCTAGCCCCCACAGGTGGCTGTTTTCTCATCACAAGGTTGGGCTGACACCACCTCCTGTGAGGGTGCCTGTAAGGCACAGTGTAGGGAGCACACGAATGACAGCCATTTGACATATCATTTCTGCAGCTGGAGTGAGCTCCCATGGAACCCCCCGTGGAATCCCATTTCTCAGATGTGGAAGGTGAGGCCAGCCGTAAGACTTTCCGGCCAGCAACTTCAGGAGCGATGCCAAGACCCTGAATCCCCATCTGGCCCTCAGCTAGGTTCTCTGCTTGCAGCCCCCGCTCCAGAGATGACCCTGGCCTTCTGAGTTCTCAAACTGCCTATCAGATTAGTTTGGGTCTCTCTCGGCTTTCAGAGTTCATGGCTGTTCAGCACCTGAGCCTGAAGGGGCCTCAGAGGTCATCAGCGGCAGGGATGGCAAAGGCACCACAAGCGTGTAGACACCACCCTTCTTGTGCCCATGGCAGATGTCACTAATGGATCTACTAGAATGTGGTTCCGTAAGAACACGGCCTCCTTTACTCACTGCTTGGTTCCTGGTGCTTTGAGAGAAGGGCCAGGCACACAGTGGGCATCGAGTGAGTGCTAGTCACTCTCCTTTCTACTGTGCCTAGATGGAACCTCAGAATCCTTCTTAACACAGCACTCTAAGAAAACCGTACTGATCAGTCTTTGTTGACGCACAAGATTTACCATCTTGGGGTTTCGGGCTGCACACACATCCTGCCTTGCCCTGTGGTCTTTCTTGCTCCTTCCACATCTTAATTCAATTTGTGGTGCCTCGGTTGACTCTGGGCAGGGGGAGCACGAGGCATTGGAAAAACAGGGGAGATAAGAAATGAAGGGCACCTGCCTCTGGTGCCCCCAGGGACTGAGACCCACAATAACTCCCCCTCCCTCTGGGACCCCACCTTCTGCACCTGGCAGATGCTACAGGATGCCTGCTCTGTACCCCTCCCAGTACGCCTGCAACCATATTTGCGCAAACACTGTATGAACTGGGCACGGAGCATAGAGAGGTGGACAGAGAGGCAACCCAAAGCTTCTCAGAGGAAGGCAAGTTTTGTGGGTTTCTTTCAGAAAAGAGAAACATAACCTTCCATGGAAGAGTTTCCAAGGATGATAACAGGTGTTTTTCAAAAGTAAAACTGCTGCAGATCATTTAAGTTTGGATTAATCCAAAAGGAACCACTGTCTTGGCTGCTGGCCTTCTCAGAGCCTTGAAAATGCTACTGCTAATGTGGAGAGGGAACAGGGAACATGCAGTGAATCCCAAACACTCTGACCACAAGATCGTTTTCTTCCAAGAGTGCCTCTGTGTTGTGGAAATGCTGGCTCAGCAAGAGAGATGAGATGAGGCTATAGGAATTCACCATCTCTTTCTCCCAGAGGCTCAGGGAGGTTGAGGAAAGCCCTTGCCCCGACCCAAGTGCCCCACAGGTGGCTTCCCAGGAAGAATGAATTTGCTTTTGACTTACCCGCTGCCCAATGAGGCCCTGCTCCCCAGGGGTGCCCAGAGGCCCAAGGTCACCCTAGGAGAAGCCAAACACAAGTCCATGGGGGTGGGTAGGGCCAGTCCCAGCCCTCGCTTCACTTTCCTGTCCTCACCAGCTCTGATTTGGGTGGGGAGCTGGTAAAGCCCCTCCTTCCCAAGAACCAAAGCAACACTGCAAAATGCCAACCAGAGCCCCTGCTCCAGGCACCCCCCGGGGCCGTGTGGGTCTCAACACTGAAACCTCACAACAATCCTGCCAGAGAAGGGATCTTCTTTTACAAATGGAGAAACCAAGGGACCACGCTCAGGGTCACGTCACTAGCCCAAGCCCATGAGGCTAAGAAGGGACAGGTTCAGGATCCAAACCTGGGTAGTTTGGCTCCAGGGAGGACCAGAGGCAGGGATGGCAAATCTGTGGCTGACCGCCTTCTTTACTCTCCCTGAGAGCCTTGGAAAGAAACCCAAAGGAGGAAGAGGCCCGAAATGAACCAGAGTAAACGTCACCTGTCCCCACAAAAGATCACCACGTGGGGATTTCTAAACTAGTCTCCCTCTGTGCCGATGTCTGGGGGGGGTGCCAGGAGGAGGGGGAGCACCAAGCCCCCAGCCCTGCCCCAATGGGGACGATCCCATTTCCGTCTGTTTTAGACAGGCCGCACTCTCTTCCACAGCAGAGCGGGGACAGGGCTCTCCCCAGAGCCCAGGCATCAGTGGGCGCCTGTTTCCCCTGCAGGTAATGAGGGGCTCAGGGACTGAAATGCAGATGGTATCTCGGGAGGCCAGGAGGTGCGGCCGCCGGGGCGTGGGGCAGGTGCCAGGGAAAACACCGCTGGGCAGGGGGCCAGGGCGGGGGCTCCGGGTCGGCTGGGCCCGCCACTGTGGCCGTAGCCAGGACCCGCTCCCCGGCCAGGAACACAGAGAATTCATTATTCCCACACAAGAAAGGCCCGTTTCTCTTCCGTGGGGAGGACGTGGCCGCCAGCTGGGAGCTGGTTTCAACAAGTCAATTTTCTCTTTCATCCTGCCTTACCTTCATCCCGGCTTCCCCAGGAAGGCCCGGTTCTCCCACCGCACCGGGCGGCCCCTGCAAGAAAATGCCATTGGTCCCTCCTACAGCAAGGGTTGGCCTCGACTGTAAGGGAGGAGAATAACTGAGGTTGCCCCAGAGAGGGCAAGGAATGTGCCTGAGGTCACACAGCAGGAGAGACACAGAGCTAGGAGTAGGCTGTGGGCCTTCTGGGAGCTTGGGGCTGGGACCACAGGGCGGGTGGTGGTTGCGCCCAGGGGGATGAGCCCTGGGGGGGCTCCGAGGCTTCTGGATCTCTCTCCTTCCCCACGAGTGTGGGTTACCACATGAGGAGCCCCTTGGCGAGCACAGGGAGGAAAATAGCATGATTCACATAACAACAGGGGAGGAAGCCAACTGAGGCTGTATTCAGGGTGGACGGATCCCTGTGCTTTACTCCAAAGCTGGGCCAGGATGCCCATGGGGGGGAAAGGGTCCGAGTCATTCCCAGCGGCATGGCTACAGCCCCTGCACAAAGCTGCGGATCCACTTCCTTCTCTAAGGCAGAGGGGTCTGAGGCCCCTCTAGAGCGCATGCCCTGTAAAAGACAGGTTCTGCAGGCAAACCTCGGTGCTGAGCGGAAGTCCCCACAGGGACGGGGAGGCAGAGGGCACTGCTGCTTCCTGTGGTGGCACAGAAGAGGCACCGCTAACCCACCGGAGGGTCCCTGCAGGCCATGCGCTGCCCTGGGACCTGGAGCCCAGCTCCTCCCGCTACTTTATTAGCATGGATCTGCTCTCCTGCGGAGGCTGGGGGGGTTGTCCTACCCTTTGGTTTCTGCGGGACATAGGACACGACCATTTCCCAGGCCAGGCCTAGGACACCCCAGCGGAGGAGGGCCACAAGGTGCTGATACCGCCCCAGCAACATCACGGGACAAGCAAGGGGCGCTCAGCACTCACCTTGGGGCCCATCTCTCCCGGAGGACCAAGTGGCCCCTGGGGTCCCTGAGGGCCCTGTAAGACAGACAGACAGACATACAACAGTTTGAGAAGGCCCAATAGTGCAGTGTGCAGGGGCAGGTAAGGGAGAAGGTCCAAGAACCTGGGACCCTGCTGTCATGCCCCCCACCACCTGCCTTGCCGGGGACCCACTGTCTGTAGCTCCTCCCTCACCACCGGTCTCCTGCCTCCCCCTCAAACCATCTACACTGTCTCCTGTTTCTCTCTCTCAAACCCAGGGAGCCCTCTCCCACTCAGAAACCTTCCAGTCCTCCGAGCAGCCTCGCTCACTCTGTTCCATCTGTCTGAATGCCCTTCCACCTGGGATCCACCTCTGGAAACCCCCATCTGGCTCCTGGTCAATTCACTGTTCAAATCAGGTCTCCTTGGGCCTATTGATGTGGGACTGTAGCACGGCCCCAGGGGGCAGGATCCTCCTGTCTTCTGCCTGCCTCACCACAGGGATCCCTCCTCCTCTGTCCCTTGAGGCTGTCCTCTCCTGTCCCTCGACAGCGGTACCACTCCATTGCCTCCTCAAGGGGCGTCCTGACACTTGGGCTGTCCCCCAAACCCGTCCTTCCAGGGAGACCTCCTGAAGGGTTATCTTGGTTTCAAACCCCTCACTGGCTCCTGTCCAGACCCTGTAATGCCCATACTCGGTCCCTTAATACTCTGTTCCCTCAGGTTCTCACTGGGCTATGCGCCCTGCATACATTTGCTCATTTCATCTTTACAACAGGCTGGCATGATAGGGACAATTATTCCTGACTAAATACAAAGAGAAAAAAAACTAGGCTGGAGGGCAAGTGAGCTTAGACGCCAACCCAGAGCTCCTGAGCTCCCTGGCCAGTGCCCCTCCCTACCCACCCCACCCCCCAGGCCTGTGCCATCAGCATAACAGAGGCCTGGCCCCTTCTCTCTCCAACCTCCTCCTTGGCTGACCACATCCCACACTCCCAGGCGGGGGCCCAACTGGGACCAGCCCGCCAGGGACAAAGAGGCCAAAGAGGGAGGAGCAAGCACTTACCGGTTCTCCTGGGAGGCCCTTGGTGCCAGGCGGGCCCGAGGGACCCGGGATACCCTGCAGAGAAGAACAAAGGTGACCTCAGTCTCTCTCTGGCCTCCTTCGTCCTGTATGGAAGCCTTCTACAGGAAGCCTTCGCAGTGTGTGAGGGCCCCACTCCCCCACCCGCCACATGACCCAAGGGGAGCCTGAGTCTCAGGGGGGACAGAGGCAGGCCAGAGGGTCTTCAGGGCAGAATGGGCAGCCGGAAGCTGTGTGGTTTCCACGGCACTGCGGGAACTGGGTACCGCGGCTCTTATCGCCCGGCAAAGCCCCTCGGAATTTCCAGAACTGGTGCTACTTACGGGGAAGCCTTGCACACCCGAGGGCCCGCGTTCACCAGCCGCACCCTGGAAGCAGATTTGGGGTCTTAGAGGCACATATGGGCCGGCAGGGAGCGGGGAGGGGGCTGGCCAGCTTCGGCCTGACGTACCTGCTGCCCGGGCTGGCCCGGTCTGCCCTGCGGTCCGGAAGGGCCCTGCGGGAAGCAAAGCAGATGAGGGAGGGAGAGGGTGCGTTGGGGGACACCTCACGGACACAGGACCGCGCACTCCGTGGGAGATGGAAGGAACCCGTGTCATCACCAGACCCACCCCTCTCCCTATTGTGCAGGTGGGGAAACTGAGGCCTGGCAAGGGGAGTGGTTTGCCATAGTCGTCATCAGCTCTGGAGAACCAAGGACCCCTCGCTCCTGCTGGGAGTGGAAGCAATCTCGGCTCCCGGTGGGGGGCTCTGGAGGGGGCAGGGAGCCCCAGGGAAGGGGTCAGAGGGCACCCGAGGTTCCCTCCCACTCTCTCTTACTCCTGCCTCCTCTGGCTCCCTCTTATTCACGTCTCTCTCTCTGTGCTCCTTCTCCCCAGACCCCAGGCTCAGGCTCCAGGACCAGGAGGAGCAGCAGGTGATCTCCCATCCTCTCTTGGACTCCCCACCACCCCCAGGGGCCTGGCGCTGAGGAAGGTGTGAGCCTTGGTGCCTGGACTCCTGACCCAGTGTGGGAGATGTGAGGAAGGGCAAGTCATGGTGTTGGTACCTTCAGGCCCCTGGACCCCTGCTCCCCGGCTGGTCCATCTGGTCCTCGGGGGCCCTGGAATAGGAAAAAAGGACTAGCACGGTGGACAGTAGGGGTCTTCCTCAGGCTGGGAACCAGGAGGCCAGGCTGCCCAGAGCCTCAGGCCTCTCCAGGCACAAGCCTGGGGCTCCCTTCTCCTTCTGTTGTGCGCACGCCCCCACCCTAAGGCAGGTCTCCCACACACAGCATGCCTGCTGAGATGGCGAGGCATTGGCGGGGGGGGACTCCGCTAGAGGCCCTGATGTTCTGGAATAGGGCTGGGGGTGCACGAACGACCCTGTTGAAAGAGACCTCGGAGGTCAAACAGCCACACACCTCAGAATTGGGCAAGCCGAGGGCTGGATATATGTCCCCACTGTCAGCCCCTCGGACTCAGCTGCTGCACCCTCTTCCCCGAGCACACGTGAGGCAGAAACAGGTATGTGAACCACAGCCCTTGGGGGACATTGACAGTGAAGGGCCCCGGGAGGGTCGGCATGTGGCTCAGTGTGCAGAGCAGATGTGCGAGTTGGTCTGACCCTGCTCACAGATGGAGAGTGACAACGTGCGCAGAGGCAAGAGCAGGGCGGGGCTCAGGCATCTGTTCCGTGGAGTCCTAGACAGCAGCCTTATTCCTTTGAAAGCTGGGAGCACATCCCCAACGCCCCCTGAGGCAGGCCCTTCCCCCACTGCACAGAGGCCCAGCCAAGGGAAGTGACTTGTCTAAGGTCCCTTAGCACACCAGCAGGTGCATCCCCTCCACGGATCTACCCACTGGCCCAAGTGATCCCCTTACGGGGACTCCCAGAGAGACACAGATAGGATGGGGTCCTCTGGAAAAGGCCCCCCGTAGAGAACAGTGTGGTCTTTGTCCTGCAGGGGACCAGAGAGGTCATGGTGGGGGGGGGGAGACGAAGAAGGTCTTGTGCAGAAGGCTGGCCCACCCTGGCCTGGGAGTTGGGGGCCAGCCACAAAAGGGGACCGGGAACATGTCTGGGTGGGGGTTGGGGGATGGGGGATGAGAAAAATAGCATGAAGAAATCATTTAAAAATTGAGCAAGGAAACTTTCAATTAGTAATTGAGCCAGAAAAAGCCACAACTCCTCTTATCAGCTACCTGGGGCTTCCACGGCTTTAAATAGTGCCTCATAGATTGAATAAACCTGGACAGGCAACCGTGCTAAGCCTCAGTTATCTTGTCTCTGAAATGGGGATGAGAATCTCTCCCTTATGGTGAAAGGTGAGGCACCTGGCCTCCTGTCAGCACTTGGTAGTAGCTGGCCTTGCCAGAGGAGGCAGCAGCCCCCCCTGGGGTCAGTGACACAGAGGAATGGCCTGGAAGATCTGGATTCAGTCCCTTCCTTGGGACAGGCAGCTCAGAGCAAGCTACAGAGAACCAGCTGAGAGTTTCCATAGATCCAATACAACAGAAGATTAGCTGTGGGTGCTAGTCCTTGTTCTGTGGCTGGATGGCTTTGTGGCCCCAGGCAAGCCCCTTCCCCTCTCTGGGCCTCTCTCTCTCAGATGGACATGGTCAGACCATGTGTTAGACTTTTCAATCCTGGTTTGTGGACAGGTGCCTGGTGGAGATGGAGTGAGATTGAGGTGGGGACATCCCAGGTCTTAGGAGCTGGGACAGAGCCTGAGCTGATGGGTGGGCATCTGGGCTCTCCTGAGAGATGGCTTCTGGCCCCTGGCCTCTGTCTCTAGCTGAGCCATAAACCTCCCTGGAAAGGGATCACTCTGGGACTGCAGGGAGGCCCAGAGGTGTTAATAGTTTGCTGTGAATCACATGGCACTGTATTTATCCCAGGAATCCAAGCCTTTCTGAGAGAAAGTTTGTGTCATGTACAATAATTGCAGTAGCAACAACGGCAGTAGTAATGATACTGAAAGGTGCTATCCTCATTTTGCCATAAGGAAACAGCCCATGGTCACACTGCTGGGAAGTGGAGAAGCCAGAATTGAGCCAGAAGCCCATTTCTTTCCACCACAATCTGTCATTGCTTAGCAGTGTGGGAGTGAGCTCCCCGTCATGAGGGGTGTACAAGTCAGGGACTAGAGAAGTCTGCCATGATGGCTCTGCCTAGAGCAGGATGTTGGAGAAGACGATGTCTAAAGTCTCTCATACCTGGGAGACTGCAGTCCCTTGGGAGACCAGAGAGCTCAAGGAGAAGCTGGTGTTGCTTGGGGGAAATAGGGCGAGCCCTTGCTGTCTAGAGGGAGGAGGAGGCAACGGAGCCCCAACCACCCTCGCTCCCTGGCTCCCCAGGGCAGGGACAGGAGCAGAACAGCCGCACATACTAACCCTTGCTCTGGGCCACTCTGCAGCTCATCCTGTGTCCCGAGGGTACCCCCGTCCTGTTCCTTCCTTCTTCAAATGAATACAGGCCAGTCATCCCTGCTGGAGGCAGGCCTGGGTTTCCATCAGAACCATATGTCTGTTCTCTTATAGCCAGTCCCCAGGAAGATGCTCGCAGTCGAAGCCAGGGCTATCTTTCACCCAGGCTGGGACAGAAAATGCGGTCAATTGCAGCTCTTGTGACAAAGGGATGGACGATCTAAGGGAGGTGCTCACCATGTATAAGGCACTTACCAAGGGATTTAATCCCATGGCCATCCAGAGAGGTCAGTTCTGTGGCTGACTTCAGAGAGTCAGAGTCAGTTGCTCAAGGTCAAAGAGGAAGAGCCACAAAAAACAAAATGGGCGTCCTGCTAATGTGTGTTCAGATTCTGGGTCCTTACAACCTCCTTCTAGTTTCATCTGCTAAGCCTTACAGAAGTTAAGAAACTGGCCTGAGGTCCCAGAACTGGTAACTGAGAAGGCTGAGATTTGTCCCTGTCTGGCCCCAGATCTCCCACTCTTCCAACTGAGGTCTGTGGACCCAGACCCTGTCAAAGGTTCTACCAAGAGCTGAGGGCCTGAGGACCCATCTTGTCCTCTCTTGCAAATCAGCAGGGACACAGGCAGGTCCTCATACCCTCCTCATGGCACATATGCCCAGAACTGAGCTCTTTTGCAGGCAGGAGGGCTGCCCCTCTAGATACCCCCCGAACACACACCGTGAAGTGGCCAATGGTGGACTATTAGGCCGGGGACCCAGGGGGCTGATCCCACAGGTTTTGCATTCCTGCCAAACCCAGCAGCGGGGAGGAGCTCATGTTCCCGAGGCTTCCCTCCCAGCCCTGGAGACTTTTGATGTGGTTGGGAGCCTGGGTTTCCTCAAGCAGGACAGACATTCTTGTAGCCAGAGCTGAGAAGGGGTGCTAGAGAAAGCTGGGGGAAGCTTGGTGAGTTGAGGACCTGAATCTCCAGCTAATCTGGCTTCCTGGGGCAGGAGGCCATGTGCACAGGGTCAAGGTGGAACAGGCTGCCAATGGGCCTGGGTCCACTTGCAGAGACGAAGGACATGGCAGTGGGAGGGGCCCTGCTGGGCCAGAGGAATGCCTCGTAATCCGCCCCTCTCCCAGGCTGACTCCTGGCCATCTGGTTTGGGGGAAAATTTAAAACCACTTGAAATTTAGCCAAGAGGAGGCTGATCACAGATCCCCCATATGGAGCTTGGATATCAGGCTGAGGCTGTCGGCTCTACCTGTGCCATCATGGTTGCCTTCTGCAAGGCTGCCTTGCCCATATATGGGTTGGAGGTGGAGAACCACTCCATCAGCCCTCCCTGCACAACTGAAAATGAGACTACCTTCAGTATGCAAAAGAGTCAGATTCCCTGGGTTCAAATCCCAGCTGGGGCACTTTCTCACTGTGCAACCTGAGACAACTGACATAACCTCTCTGTGCCTTAGTTTCCTTGTGTGTAAAAGGGAATGAAACCTAGCACCTTCTTTGTAGAAAAATGAGTCAATATATGTGTTAGATAGCACCTGACACACAGCAAGTACCAGCGGTGACTTCTGGCGCCTGTGTTCAGGCCGGTGCCTCCTGAAAACCTTCTGTGGCTCCCCACTGCCCTGGGAGCACAGCCCATAGGCCTAACTGTGGTTTGCAGGCTTGCCACCTGCTCATTCTTGGTCTCATCTCTCTCTGCGGACCCTCTGTGGAACCAGTGGGGGCCTGTAAACAGGCCGTGCCTTCTCTCACCTTAGGGCTTTCCCTTGCCTGGAGCCTGGCACTGGCTGCAGGCCCCTCCTCTCCCTGAAGCGTGCTCTGATGCCCTGGACAGGCTCCCAAGCCATTGTGCTTCACCATCTACGCGCCCAGGACCCGTACTATCTCCTTGACCTACTTGATTGAGCCATGAGGGCAGGTGGGGTCACGCCTCTTCCCTCCTCCCGTGGTACCTACAGAGCCTCCAACAGTGGCTGGTATACAGCTGGCGCTAAATAATTGGTGGTGGAATGAATGGATGAACAAATGGACAAGACGCTGGTACCACAGAGCCTGTCTGTACCCATGGAATGGCAAGGCCTGGTGTTCAGAAATGGGCTGGAGAAGACGAGCTGGAAAGGGCGGGGGGTGAGGGGGAGTGCCAAGCTGACAGCCAGGCCCGGGGATGAGCGTAGAACCCTGCCTGATGCCATAAAAATCACAGGTCTCAGAGCTGGGCACAGGGCAAGGACAGGAGGTGGTCTGTCGGGCAGCCCCTGCCAGTGCCAGCCTCCTGGAGGCGGGGCCCCACTTACCAGACGTCCCTTTACTCCCCTCATGCCTGGTGGGCCACGAGATCCTGGAGGGCCCTGTGGGGAGGAGAAAGAGTTTGGAGAAGCTGCCTTTCTGGTAGCAAGGGCAACAGGGAAGGCTGGGAGTGTGGGGGCAAAGCTGGGTGCACATAGAAGGAATTGGCCCAGGGGGGAAATCTGTCCCCCTGGAAGAAGCCGCCCACGGGCTAGAACCCTGAGCACAAGTCAGTGCCCTGGGTTCAATGTGGTGTGCCTCCACATCTCCCAGGCATCTGGTAGTGAGGAGAAGTCTCCCGGGATGGATGAGCCATTTCCTTCTGCACCTCAGAATCAACTACCGGAAGCTAGCATGACTCCTTGACCAAAGCTCTCCTCAAGTGCCCATTTCCCCTTTTCCCTTCCACCAGCGAGGAGACTATGGCTGTCCATGTTCTGCCCCCCCCCACCCCCCAATCCCAAACATCACCTGACAGCCATCCAGAAGGTTCTGACCAGAGCAGAAAGAGTGAGCCCTGGGGTACGAGGGGGAAGAAGCAGACCACAGCCCCGAGGTGAGGGAGGGGGAGGCAGGGAGAAGGGAAAAGGGCCTGGCCCAGGGAAGCTGCCTGTTATATCTGGTTTGATGCAGGAATGACAAGAGGCCCAAGGGGGAGACAGGGAAGGAGGGAAGGATGGCACAGGGTTGTCTCTGTTCTTTGAACTCTCAACACCGGCACAGCACAGGCCTATGACCAGAAGCGAGGAATCTGTTGGAGAAAATACGAACCGTCTAACAATAGAAGAGGACAGAGGGTAGAAGGGAGACGAGAGGAAGCGGGCTGCCTGACGCCAGATCTCTCCTCTGGGTTCGGACCCCAGCAGCATCCACCAAGCAGCGCCTTTACCCATGGCCGGCCGGCCGGGACCCCTCCAGAGCCTCCCAGCTCAGCAGCAACTTTCAGGCTGGGCGTGCTTTTTTTACAAGCAAGACGCAGCTTCATTCCCCTCCAAATACCAGAGAGAGGCCCAGCTCCATTTGGGGCCTCAGGAACAACTTGCTGTTCCCTTTTCTTTCTCTCCATGGCCTTGAGGGGGCGCAGGCCCTCAGTCAGCTGCTGTGGAGGGGCTGATGTATGGGGCCGGCTTCTAATCTGCCCCTTGTCAGCAGAGCAAGCAGGGTGTGGACCCTCGCTCGGCCCAGTAAGAAGGCAGAGCTGACGCCTGGATGGTGGATGACAGGAAGATTGGGTGAGAACGAGCCATTTTATAGCGGGATCTCAGACTGCAGAAGGCATGCAATACGTCACTGGGAGATTTCAGGAGCCAAGTCTTGACTCTGAGGCAGAAGAATAAAGGACTCAAAAGGACCAACTGCTTCCTCAGAGAACCAGGTTCAAATCTCCACTCTGCCACTTCCTAGTTCTGTGACCCTGGCAAGGGATTTCAACTTGGTGGGCCTCAGTTTCCTCATCTGTGAAATAGGTAAAGAAGAATCCCTAGCTCCTGGAGTTGCTGGGAAAAGGAAATGACATGGTAAGTCCTCACTAAAGGGTAGCTCTTAGCTCTCTCAGTGTGGGAGGGGGCCAGAAACGGGAAGCCTGACTGGTCCCCCACCCCTGGGGCCATGAGGATAATGATCTCAGCAGGCCTCAGTGGGCCTCAGTGGGCTGAGAGAGAATGTGGATTTCATGAGATTGGAAAAGTGGGAAACTGCTCATCAGACCTGAACAGTGTCATCAGAAATGTCACCTGAACCGCAGTAGTCTTATAGAAATGGCGGTAATTAACCTGCCTAGTAAACAGCAGTTACCACTACTCCTGGTCAGTAGACACTGAGCGTAGGCAGGCAGTTGGCTAAGCACGACGTCATGCACTGATGGCATGGCTTTCTCACAGCAATCTCATAACGGAGTTTCATGCTGGCTTGCCGATGGGGAAACGGAGGCACAGAGAAGCCACAAATACTTCCAACAATCAGCCAGCTGGTAAGCAACCGGGAGTTCACTCACAGCTGTCTGATTCTGAAGTCAGATTTCTGGACCTCGGTGCTACACTGCTTCCCCTGGACAGCCAGGAGGAGCCCCAGGAGGTCCAAGCCATCCGCCCTATAGGGCAGCAGGAGCGGGTCAGGGGAAATGGAGGGAGGGGGGCATAGCGCAAGCACCACGTGACTGCTTTCACTCACTCTGAGCCCACCTCCAGAGCAGTGGCGAGCGCTGAGGACACAGCAGAGAGGAGGTCGGGGGAGCCCTAGAGGTAAGGGATTCGGAGGAGGCCATGAGCTTCCTTCCATGCGCTGGCTTGGATGGCCCCACTGCTTTCCCACCTCCCACTGGCCTTCCATTTTGTTCCAGCAACTCCATTCCAGGCTTTCCTGCTCCCACTGGACAGATGCGGAGACTGAGGCCCAGGAGGCTGGAGTGCAGGCTCTCCTTGCACCTCTCTGCTTTGAGTTTTCTACCTCATCAAAAGGATTATAGGGGACAGACAGAGCCACCTGCTGCTCAGTACTTCTGTCTGGGGATGACGGTTACTTGTGTCCAGGCTTCTCATCCCTGGCTAGTCCCTCCGTATCCCTCCTCAGCAACTAGCACTGCCTGGCACATAGCAGGTGCTCAGTAAAGTTCTGTTAATGAGGGAAAGGATGTTTATACTTGGCATTCCCCCTACGGGATCTTAAAAGCAGATGTATTTTCTTTTTTTTTTTTTTAAGATTTTATTTGAGACAGAGAGAGATCCCACGAGCAGGGGGAGAGGGGCAGAGAGAGAGGAAGAGCAGGAGAAGCAGGCTCTCCACTGAGCAGGGAGCCCTATGCAGGGCTCGATACCAGGACCCTGAGATCATGACCTGAGCCAAAGGCAGATGCTTAACCCACTGAGCCATCCAAGCATCCCAGCAGGTATATTATTATTTTTTTTAAATCATTCCTGTACCTTCAGGGCTGAGCATAGGCCCAGCACACAGCAGGTGCACAGACAAGTTTGCTTTCCTTGTTGGCACAGAGAACTGGTGTGTGCATGCTTTCCTTGGATTCAGACCCTCTAAGGCTCCCATTTCCTCCCTCATCAGACTCCAGGGAGTCCCTCAGTCTGGTCAACCCGAACTCATCGTCCTCTAGTCCTCCCTGGGATCCTGCCTGGGCTGATCCCCTTCCTCTATACCCTTTCTACCTGCCTGAAGCCTACCTCTCCGCCTCCCCAGAGGGGGCTCCCAGCCCTGAGCCCAAGCCCTGGCTGGAGTGAGAACCCCTCCCAGTCTCCATTCTCCATCAGCCTAGACAGACGGAACAGAAACTATGAGGGCTCAGGATGAGAGCCACCCCTCCCCGCCCCCAATACCACCCTCAGGAGAGTGCAGGGGGTCCCCCACCCCCACTACCCTGGCTCTCTCACCCTTCCCTGCCATGGGTTCCTCAGGAATCTCCCTGGTTCCTCAGTCATCACAAGAAGTCCAGGAGCCCTGTGTCCTCCCCACTGTGCTCAGCCCCCGTGTCCCCAGCATTTCTCATCATCTCCAGAGCAGGTGTCACTTATGTATTGGGCTGTCTCTCCCCCAAATGTCAGGACAGAAGCTCCTAAAGGACAAGTGGGAGTTTTCTGCCCTGCTGATGGCTGCACCCCGACTCCCGGAGCTGGCCCCGGGCACACATGATGTGGTATGTCCCGAGGGAATGACCAAAGCAACAATGGAGACTTGACCAAGAAGCTCCTGTGCCAGGAACATTTCTGTGCAATGAACACGAGCTGCCTGGGTTCACCTGACCCATGGGATTATGCTACCATGACCACGATTATCTTCTCTGTGTTTCAGATGAGCAAAATTTAGGTTCCGAGAAGTTCAATGATCGTTCCTGGCAAAACAGAGCTGGGATTCAAACCCAGGTTTGTCTGACTCTGAGACCTGGACTCCTCACTATTACTGGACAGGGGGTTTGAGCTCATGAGGGCTTTGCTTACCGGAGGTCCAGGCTCTCCAGGGGTCCCCACAGCACCGGGAGTTCCAGGATGACCCTACCGAGAGAGAGATGAGAGAGAAGGAATCAGGTGAAGCAGGTCACTCTTCCTCCTTCCATCCCAGCTGGCTTGGCCCTGGCCCTGGCCCCAGCCCAGGGCACAGGGGCAGCAGCCCGGCCTCCTGGAGAGAGAAGGAGCCGGTCTTCCTGAATGTTCGGGGCATATGGGAGCAGGCAGAGGAGAACAGAGCTGTCACCAGACCTGTGACAGGAGAGGGCAATCAGCACCCACTTGCTCCTTACCATCGATCCCTTGGGTCCGGGTGCGCCTGGGGGTCCCATCATGCCCCGGTCACCCTGTGATGGAGATAGCAAGGTAGGGAGGTCATGGCTGGGGAGTGGCTCTGCGGGGGGCAACTGCAGAGGCCTTCCAGAGGCCAAAGAGGGAGGGGTAGGGACTTGTCCAAAGTCTATAGTCACATCACCCAGGGTAGCAACAGGGGAAGGGGTGCTGGGATGTCACTCCGCAGAAGCCAGGAACCCAGTAAGCCCCAGGAGGCCTCAGCACCCACTGTGGCATCCCATGCAGCGGGCTGTCCCCAGGCAAGGATGGTCCTCCTCAGGGATGCGCGAATGACATTGTCCCCTTTGATGCCAGCCCATGTCACATGCTCCTCACTAGGCCCAGCATCCCCTGTGCTGGGCTTGTGGAGGTGGAAAGGCAGAAGGCACTCTCACTCTCCCCATCCACTGCCCAAACACAGATGAGATGCTGGAACATCTGAGATGCAGCTCTCTTCCTCTGGATCCATCCAGACTGACCGGGGCAGAGACCGTGGGCCTAAGAGATAGATCGCTGGAGGAAGCGATCTTTGAATTTGAACTTGAAAAGCAAATCTGAATCCTGCCTCTGTTTTTGTGAAGCCCTGTGTTTCGTAACCACAGATACAAATCACCAACACAGATACCAATGCGTAAGTAAGGGCATGGGTCTCGGTGCCAAGGCCCTTCAGCAGGGGATGTGACCCCCACCCCAGGTGCAGGGGAGTGGTGGGGAAGTCCTGCTTGACCCCAGAGAGCTGAAGGCTAACTCACCTAGGCACAGAGGGAGAAGGGGCGGGGGAGGAGGAGGCGTGTACCTGGCGGGGGGGGGGGGGGGAGGGGGCGGCACAGCCCATGGTTTGTAGGTGAGAAGGGACACGGAACATTTGAGCAATAAAGAAGGCCAGAGCTCATTGGATGTTGCACTACAGTTGAGCAAGAACGGAACCACCAGCGGCCACAGGGTGAAGGGCTCATGGAACCTTTCTGTACTGTTTTTGGCAACATTGTGTGACTCTGTAATTACTTCAAAATAAAAAGTTCAAAAGAGAAGCAGAAGAGGAGAAAATAGGGAAGGTGGAGGAGAAGGAGGAGGAGAAAGGGTCTGGGATGTGGAGTGCTAAGAAGAAAGGCACAGGAAGAGCCTGGAAAGGAAGGCGGGGCCCGATTAGCGCAGAGACTTCCTTTCTCTGGCCCTCAGTTTCCCCGTCTATCCAGTTGGCATAATATCGGCTCCCCAGAACGCCAGCTTGCCAATCAGATAAGCCCCTAAAAAGGAAGCAGCTCCCCTCCAGTGGTGGGAAACTGGAAGCGGGGGTGGGGGGGATGTGCTTTCGGGTTGGGAGCTAATGCGAGCCTGGTGGTTCAGCCCTTCAGAAAGGAGCCTTGGTTCTCTGATCTGTAAAACAGAGCTGCAGGGGGATTCCCGAGGCAGCCTTCAGAGCCATGCCCGCTCCCTTCTGTCGCCCACCCTGGGCAGTTCTAGTGCACAGCCAGGAGGGCTCAGACCACATGCATGAGCTGGTTGTCACACAGGAATCTGGCTGCACATGACGATGCTGACAGGAGGGCAGGGCAGAGCCCCAGGGGATGCTGGGACAGGGGACCGTGGCTCTCTGAGGGTCTGGAATGCTAGGGAAGCAAGGAGAAGCCACGGGAGAGAAGGCCAAAATCCCCGGGGCAACAAGCCCCTTCTTCTTAAAATCTCCACCACAGAGGGGGCGCCTGGGTGGCTCAGTGGGTTAAGCCTCTGCCTTCGGCTCAGGTCATGATCCCAGGGTCCTGGGATCGAGCCCCGCATCGGGCTCTCTGCTCTGCGGAGGGCCTGCTTCCTCCTCTCTCTCTGCCTGCCTCTCTGCCTACTTGTGATCTCTCTCTCTGTGTCAAATAAATAAATAAATAAAATCTTAAAAAAGAAAAAAATCTCCACCACAAGTCCTATTTGCAGATGGATTCTCCAAACCTAACTTACCTTTTCTCCCATGATCCCTGGCTCCCCGACCAGACCAATGAATCCCAGAAGTCCCTAGAAAAAACACGCGCAAAAAGCAAGAGAGAAGAGGAAGGTGCGTGAATTCGGGGACGTGCCGAGTTTGAAAGGCAATGCGCCGGCGTCTCCCAGCCCCTGGGGGTCCTGGCCTGCGCCCCCTGCCCCGCACCTGGGGATCCTGCAGGAGCGGGGTGCCACGGAGGAGAGCCGCCTCTCTCCAGGCACCGTCCTGACTTCCCTCGCTCCGCCAGATGGTTCTGATCTCGGAGCCAAGCGGTGGGGCGGCTGCCAGCATATCCCTGGGAGGCCACACATTCTTCCCGTGCCAGAAGCAGGCTGGGAGGTGGTTTGGGGGACGGGCTGTGGGGGGCAGGGGGTGCAGGGATGGCCCTTACGCTGTGCTGGGAAGAGCCCTGCCTGTTAGAAATCTGTCCCCATCTTCCAGGGCCCTGGGGCCGCTTCAAAGAGAGAAACAAAGCCGCTCGCCAGGATGGAAACAGTGGAACAGCTTCTGCCAAAAGACTCGATTCCATCGTGGGAAGTGGAGGCCTTTACACCGTCTTGTGAAAGGCTTCCTCTGCCTTCCGCAGGGCACACACCCACTCCCACTGTGGTTCCAGTTGCTCTTTTTAACTCCACTGGGTGATAACTGGCCTCTGTGTTCCAGGGGCTCTTCTAGGCGGCTGCCAGCCTCGCTGGGCCCAATGAGGCACGCACGCGCCCACCCGAACGGCCTGGAGGAGCCCCTCAGGAAAGCAGACGGTTCCCTGTCCAGGCCCCACGCTCTTCCCCGCTGAGGAAGACTGGAGCCAGGGGGCGGGGGGTCTTGCGCAGTTCAGAGGCGCAACCATGGCTTTGGGAGAACTTGGGGTTGCCGCCAATGTTTCTGGGAGAATCGGGAAAGACTGAGGGAGGAGGGGATTCTTCCCATGTGATCTGCTCCTGGTCCCCCAGCTGGGTCCAGAAAGAAATGACACCTGGAAGCTGAAGGGACACAGGTCAAAGGTTGCAAGTTGCATGCTCAGGCAGTGAAGCTGGCCGACTTGTCCATCCACTAGGGTGAAAACATGGCGCCCATTTCCAAAGGCTTAGGGCTGTGGGTCTCCGAGACAGTTTTAAATGGCAGCTCAGGCCACAACTGTGTGTGTCTTGCTGCTGTGGCTCCAAGGCCCATGCGCCTGTCCCTCCACCTGGGGGCCTCCACAGCCTGTGGCCATGAGCAGGGTACACACATCCCCTCCCCCCACCAGCAACCCCACACCATCACCGCACCGTGGAGGTCCTGGTTCCCCGGGCTCTGAGACCCTTCAGGGTTGAAGTATGAGGTGAGAGAGGGTGAGGTACAAGTATTAGGTCATGGCTAGTAAGTCACAGACAATAACCAAGTATTTGACTTTTGCAACAACTTACTTTAAAAAACAATTAGAGCATTTTCTGGGCGGCAGCGGTGTGAGGAACAACAGCTGAGGCCTGCTGAGTGCCAAGCCCTGCACCTGACCCTTCTTCTGATATCGTCACTCAGCCTTTGGGTGTGTAGACCCTGGGCAAGTCACAGAGCCTCTCAGAGCCTCATCCTCTGCAGAGGGTGGCCCTTTCCAGAAAGGTCTCTCCCTCTCTCCCCGGGGTTGTTCTGAGTCTTGAAGATAATGCATGGCACATGTAGGCACTCAATAAATGTTAGCCGCCTCCTGTCTCCTTCTGATTTATTTTAAAAAGGCATAGGGTTAAGACAGAGGCCTGAGCGCCCCACATGGGAGCACTCAGATGTTTAGAGGATGCCGAGGAACGGGAATAAAAACGGCTCTGTTAAGAGGCCCTGGGCCGACTGGCCCAGAGAAACAGAAATTTCATAGCTACTTTAAATTTATGAGTTGTTGGGTCCTGGAAGGCAGGCGGGTCATAAACCTCAAACAAGAAGCCAAACAGGACCTTAATGAATAAGGGCCATACAGCAAGTGCTCCATTTCCCCACCCCAGCCCCCAGGACACCCATGGGGCACTGTCCCAGAAGATCCTGGCTGGACCGTCCTGCGGGTGGAGATGAGGCTAGCCAGGAAGCCAACCCCAGAGGCCCAGGGCTTCCACCTGGCCAGGGGAGTTGGTGGGGTGGGAAGCAGCTCTGACTCCTGCAGGCCGGGCTGGCTCCCCTTAAGCCAGCATGGGGACACGGGGGAGGGGGCAGCTCTGTCACCTCCAATGGGTACCACACAGGCAGGTCTGAGTCCCCGATTTGGGGCAAGGGGCTGCCCTGGTCCTCACGCCGTCTACAGATAAACGGCAGTTGTCTGCTTATGTCTCCTCTTCTCCTTCCTTCCTTCCCTTCCCTCGTGTGCCATTCTGCCAGGCACGGGTGGTGCATGGGAATAAGAGAGCTATGGGTCCTCCGCGAGAATGGGCCTCTCCGGAGTAAGGGTTTGCACGCCCAGCCTCCCCCTGGACAGAGAGAGCTGCTTCCAGGCAAGAACCCAAGCCTGTGATCATCTCTGTATCCCAGCACCTAGGACAGGGCCCGCTGGCAAGCCCTCAGCGCTCTCCCTAGCTGTCACAAAATGGCAAGGATTTTCCAGTCCCTCCAAGACGGATCTTGGGAATCCAGCAGCGCTGTGTTCAGCCTTGGCCCTGACACTTATGTTGCTGTCTGGGAGATCCTGCCAAGTGATCTAACTTCCCAGAGCCTTCCTTTCCTCATCTGTGAAATGGGGAGACGAACTACCACCCCAGGATTGCCGAGGAAAGCGCAGGCAGGTACCGGGGCCTGGTACCTAATGGTCCAATCAGTGGAGCCAATACTGTCATCCATCCGAGGGAGGACCTTATAACCCCTCCTGGGGACCCTCTGATTCTGCCGTGAATAAGAGACACCTGCCCCTTCCCACATGGGAAGGGAGCCAAGGGCATAGCTGACATGCCATCCCTGCATGCCCATTGGCAGCCACGGGGCTCAGGGTCTGCCTCACCATTCAGACAGGCCTGTCTTTTCGGCTGTGGTCCCAGCTAGCCAGGCAGCTGGCTGGGGACTCTGCTGACCAGGCGGGCCTACAGATGCCCCCGGGCCGGTGGCCGCTCGCCCCTCTTGGCCTCAGCTTTGCCACTACCTCACTCAGTCACCCTTGCTAATCAGAGTGCCGATGTGGGCTAGGGTACAGCAGTCCTAAACTGGGGTTTCTGGAAGACCCTGTGGATAGAATCAGGGGGTCCCTGAACTTGAAGAGGCAAAAAAAAAAAAAAATCACAACTTATTTTTACTGTCTTCTGAAATTTAGCATTTCCCTCATATCTGAGAGTAGACAACAAACCCACGGTACTTGTTACTGTCCCAGATATTTACACATCACATGACAGCCACTGTCACACAGATTTCAAAATGTGTCACTAAGGCTTGTCACTGCTTCAAAAGTGAGGTCGTTATTGGACCTGCTCCTGGATCTCATTATTTAATGCATTAATAAAGGAGCTATCTAGGAATAGATCACATTTAGCATACTTTCATCATTGTATTTCAATATAATCAATTTCCTTTGTAATACTCCACTGTGCATTTTATGCATTTGAAACTCTATTCTGAGAAGGGGTCCGTGAGCTTTGCCAGCCTGCCAGGGACAGAGCACTGTGCAAGGACACTTCCTGTCCCGGCATTCTAGGACTCTGAGGCTCTGTGTCCCGAGGGCCCTTACCATCAGCATAACTATTAAATTAAATTTGCTGATCGCATGGCCTTTTTTTTCCAATCAGGAAATATATCCAGGCCATGACAGCCCTTCCAAACTCCCGGGCTTCCCACAGAATGTGCTTGAATGACACTGGAAAGGTTTCAAAAATCCAGTCCACCCCCTGCTTTAATTCCTTTCTTCCCCCCAACAGATGTTGCCGGCCTGGTGAGGAAGCCCGTCGTGCACGACTCTCACGCCATTGATGGCGTTTCTCAGCTGAGGCAGATTCTTCAGGGTACCCAGTGCCGTTCCTCCCTCCAGCATGGGGCAGCCCCTTGCAGGGTTCAGGAGGGCTTCTTTAAGGGAGGGGAGAAGATTGCTACCTTTACCCTGACCTCCAAGCCCAGAGGTCAAGCTTTCAGGCAGTGCCTGCTATCTGTCCCTCCCGCTCTACAGCACACACAGCTGCTTCTCGGTGGGCTTCTCGGTGGCACCGAGGACCCTGGGCCTCAATAATGAAGGTCGTGACTCTCGAACCTTCTTTCTAATGACGACTTGCATCCTCCTCTCCTCTTCAGAACTTGGCCTGACTTCCCAGCTAGCCGGAACCACTGGTTTGAATTTCGCTCTCCTCATAAGTTAAGGTGGAACCGAACCAAGAGCCCCTGCCAGGTGGTTATGCTTCTCTGGTCTTCAGCTTCCCTATCTGTAGATGGAGCACAGCCGGAGGTTCTTGAAGGCTCTTCCAGCTGTAATGTTCTGGGAGCAAAGTCATGTCATCCCTTTGGGCAAATGCTCCAAAAACATCCCCAGAGGCAGGCCATGGACTACAATTCACAGAGTTCTCATTCAGTGACTTCACCTCCCTGAGAGTCAGTGACCATCTCAATGAAAGGGGGAGACGAGCTCACTGGGCCCAAGAACTAGCAAGGGAACGGATATGGGGGATGCGTGAGGAGCGTTTTACTGAAAGGCTTGGCACAGAGTCAGCGCTCCATAAAGAGTCTTCGTGTTCAGAGACCGATATTGACTTACCTGCTCACCCACAGGCCCTGGCCGTCCAGGGTCGCCTGGCTCCCCCTACAAAGGACAGAGGAGAATCACTTGGGATGGGTGATGGGAGTCTAGCCCCCTCCCAGAGAACACCCCCAGGTGACTGGCCTTAGTCCCCAGAATTAGGGAAGGACAGGAACCTCAATTCCAGAGTCTAACCTTGTAGACCCCAAACAAATGGCAGAAATGATGGGACACTTGGACAGAACCTCTGGCCCCAGACATGGCCCTAGCCGCCCATTCCCTCTGAGAGGCCCTCAGCAGATGACTTGGTACCTTCGGGTCTGTATCTCATTTGGGCTGTTCATCAACCCACTGCATTTTGTGGAGGTGGTAACTAAAGCCCGGAGAGGCAAGGTGATCTGCTCAGGGCCACACAGCAAGCTAGAGGCAGGGCTAGAATTGGAACTTTGGTCTGACTGATTGAAATCCCCATTTCTACTGGATGAGGCCTGCCCCACCACAGGAAGATCAGGGAGCCAGGGAGTCAGGGCACCTAGATCCTAGACCCTAAGCCACCAGACCTCTGCCACCAGCTCACAAAATGACTAGTGAGCCTTGTCTCTGCTCCGGGCTCAGCCTGCCCAGCTATAAATAAGGGAAATCAGACTCATTTGTCTCATAGGCTATTTCCAGCTCTCACGCTTGGTGTCCTCATGTATAGCCTTGTCTGCCGGCTTTATCCCATGCTGGGGTGGCTCCTGCTCCTTAGGCAGCCACAGCCGCCCTGGTCTCCCCACAGCGTGCACCAGAGAGGCGAGCAGCCCTGTGGGATAAATCCACCCAGACTATGTCACCGCTCTCACCACAGAAACCCAGCTGGTATCTGAGGGAGTAAGACCGAGACCTCGGGGGGCAGGACAAGGGCTAAGCGAGCCAAACTAGCCAGAAGCTGGGCTCCCAGATGGACACGGCTCACCACAATCAGGGTCCGAGCCTCTCAGCCTTCCCTCTGGCGCCTCCCCCAGACCTCCGGCTCCTGAGAACCAGTGGGGCCAGACAGACACACGGGCCATGTCTGCTGAGCAGAGGGGGACGTGGATGTCCTGGGCTACCCTGGCTCTGCCCTCAGCATCGCGTGTCTGCCCAGAGGTAGACGTGGCCCAACACTCTGTCCAGGATGGGTCGGAATATCCAACCCTCGAGAGGAGCCCCTGGAAAACCACTAAGCGAGGCTGCCCATGTGCCGAGGACCATCACTCTCCCACCCAGGCCAGGTCTTTTTTGATATGTTAAAAAAACAAAAACAAAAACCAAAAAAACCTGTTACCAAAAGTAATACGTTATTGACTGCACATCACGGGGAAAAGCTAGAGGCCCACAAGAGAGAACGGTTATGTCCTCTGCTCCCGCCCCCCCGAGAGAGCCCCCGTCCTCACTGCAGCCTCTGCTCTGAGCACGCAGGACCATCGTGCAACGGGCCCCCACAACAGGCTCCTTCTGGAACCTGCTTCCGACTACTGCCACAGCTCCACTCCCACACACACGGGCATTTCCCCATCTCACAAACTTGGCCTCTTCAACGTCTTTGGTGGCTGCATTGCGTCCCATTACTTGAACTCTACCCCGCTATTGGATTTTGAGGTTCTTGCTCATTTTGTCCTCTCTGTTACCAGTATGTTGTGATAAGTGGGGACCGTTGACTGCCTTTCCACAACCGTCCCTGGGATGGGGGTTCCAACTGGGGCCCTCATTTGCCCCCCTTCTTCTCTTCTCCAGTTGTTCCATACATGCCCGCCCTCAAAGCCCAGTCACTTCCAGGTCCCCTCACCTTCATGCCATCTGGGCCAGGCCGGCCAGGAAACCCCTTCCTGCCAGGTTGGCCCTGCAATAGAGAGAGGTGAGTGAGGGGGGGCGGTTAGGTGGAGGATGGGGGTGCAGCATCACTGGGGCCCAGGGGAGAGCTGCAATGCCCCAGAGGGGGCAAGGATGCAGAGACCCGAGGGCCCCAGGCTGCCAGCTGGTCTGGAGATGCATGGGTGGGGGTGGGGGTGGGGTCTGGCAGCTGCACAACCTCAGGGAAGTCTCCCCTCCCAGGCCAATCCTGTTTTGTAAATGGGGATCTTGAAACCTGCTTTCAAGGAATGAGGAAGAGGAAGGAACTGGACAGAAGATACAGGGTCCCAGAGGGAATGGAGAGTTTATGCCAGCGGTCTTCAAAGTGTGGCCTAGGGACCCCTGTGATCCCTGGAGCCCTCCCAGAAGATGCATGACATCAGAACTAGGTTCACAATAACGGTAAGACGTTGTTTGCCTGTGTCTCTCTCATTCTCGTGAGTGTATGCGGAGTTTTCCAGAGGCTACATGACATGTGGTATCGTCAACAGATTGAAAGCAGAAGCAGATGGGAGAATCCAGCTGACTTCTATTAAACCAGACATTAAAGAGATTTGCAAAAACGGTAAAACAATGCCACTCTTTTCATTAGATTATTTTGCTTTGGGAAAATATAGCCGGTTGGTTGTTTTGTGTTGTTTTGTTGTAAAACTATTATTTTGTGACCATGAAATGGGCTTATTATTATTTCAAATGAATTAATAAATATATTTGAAAGTTTTCAGTTTTAATCACTAATATCCATAGAGGGGACCCACACAAAGAAAAGAAGTTTGGGTCTACCATCATTTTTTTTTTTTTAAGAAGGTAAACAGGCCTCAAGACCAAAACATTCATGCACTTCTGGTTTACGCTCTCCCTGGCATGGGCCTCGTAGAATGCCACTTGGAGCAGAGCAGTGGGGAGGATGCCAGGTGAAGTTCTGGGCTTGAGATGCTGGGCTAAACCCCTTGCTCTTTGAGCCTGATGGCCATGGGTGAAAATAAGACCAGCAATGGCGTTCTCATGGAGAGTCAAATGCATGGAAGCTGGTGCAAAGCCCAGCACACGGCCGCAGGACTGACACAGCCAGGCGGTTTCTCGCCTCTTGTCTCTTGTCCTTTGTGTCTGTTCTAGTCCCTTCTCTGGCTGGCCCAAAGCTCTTGCTGATGACTTCTCGGCAGAGCGCCCCCCAGTGTGTTGCCTATCTGCACACAGTGGGCTCAGGAAAGACAAAACCCATCTCCCTGGGGCCAGTGACACTCACCTCCAAGCCGGGGGCCCCAGGAGGCCCCATGGGTCCCTCATCTCCCTAGAGGTGGGAGATACAAGAGAGGAAAAAGGAGAAATTAATCCAGTGAGGGTCTCGGAGAACTTGACCTGTAAGGAGGGAAAGCGGTGGACAGAGGAGAGCCCTCCTGGACCAAGAGAAATGGTATGCCTGGTCCCCCCACCCCAGGCCCCCACCCAGGCCATACCGGGACTTCCACGTGAAGGGGGCTCCCAGTGCCATCTGAATGTGACAGGCACGGGGTTCATGGCAGGGCCGGGCAGGAGGTCAAACCCTATCCTATGCTGTGGGTACAGAGCCCTTGACAGCAGCTCAAAGATACGAACTCTATTCTAAGCTCCACCATTCATTCAGTGACAGACCTTAACCTCCTCATGCCTCAGTTTCCCCATCTGTAAAATGGTGCCAACGGAGAGGACCATCCTAAAGTATGACCACTAGCCTACGTGGAGTTCCTAGAAGACAGAGGTGAGGCCCCATCCCCTCCTCTGTCACAAACATCATTGAGGAAGGGTGTGTGGGGACTGCAGATGGGGCCGAGGGGCATGAGAGAGGGGGGAGATGGAGAAGTGAACGAATGCAGGAGTGGATGAATGAATCCACGGGGACGTGAGCAAGTGGCAGCCTCTCGGGTGGTAATGTGGGTGTAGACAGAGGCACGTGGCTGGCGCCGTCCCTCCCTCCTTGCCCCTCCCTCCCTGACCACTCTGGGCCCTCCCGCAGGCCAGGGCAGCCTCCAAACCGGCCCCTCTGGCACTCCAGGCCTAACCCAGAGGCCCCCCCTTGGGGGCCACCCCCCATCCCAGCTTCCAGGAAAGCAGCCCCACGTGGCCGCCCGCAGAGCCAGCGCTGGGACCCCGCCAGACCCAGGACCAGCCTGCAAAGGGATCTGTGTCTGCTGGATGCCTGCCTGTGGTTGTGGTGAGGCCGGGCCTCCTAGGCTCTCAGCCGGGGCTGTCTGTGTGTCACGGGGCCCTTGGGGTCTGAGCCTGGAAGGATGGTAGGGGGCCTCAGGCATAGGCAAAACTCAGGGCCAGCCCGTGGGGTGCCCAACGGGCCCGCCCATGGAACTTCTCTATCCCCTTCAGCATGAATGAAGAAATGAGCCAATGTCCACTCTGCCACTTACTAGCTCTGCCAGTTGGGTCCTACTCTGGGATGCCCCCTGGGCAGTTCCCAGGAGCACAGACATAATGGCACAGGGTCTTTGTCGTGGGCGTCGGGCTCAAGCAGACCCAGATTTGAATCCTGACCCTGCCTGCCACTAACCATGCGACCCAACACGTGTCCTCACCCCGAGTCTCGGGGCCTTGCCATCTACTCTCACACACCCACACCCCAGGAAGATGTGTTACAGACAGGAGCAGCAGCAGTGGCCTCCAGAGAGAAAAGCCCCGGGCGATGGGGATGCAGTGGCGGCAGACAGTCACCTGCCAGCCAGGCCAGGCCAGAGAAAGGCCTTGGCAAGGTCACGGGGTAGAGCCAAAAAAAGGATGAGCGGAAGGGCGGGCCTGAGGCAGCCGGGGGGAGGTGTCCAGGCCGAAGAGCCCTGGCCCCCAACGGAAGCCTCCAGGACCCAAGATGGAACCAGTGGGGCTGCAGGGGACAAGCAGGGGACACAGGGCCAGATGGTCTCACCTCGGGCCCCAGCTGCCCACGGGGTCCCGGCACGCCTCGAGCTCCAGGCTTACCCTGGTGAGAAGGGAACAGAAAGAGGTTTCAGAGGCGGCACCTCCACAACCATCAGAGGCTGGCAAGACCCCCAACAAATCCAAGTCAGGCAGCCAGCCCCAGAGGCCCGTGGTTTCCACAGAGCAGGGACTTACCTTCGTGCCTTCTGGGCCATTGTCCCCAGGGGGGCCAATGTCTCCGGGGAATCCCTGAGGGGAAGCAGAGAACAGGGGTCACCCATGGGTGAAGGGAAGTGCTAAGAGCGTCGGTCTTGGAGGGAGACCAGTCCAGGTCTCTGTCTCTTCCTACATGGGATGGGACCCTGGGCATTAACCACCCAGACCCTGTAGTTCTCTGTTCTAGAACAAGGACCTTGGGTAAGAGCCTGTACATCTTGGAGAGTTGCTTAGAACATTAAATGAGATAATGCAAGAAAATACTTAATACTGGGGGGCACCTGGGTGGCTCGGTGGGTTAAAGCCTCTGCCTTTGGCTCAGGTCATGATCCCAGGGTCCCAGGATCGAGCCCCACGTTGGGCTCCCTGCTCAGCAGGAAGCCTGCTTCCCTTCCTCTCTCTCTGCCTGCCTCTCTGCCTACGTGTGATCTCTGTCTGTCAAATAAATAAATAAATGTTTTTTTAAAAAAACTGAAAAAAAAGAAAATACTTAATATTGGAACAAGAGCACAGTACACACAAGATTGTGTGACCCAGGGGCGCCTGGGTGGCTCAGTGGGTTAAAGCCTCTGCCTTCGGCTCAGGTCATGATCCCAGGGTCCTGGGATCAAGCCCCACATTGGGCTCTTTGCTCAGCGGGGAGCCTGCTTCCTCTTCTCTGTCTCTGCCTGCTCTCTGCCTACTTGTGATCTCTGTCTGTCAAACAAATAAATAAATAAAATCTTAAAAAAAAAAAAAAAGATTGTGTGACCCAGTATTCCCTGTGTCCTGGGTCTTCTGCTGCTGGAGACCCAAAGCCAGCCCTCCTCTGCTCCAAGAAATGGTCGCCTTTGATTGCAGTGTGCCTACAGACACGATGCTACAACTTCGAAGGGCTTAGGAAATGCTGGTCTAACTAAGCTTGGCTCCTCCTCTCCAAAGCTGAAACACCCCCTGTATCCCAGCCAGGTGTGTAGACTCTGCCCCATACCACTAAGGAGGGCTCACTGCTCCCAGACCAAGCCTGTCCCCAATGGCTGGCCACGCACTGGAGGCTTCTTCCTGACATGGAGCAGAGCCCCCTCCCTTTCCCCTTGACAACCTCGTGCTGCCCCGTAGGACTGCACAAAGCATGGGGGGTGGGAGTCCTTCTTTCCACAGTGGTCTCTGCACAATCTGGAAACCAGTTTTCCCCTTCCCAGAGGCCTGCCCTTTGCTGTCCCTTCAATGGTTTCCACTCTGGGGCCCAGGGCCCCTCAGTCTTGCCACCTCCAGTCGGTCAGCTTCCACTATTGGCAGTCACTAGGATGCCGGTGTGTCTCTGGGTGTGAACAGACCAGCAGAGGACAGCATGGGAACATCCCCTTCCTTGTTGTAGGTGTAATACCTCTGGTAATTTATCCCAGTGCTGCAGTCACTTTTAGGGCAGCCCCACTACTCCCTTAAACCAAAATCTTACATGAATCCCTGAGACCAAAATGCCTCCTCCCACATCACCTCCATAAGCGACTTTTTCCCTTCCTTTTTGGTGACTCCCCTTAAATTCCAGCTCAAATATCCTCTCACCCTTCTTACTAGCAATGGCAAGAATGTGTCTGAATTTTGAGCTAATAGAGAAAGCCAAAGCTACCACATCTTTTTTTCTTCAAATCAAGAGCCTCAAAGTCCCGTTCTGCCATCAAATCACTGTGTGACCCTGGGCAGGTGCCTGAGCATCTCTGGGCCTTGGTTTGCTCATCTGCAAAATGGTGACCACATCACCTTACAGGGCTGTTCTCAGGCTTGAAGGGAAGAATGCAAGCAAAGGGCTTAGTTTAGCTCCCGGCACCTAGTGAGCACTCAGCAAAAATCCACATCCAAAGGGACTCAGCATCCAAAAGGATGCAGAGCAGGAGCCACTCTACCACCCACCCCACCCACCCCTATCCCAGGGCCGGCATGGTCTCAGAAGGAGCAGAGACCCAGGAAGGCGCTGACGTGCTCTTCAGCTTCTGTCTTCAGCAAAGCAAGACCATCTTCTGGACACGGAGTCAGCCAATCCAAACAGAACCCAAAGGTGGGAGATGCAGACCCCGGATCTGTCCAGGGACCCAGGAGAGAATCAAAGCAGAGCTTATCTGCTACCAGCAGCAGTGACCCTGAGAAAGTCACTTCACGGCACTGTGACTCAGTTTCCTTATCTGTCACACAGTGTGGTACCACCTCCCTCACGTAATTGTAGCTGCACGTCAACGTGTTCTTGTCCCCACCCCACGACACAGCCTGCTGAAGGAGGTGGTGCCTGATAAACGTGAGGCAGCACGCGTCCCCCCACAGTGGCCAGACTGCTGGGAAACCCGGGCTGTTAGAAAACTCTTTTTCCACAGCAGCCAGGGGAAGGAATCGAGGCCGTGGAAGAGAGGCCAACTGCATTCGTCTAAAGATAGGACTGTGTCACAGCCAAAGTCAACAGAGCATGAAGTCAGAACCTGAAGCTTGCAGGAAACTATCCCTCATCTATCTGGGTGATACCAGGAGTGATCTTTGGAAAGGTCTGGAGAACCCAGCAGAGTGAGACTTTCGTCTCTGAGATCTTGTGGAAGATGGGGAGGTGTGTGTACACAATGAAGGCTGGCTGGGGTTGGCCTCGACCCCCAGAAAGCCTGGGTACCGAGGATCCTGGGCAATTGGCAGCCCTGGCAGGACCACCCCATGTTCCAGAGATGGTCCCCATTGGAGGGGCAGGGAGGAAGAGCTCAACCAGCTACCTCGCACCATCGTGTCCATGTGAAGTCTGCACATTAGCCAACAGACAGCAGACCTGTGCTAACTCTCCCGTGCATCCGAAGCTCTCAGTCAAGTTCTACTAATTGCTAAATCATCCTTCATGACTTCTCATTCTCCATTCAAACACCGGAATTTTCATGTCTGCCTCTTGCTCCCCACTCCTCGGAACTCTGAGCCCTGAACTTTTTCCAGGGGGAGTGTGGGTATTTGGAAAAGTTCCAGGGCTCAGGCTGGAGAAACAGGAGCTCCTCTTAAGGGTGCAGGCCCGAGTTCAGAAGGCTTTCCTGATGTTTTTTCTGGAAGCTATAAAGGTGACCACAAAGTTAGGGAGGGTCTCCGAGGCCAGCTTCTGTCCCACTGCCACTGAAAGTCACCAGGGGCAAAGAGGTAGAAAAGGAAAGATCCCTGATCTTGGAATTTCTATTCTTGGCCCCATCTCTCGTTTGCTGTGTGGCTTTAGGTAAGTAACCCCTCCTCCCAATCTCTGGGTCTCGGTTTCCCAAGGACAAGCCCCAGCCCTGATTGTAGCCGGACACAGAAATATGGCCTCACGTACGTACCTCAGGTCCAGGAGGCCCAGGAAACCCAAAGGATCCCTTGTCTCCAACTTTGCCCTGGGGAAGAGAAGAGATGGCAGGGGAGGCACGGGTAAGGGAGGACCCGCTTTCCCCCATCCTTTGTATTAGCCCCCTGGCTGTGGGGGGCTGAAAACCTCAGGGGCATATGAATGAGGTCTCCCTAGATAACTAGAAGCTACTGTTCAAAGCCCGCCTCCTACACTTTCAGCCATGGGATCCTCGGGCAACACGCTTCATCTGGTAGAAGCTCAGTTTCTTCATCTGTAAGATGAGAGAGATAATACTATCTAGCCCTCGGGGTGGTTGGCAGCCTTCAAAGAAGTATACGGTACAGCAGGGAGCGGACACACAGCCGCATTCCAGAAATACATGTTATCAATGCTACTGCTGTTTTCAGGGCGTTGGGAGCCCCAGATTCTGATTCTCCCCAGAACTCTGACAGTGACCGAGGCCTGTCTCTGATGCTGGGTGAGTTCCTGCCCCTCTGGGCTCAGTGTCCTCCTCTGTAAAATGGGTGAATCTCATTCCTGTCCTGCTCTGTCTGGCTCCCAAGGTGGCTGCAGGAGGAAATGCGGCCCAGGACGTGACCGTGTCCCTGGTCACATTCATGATTGCAGAGCGCAAGGTTTGGGGGAGTTAGAGCCAAAGGTACTTACCAGAGGCCCCGGCTTCCCCCGTGCTCCTGGGAACCCCGGCAATCCCTGGCTCCCCTGGAAAAGACCAAGCGCAGGCTGGGGTTAGTAAGGAGTGAAAATGACCAGGGGAACAGCTGCTCAGTTGTCCTTGCCACCTGGGGCCTGGAGAACACACCCTTTTGGGGGGAAATGAGCTTCCCCCTCACTTTCCCTGTCTCCAGTCTCCAGCGGGGCACCTCTGTGGGTTGGGTGTCAGGGGTGCAAAGGTGATACAGCAGGCCCTACCCTCGCCAAGTCGTCCTGGAACCCGGGACTCCGGGGGGCTCCAAGGAAGCTCCACAGTGCGATTTATGCCTGAGGAATTCTGGAGACAGGGGCCCAATGGGGGAAACAGCCGGGGCCCGCATGTCTCACAGTCCAGAGACACCGAGGCTGGGTCAGGACAGGCCAGCCAGGAGGGAGGGAAGAGGAAGAGGGAGAGCGGGCCAACATCTGGGCCTTGTTGACTGGCTGGGCGAGGTCCAGATGTGGCCACATGGTGCCGGACACAGGCAAAGAGGAGCCGGCCTCAGCAAGCTGCCTCGGTTCACCCATCAGTCAGGAAGGCCGGTTACTCACTCACTTACTCAAACATGTCCTAAATGCTCACTGTTCTGTGTAGGACTCCGAGTTGAGCTCTGCCAGGGCTGTCTGGAGCAATACCCTTGGGGAGCGAGCTGGCTGGCATGGGGCTGAGCACAAGTCCCCATCAACCAGGTGCTGGCTCAGATGATGGACGGGTGGGCTGCTAGGGGCATGTGGGGAGGGAAGTGGCCACGTCCAGTCAGGTGGAGGAAACGGCATCCGAGCAGGGTTCTGAAGAATGGGGCCGTGCAGAGGCTGAGTGGACAGTGTGCCAGACAAGACAGCAGTGTGTGGGGGCAGAGGGCCCTTTGGGGGAGCATGGGGCTATAAGGATGAGGGGCAGGAACAGGTCCGAGGGGCTCACTCGCTGGGGTCCTACATGCAGGGCCGAGGAGCCAGGATTTGGCAGTAGGAGCCATGGATGGTCTGTGAGCACAGAGCAGAGCTTTGCGTGAGGGAGACAGACTGGGAGAGAAGGGATGGGGAACCTGACTGTGAGTCAGGAGGCTGTCAAGGCCAGGGAAGAGATGGTGATGGGGGACTGCAGCTGGAGAAGACAGGGTTATGTGAAAGGAAGCCATCTTTAAGGGAGGTCCTGGCCCATAAGAGACCCTGAGAAGGAAGCTGGGACCAGAGAAAAGCAGAGTTGGGGAGAAAATCCGCTGCAATTACCTTGTCTCCTTGGAATCCAGTCTCTCCCGACACACCCGGAACCCCTTGTTCACCCTAAATGCACACCAGCAGAGAACGTTACAATGGAGACCACGGTGGGTTCCAGAAGCCTTTCCACTTCCAGACCCACTGGCAGGACACTGCTTGGCTGAGGCGGTTCCCAGAGCGGGTCTGACCAGCAGCAGCCTTGTGAGAGGGCAGGCCCGTGGGGATGCTTGGCTGGGGAAGGCAGGCTCGGGGGGGGGCATGGAACCGACCTCACCGTACACCTGACTGGGGTTGCTCAGGTGGTTGAAAACACCGCTAACAGAAGCCCAACTGCCTGGCCTTTCCTGGACAACTGTCACTTGAGGATCCAAGGAACTGTTTCTTGACCCTTCAAGACCTTCAGGTCACAAGGGGCAGGTGCAGCCTGGGTAGTGCCCCCACCCCCATCACAGACGGTTCTGAGCCTTTGGATCTGTTGCTTAGCCTTTTTCACCACTGGGCCGGGAGTGGTCACTTCCTCCTGTGGGAGTCTCTGTGTCAACCATCCGTGGAGGGCTGCTTCTAATCAGCTGCTGGTAATCAGCTATAGCGTGAGAAACCAGCTAGCCCAGCCGGCTAAGACTAGGTGCAAACAGTGAGTAACTGGGTCTCGAGTTAATTCTGATTGTTTCTTTCCTAAGGCGACAGAGATTCTGGCCATCAGGGGTCTCTCCTGGTCCCTCCCCATTTTCAGCCACATCCTGGTACACGAGCTGTGGGAGAACCACACTGGAGGACGGTTCTTCTTACAGCCGGAGTCACAGCCCGCTGCCCTCATCATCTCCAGCTTGCCATGCTGGATGTTGCCAAAAGCACCCCGGCCCCAGTGCTCCAAAAACATTCACAGCCCCGGGAGCAGTCGGAAGGATGGGGAGGAAACCCAGGAAGAATGGAGACTCTCAGAGGACCCACATCGTGCAGCTCAGGCTATGAGCCAGCCAAAAAAACAAAAACAAAAAACAAAAAACAAAACTTCCTTGATAAAACAAAAGCCAAAATTAAAATAGATAAATAAATAAATAGCTTTAAAAAACAAAAAACAAACCTTACTTTGGTTTCTCCAATCTGGAAAACCCTGTACAATATCCCAGAGGTTTGAGAGCCAAGAAAGTCTTTGGGTTCCTTTTTTTTTTCCCCCAGTGTGCGCACACGTGTGTGTGTGTGTGTGTGTGTGTGTGTGTGTGTGTGTTTTGAAGGTCCAAAGGAGGAGCAGAGGGGATTAAAAAGAAAAAAAAAAAAGTTTAAAAAGACACCAAAGAAATCAGGACAATGGATTTGGGCTGGAGCAGGAGTCTGGGTTCCAGAACGCGCCTCCATGCAGGAAGAAGGAGCCAAGTGGTTGTAAGCGGGACTGCGGCCAGGCCGGGTCATGGAAAATCCAGGATTGTAGGCAGGACGATGGGGGAACATGAAGGGATGGCTGTGGCATCCCAGGGGAGGGCCCGGGGGGATGGGTGTACTCTCAGCAATGTTAAGACCCCTCCCCAGCCCAAGGGGCAGAAAAGAAAGTCCTTTTTCTTTCCTTCTTTTTTCCAACCCCAAAGACTTATTTGATTTTCTTGAAAACTACGGGCAGGAAAACAATTTCCTTTGCTTTTTCTTTTTTTTTTTTTTTCCCAGAAAGCTTTCACATCTAGAAACAAGCCAGGCACCAGCAGTCAGCAAGCCAGCCGAGTTCCATGTAACACGTTTATTTCCATGTTCCTGCAGGGCCAGTGAGCGGGAGGCCAGCTCTGCAGAGGGGCCTATAAAAAGCTCAAAGCCTACACCCCCCCCTCCCCCACTTCCTTTCTCCCTTGTCCATGACTTCAACATTTCCAGAGCGCTGATGTCTCGAACCCCAGAGCAAACAGGTAGCTATAGGGGAGAGCTGCGCCTTGGAGAGAAAGCTCCTCCGTCTCAAGGGGAAGACCAGAGAAGAGGGGGCTCAGGAGCCAGCGGGGCAAGGCCAGGGGCACAGCACATGAGCCCCAGTGTCGGGGAGGGGGGCTGCAGCTGGAGGCCTGCAGGCGGCAGGAGGTGGGGAGGGTGGCGGGAGACAGTGAGGAGGTAGAGGAGGTGGAAACACATGAGGAAAGCACCATGCCCCTATCTACCTAGCGGGGAGGTAGGTAGGACCATCTAGGTGTGCCCATGGCAGCCCCCATCTCCCCTTTTTTTGAGTCCAAGGGCCTTTGATACATCTCTTCGGACTCTTGGGGCTGTCCCCCTCCTTGAAATGGAGGCACGGTTGAGGTCTCTGGAGCACGTTCCTGGCCTCACAGCTTCCCAGCCCACAGAGGCTCAGAGGCTGGGGGGGGGGTAATCCCCCACAGAGCACTCACACAGTGCCCAGCCCTGGCACCTGCTCACGTTTCTCGGGTTTATGGGGACCCAAGTTATCTGAAAACAAGTGCACAAGGACCCTGCCCGCGGGAGCGGCACTCAGTTGCTCAGACTTGGGGAAACTTGGATGCGGTCCGAAAGCCCTCCCACACCCACTCTGGGGTGCCTCGCTGACCGCTGACCGAGCAGCTGAGAGGGGAGGGCAGGAAGATAGCTACAGGGCAGAGCGCAGGGAGCACCGCCCCCAGCCCGTCATGGCTTGGTCCCTCAGATACCGCACGATGGGGCCAGGCGCTGCCCTGCTTTCGGCCCCAGGTTCCCCCCGACCCCCATCCAACTGTGATCTGGCACCGGGGGAGGGGGTGCTCAGCACCAGGACTATGTGGAGGACACGTGGCACGGGTGGCCTCCCCATGGCAACTGGGAGGAAAGCGGGTCAGGGGCTCAGAGGCCTGTGCCAGCTTTGCTGTTGTATACTCAGACCACGTGCTCTCCGGGGTTGGGTTCCCAGTTCTAACTGGGGCGGTTTATGTGGATTCATCTCCTATGGCTGGAAGAGGTCTCTGGCCCCTGCACCACACCTGCCCACCACAGGGCCTGTCATCTCAGTAACAATCCCCCCTTCCTCCACTCCACCCCCATTCTGGCTTTGGCCTCCCAGTCCAGATGCTGGGCTGGCCTCGACCTTGCTCTCTGAGACTGCTTTGCCTTACCCCTGACCTAGGCCTCAACAGCCCCCCCCAGGCTCTATCTTCCAGGGTCTGCACACCCCACACCGCCTGCCTGAGCTCCACCTGAGTTACAAGGAAGCAACCGGGGAACACAGATGTCAGCGGCCCAAAGGAGAGACAGGAGGAGTGTGGGGAAGTGGACCTGGTGAGAAAGCAGCAATGGCACTGGGGGGAGGGGAGGGTCGCATGCAGATAAAACACAGTGCAACAAGGGAGTATTCAGATCACCTTATCACCTTTCAGTCCGGGCTCCCCCACGTTCCCCATCAGTCCCTGCAAGACAAAGGCCAGATCCTGCTGGGCGGGGGGGGGGCTCAAAGCCACGGAAGTCAAGTGCCCTACCGGACACTCACCGGCCTGCTGTGCCCACCCGATGCTCGTTGCCCCACCCAGAGCTCTGTTTTCTCATCTCTGAAAGGGGGCAATGACCCCCAGCCCAGAGGGCCATCATGTGGACTGAAGGAGCACAATAAGGGACAGCGGACTCCTCAGCCACGGCACTCTGAACAAATCCAGGGAGAAGGCTGCTCGTGGGGACAGATGGGGTCCACGAGCATTGTCCCCTGCATGCTGGCCACACAGGATCACCTTCAGAACGAGGTCCTAGCAGTTCGGGCCCACCTTTTTCCTGCACGCCCATCCCACCCAGGGATGTACCAAGTTTACTGGCTTGCCGCTATAGTTTCTATGTCCCTTGTCATGCCCCCCCACTCCCCCCTGGCCTTTCAGTGCCCTGGCATCCAGAACCTCATGAGACTCATGCCCAGCTCAAGGACTGCTAAGAAACATGTCAGCCATGGCGACATACAGATGAGGATTGGCTCTTAGGCCAGCCCCCTGAATCCCCGCCCACCCCTCCCCCAACACTGAGCCTAGGCCCACTTCCCTCTGGGCTGCCATGGGACAAGGGAGTGGGGGGCACCTGGCTGGGACGAGACCTGGATTCAGGGATGGCTCATTTACCTTCACGCCCTTGGGTCCTGGATAACCAATCGGACCCAGTGCTCCCATGTCACCCTGGCAAGAGAAAGAGAAGAAGGCATTGTGAGAGGTGGCTGGCTCCCAGGAGTCTGGCCTGGGCGGGACGATCCTCAGCGTCCCCTGGCCTGGGCTGCTGGGGACACAACACCACTGGCTCCATCAGACCACCTGCTCTCGTCTCTCCGCTGCTTGCTCATCGTGTGATCTGGGGTGGCTAACCTCCCCGTGCCTCAGTTTCCCCACCTAAAATGGGGGTCAGTACTATGTACTTCCTAGAGCTGTTTCAGGAAGAAGTGACTTAAGCGTACTAAGTGTTGGGCATGGTCTGGAGACAACTGGGGTTGTCCCAGCTGAAGGGGCTCTACTGGCATCTCGTGGGTGAAGGCCCCACGACACGGAACGATCTGGCTCAAAATGCCCACGGCACTGAGGTAAGAAGCCTAGCTGAGAATGAAGGGGTGGCTGGATCCTCTGTGCACAAGTCCACCCTTCTCCCCTCACGGGTCCTCGGCTCCTGCCCACCCCTCCGGCTACTGCTCCGGCTGCAGCCATCTGGGTAAGCCCATGCCCAGAGATAGGGAGCCTCCAAAAATGCGCCCTTCTCCCCTCCTTCCAGCTGCTGTGACTCGTCAAAGTGTCTGGCTGCTATGTGTGCTCCCACAATGCGCTTGACCTCTCTGGGTCTCAGTTTCCCACATCCCCGAGTCAGGGTCCATGGGGGGGTCCCTGACCAGTGCTTGGAAAACCCCAGGGGAGGCCAGCTGCCCCAGGCTTCCCGTGGGAACCGCCCAGAGATGTGTCCATCACATTCCTGGCCGACTTCCACAGGAGGGCCGACGGGCCCAAGGAGAGAGACGGAGGGAAGGTACCGAGTTCACAGACGGTGGTGAGGTCTGCTGGGGCACTGTCGCCCCGCCCCCATCCAGCCCCGCCAGGGACGGGCTGTATGACCCTGAGCAAAACCCTTGCCCTCTCTGGACCTCAGGATCCCCACCTGATTAGGTCAAACCAAACCTTCTAGCTGTTCCTCTGCCAAGAAATGGTGTTTTCAGTTCTGTCAAGAAATCTTCTCCTGAAGGAAGTAAGGTCTCAGCAGGCACCAAGACTGACACACACAGTAGCGTCTGCCAGGCATGCGACTCGGCTCCTTACCTGCCTCCACTCCAGGACTCCACAACAGCCCTTGGAGAATCACCCTCCCACCATCCCCATTTTACAGATGGGCAGACTGAGGCTCCATAAGGTTAGGACAGGATGGAGCTGGGATTCACACCAGGCAGTCCGTCTCCAGAGCTTCCAGGCAATTCTGAAGTCATCTTGGGAGAGGAAGGTAAGGCCAGGATCACTGGCCGGGAGAGGCTGGGGTCTGAGGAAAAGCCAGCCCTTCAGAGAAGTGCTCCTCCCTCGGCCATGCTGGCTGCTGCTTCTCTCCCTCTCTTTTCCTAGATGAAGGGAGCCAGGGGTGGCCTGCCCAGAGTTCCCCATAATCCACAAATAAACAGAGGAGGCTCTCCTGGCACAGTTGGCTCCAGCTGGGGCCCGAGCTGTGGGCAGGGGACGAGCCAGCAGCTCCAGGAACAGAGGCTCCTTCTTTCCGCTGCTGGCCTGAAGGTGCCTTTTGTGGGGACTAAATTCAATACGGGCCTGACTGACACCTGGGAGCCTGGGGAGCCACAGCAACACCACACCCGCCGCCCCTGCCAGCCCTTCCAAAAAAGGTGTATGTGTGTGGTGGGAGGCAGGGACTTGCATCGGTGTCCAACCCCTAAGGACAAGGAATCTGTGGAAAAGGGACTCTGGCTACAGGGCACATGGGGAGAACGTGGTGGCTTGCTTAGGGCAGGCCTTTCCCATCTTGGCAGGGCTCCAGTGCCTGAAAGCCCTCGGGGGAGGAACAGAGAAAATTCCAGGCCACTCTCCCCCCCAGTACAGCCCGCAGAGCACCGGCTCTTCACTAGACACCCTTGTGGGCAGCCCGGCCGAGCAACACACAGCATGTCATGTCCTCACAAGAAAGAACAATGAGTAATGCCCTGAATTTGGATCCTGTTCCCACTTCTGCCTAAGCTCCCAGACACTGTTCTAAACATCTTGACCTTCATCCTGCTGACTCTCACCAAAATACAACCATGTCCACAGCTGTTTCCAAACTCCTACTATATGCCAGGCTCCACGCTCGAGACATCGAGGTCCTGTCAACTGCCATGCACGGGCGCTTAGGCTGGGCCCCGATGGAACGTGCTGCTCGGGCCCTCGCCAGCTGTTCACGGTAACCCCATGAGGCCCGTCTTACAGAGGAGAAATCCAAGGCTTAAACAGAGGCCCAGTCGGTCACCCAAGACTAAGCCAGCCACAGGGGACGTGGGCAGGACCAGAACCCAGGGCTGTCTATCTGACAGGGCCTCCCACCATCCCTCATGTATGTCTTCCCTTCCTGCCCCGCTGTTCCACTGTAACTAGGGCATCCCTGGCTGCGCGTTCCCAGACCCAGAACGTTCCGTGGTGCTCACGTTGTTCATGCACACTCATCCTTCCGCCGAAGCGCCAGCATCCCTTCCCTGACCCCACAAGCCGGGTCAGCCCCCTGTGGTCAGGTCGCACAGTCCTTGCCACACCGGCGACCATTTCTGTGCGTGTCTATGTGGCGGAGAGTGGCTTAACAACCAGGTGAGAAAGAAAGCTAATTCCACTCTCATTTACAAACGCTCTAGGGAGAAATCTCGCCTCCGTGTTCCTAGAACTGCCTTTGAAGGCCACAAGGCCTCTTTCCAGAAGCTCTGATAGGGATCAGTGGCTTGGGGACAGGGGGGTGAGGGCTGCCGCCGGTCCTGGCTCCTGTGTGGTCTTTGTAAGCGTCATCTCACACAGAACAGCCCCGGGCATGGCCCACACTCTCACACATCAGCTCTCTCCATTCTGATGAGCTGAATGTGGGATGCGGTGGGGAAATCAGTGACCCACAGACACAGACCAGGTCCAGCTTTTCGCTGTATGACCTTGAGCAGGTGTTTCAGCCACTCTGTGCCTCAGTTCCCTTCAGTGTACCATGGTAATCCCACTTCCTACACTCAGAGGCTTGCCGGGATCATTAAGTACTTAGTGCAAGTCCTGGCACACAAGGGGTTGGTAAGTGTCAGTTCTGTCACAAAGAGACGAAGCCAGATGATCGTTTACCGACAGAATAGGGGGGACCTGTCCACTCTACCCCACATGCTGGGTTTTGGCCTGACCACATATTCTTTGGGTCTCATTAGACCCAAGGAGGACCCAAAGTTCCCTTTCTATCACTCAAAATAAAAAAAGACAGAAATCTTTGTGGGGAAGATCCTGGAACCAGGCACGCTTTTCTTGAGGGCCAGCCAAAGGGTTTCAGTTACTCAAGGGGGGCTATCCTGAGGCGGTCTCCCCTCAGAGGCTGCAGCGGGGGCCGCCAGCCGCTTGTTGGGATCCAGGCCACACAGACCTGGGTTGCAAGTCCTAGCTGGTGACCCCAGGCCCCAGCCTCCCTATCTGGGTGACTGGGCTGTGGCCACCTCCCTCCAGTACCTCAAGGCTTTCCCAGCCTAAAGCACATCAAGCACACACAAAACAGAGAGACGCTCCATAAATGTGAGTCTATCTCCCCACACCCTTCTTCCTGCCTGCAAGGACCTAGGGGGTGGGGAGTGGAGGCGGGTGACAGGGGACGTTTTGGCTTCAGTCTGCGTGCAAACTGCTTCAGCTGACTAGACAGAAGGCACTGAATAAACCTGAAACTCCACTAAAATGATTATCAATATGTGGAATTCCCATTCGCTCAGCTAAAAACCCACATCCTCTGGAAAACCAGGGGTGACTCATGATCCCTTTTCCCCTTTAATTCCTGGTTAGAAAATTCCTTTCCTCTCCAACTCTCTGGGGAGGCCACTGTTCTCCCTACCCGCCTTACCCCACCCCCACCAGGGCACAGAAGCTGTTGTTTCCAAAAATCCAGGGCGGGCGGCGGCGGGGGGGGGGGGGGGGGGGTGCTTGGGTAAGAGAGGGCACTAGTCCGGGGACCCCTGCTGGTCTGGCCGGTTCAGGTCCATGCTTGTGACCCCCAACCCCACCACAGGAGGAAGGGAATATTGCTTTGACAGCAGAGGGAATTTTAAAACAGGGGAAGTGGGTGCCTGGGTGGCTCAGTGGGTTAAAGCCTCTGCCTTCGGCTCAGGTCATGATCTCAGGGTCCTGGGATCGAGCCCCGCATCGGGCTCTCTGCTCAGCAGGGAGCCTGCTTCCTCCTCTCTCTCTCTGCCTGCCTCTCAGCCTGCTTGTGATCTGTCAAATAAATAAATAAAATATTTAAAAAAATAAAACAGGGGAATGAGGCTGAAAGTAGTGATAAAAGACACAGGGGAGAGGGAACCCTGAGGACGCACTGAGCAGCGACTTGGAAAGAGACATCACAAGGGGGCGGAGTCTGAGGAATGCAGGAACACCCCAGCTCAGGCCCCTCAGAACCGGGGCAGCGGGAGGAGGGTCCTGGATGGTCCTGCCTCCATCCTGTCCTGCCTTGTGAGTGATCTTGGCCAGGGCCTCAGCTTTCCCATCTACCCAATGGGATTCTCCTAAGAGATCCCGTGAATAGGGCTGCCCAATTGAGCCAATGAAAATAAGGTCTGCCCCGCTAAATTCCAATAACAGATAAGCACCGAAGGATATTTTAGTGTAAACTGCATTCTAAATATTACCTCTGAAATCCAAAATTTCACCCGGTGTGTTGATATTTTCTCTGGCAACCCTCGCTATGGAAAGCAAAGGGGAGGCCCCAGGTGGGGAAGAACTTTGTAAAGAGTCAGGAAGGCCAAGGGCATCATCTCAGCCTCCAGAGCCTGTGTTCACTCAGACAAAGGATACTCTTGCTCCTCTCAGGACTCAACCTAGTGGCCACTAGACAATGACGAAGAGAAATGTGTGCCAGTGACGAAAGCGGGGATACGTAAACATCCCTTCCGGTCAGCTTTGGGAACCGAGAACATGGAGCCTTGGCAAGGACAGAGAGCTGCCATCTTTTCATCGCGAACAGCCTCTCCCAGGGGCAGGGGAATGACTGGGGCTCAGGACACAACAACTCCGTAGAGTGGCCTGGGCTCCCCCAGGAAAGGGCGTCCAACACCAGGCTGTTCGAGCTGGACTGTCATCACCATGTGACCAGGATGTTCCAGAAGGCAACCTTGTGAGCTTACAGGAGACAGGACAAGACTTTGGGGGTCCTCATCAACTGGGTTCTCTACCTCTCCTTGCAGATAAACCTTTTCCAAAGCATCTGGGTCAGTGCCTTGTGCCAAAGAAGATGCCCAGCTAAGCCCTGCTGAATGGACATCAGGGTTGACAAATGCATGACTCCTAGAGGGACACTTTGCTGTTTCTACTAAGTTCCAAAGTGACTCTGAAATCTGTCTCCATATAGCACTCCAGAGGACTGCTACTATGCATAACACATGCATGTGTGTGTGTGTGTGTGTGAACTAACAATGAGTATTATCACGGTGACTAGCACTTCCTGAATTCTTGCTATGTGCGAAGCACTTTATATGCACCAGCGTCTTTAAATCTTCACAACTGAAGTCTAAGGCAGGTACTGTGACAGTCCCCGTTGTACAGATAAAGAAAGTGAGACACAGAGAGGTTAAGAAATTTGCTCGGAGTCTGAATGCAATCAGCGGTCAAGCTAGGCTCTGAACCCAGGTGGTCTGGTTGCACGGACTGGCCCCTGTGGCCACGGGACTGCACTGGACAGTGTGTATCTGCGGTCCTCACAATGGCGGGCACGCTGATCTCATCCCATGGAAGGGGGCCCTGAGGCTCAAGGAATGAGGCCAGAGCTGAAGAACGCAGAGCTAGCAGGAGGCGAGGCGAGGTGAGGCTCGGGTGCACACCCGGGAGGTTTGGACCCTCAGCCCCTACCCCGCCCGGGTTCTGCACTCATCTGCTCGATTATGAGCACGTTGCCACTGGGGACCTGTGGGGCCTCTTACCAGGACTGGCCTTCCCTGAACGATGGGGCCCCTGAACGCCCCTGGGGCCTTCTCCAGCCTCCCTCTGGCCAGAATTTCATGCCACAGTTGCCGGAGAAGCCAAGGCTGGAAGCTCATTTGTCAAAGTAGGCAACAGCCTACTTAGGTCCCTCCATGGCCTCCCCAGACTCAAGCCCCATGAGGAATGACCAGAGAACAGGACAAAGAGGGCGTGGAACCCTGAGGAGAACTCCCAGAGTCCTTTCCCAGGCCTGGACCTCTCAAGGGTTCCCAAGGTCAATGTCCCACTCTGAGAGCCCAGCAGGAGGCCCTGGTTTTGACTCCTGGAACACTCCACAAGGCCTACCCCAATCTGGATGGAGTCAGAGGTCAGCCTGCCTCCCACCTCCCTGTGTACAGGCCTCAGCATATCAGGAAGTGACAGCAATGATTCATATAATGATCTCCTCCTCTCACTGCACGCTTACTAAACGCTAGACCCAGGGCCAAGGACTGTACATGTCAGTCCTCGGTTAAGCCTCACAGGATCCCCCAGAGTCCTCTATCACCATCCCCATTTTACAGACGACGAACTAAGGCTCAGAGAGAGTAAGCAACTTCAAACAGTCAGGACGGGGCAGATCTGTGGCTTGAACTCAGGGGGTGTGGCTCCAGAGTCAGTGCTTCGAAGGAAAGGATGAGGAAGACCGGCCTGACATGACCCAAAGCCTCAGTTCCTCGGCCAGCTGCGTCCTTCCTCTGGACCGGAAGCACCTCACCTGTGAACAGGCGTCCTATCCCCCGCCTAGACCTCCTTGCAGTGCGACACACAGGCAGCAGGTGTGAAAGCACATCTGTACTCTCACGCTCCAAGTACCTGTCTTCATTTAACTAATGAAGAAAGGGGCTCAGAGAAGGTGGGCAATCCACCTGAGGACACACAGCAGGGCTTTCCTCCCTCTGCCCCTTTGGCCAGAGTGAGAGGTCCTGCTCCCCCCACTCCTTCTGGCGTTTGATGAGAGAGGGACCTCTCCACCAAGACTCATCGCTGCCTCTCACCCCCGCCACCCAGGCATCTGTGTACTTACAATGAGGCCGGGGACTCCTCGGGGCCCTGGCAGGCCTAGTTCTCCCTGCAGATAGGAAGAGATCAAAGCGGTTACTTGCCCTGTCTCCCTCCCAGGCTGCTCCCTCCACTCTATCCCCTTGTGGGCACCTGGTGGGATCCTTTGGAGCCGACCATTCCTTGTGCCTGATTAGTGAATCTTGGAGCCTGGCCTGAAATTTGGACAAGACCCTTCCCCCTTCTGCTCTCAGCCTTCCACATCTGTAAAATGGGGAGGCTGGACTTCCAGACCAAGTGTGAAAGAAGAGGCAGAATCCTGATCCTGACAATAAAGACGTACTGGGTGTCTGGCCCAGGTCTCATTTCACCTTCACTTTACAGATGGCAACGCTGAGGCTCAAGAGTTTCATGACGGGCCCAAGGTCAAGTTCAAGGAAAGAACACAGTGGCTCAGTTCCAAGCTGAGAGCCATGGGGCTGGCCTCTCTTCCTCTTCCAGCCAGGAGGTGCTAGGGCGCTTAGAGAAGCCCGCCATCACCGAAGGAGGAGGCTGTCAGGTCCCTGCCTCCCAGATGCTGGAGAGGGCTCTTGCCTGGGAGTCAGGGGATAGGGCTGCAAACGGGGTGGGGGTGGGGAGGACGATGTTCTAGAAATGCTGATTATCAGTGGAAATTGCCAGCCCCCTCCAGACAGGAGGCTATCACTACAGCCACCGAGAAGAGGAGGGGAGAACCGGCCTCAGCTTTAAATGAGGGAAGCGATGTGTCCAAGGTCACTCAGCAACTGCATGGCCACGCTGGGGCCGCTCATCAGCCCCCTTTCTGCTCCCCCAGGTCTGAGGACAAAGACACCGCTGCCCCATCCCCAAGCGGGCTTTGGGGATGACATCACACCGAAGGAGAGGCTCCGATTTCTCACCTCTGTGCCTTCGCGGGTGGCCTTTCCTCCCCATGGAATGTTCCTTCACTTCTCTGCTCACCCCAATCCAACATCACCCTCCCCAGGAGTCTCCCTGCTCCTCTATCCCTCCTCCACAGCACCGGGCGCCCTTGACCTCACACATCTCACTCTGCCTGTATAACGGACCGGACAGATAGCCATGAGCTCCTCGAGGGCCCTCGATGTCCCCGCTGTGACCGACTGCTTACAACGGTCCCATCCCAGGAACACCTGTTGTAAGCCCACCACCTTCCCACCCCCTCTCATTTCCTTCTTACACCAGCCCTCTGGGGCCGGCATTTCAACCCCTGGATTTACAGAGAGGGAAACTGAGATTCGGAGAGGGGAACCGATATGTCCAAGCAACACAGCAGGAATCAAACCCGAGTCCTCCTGGCTCTGAGACCAGGGCTGGAGCCCCCCAGGAGAGCCGGGGTGAGCCCAAGCGGGGTCAGGCTCAGAGGGCATCTGTGGAATTGAAATTCCTACGTCCTCAGGGGCTGATCGTGGATCCAGCCGTCACCTTGACAGAAAGCACAGCTGGCCACAGCTGCTTAGGTGGGAAGGCCCAGAGAGAGATGGGGGAGCACGGCAGGTGTTCCAAAGAGCTTTCAACTTAGTCTGCTCCCCTGGGACAGGGAACACACTCCCTCTCCCGCCTGAGCCTGAGCTTGGAACTGGAAGGGAGAGGCGGGCTCATTCCCTCAGGGCAGGCTGACCTGGCTCCTCAACAACAGGCCTCCGATTATTTACAAACTCTATAAACATGCCAATGTTGCACATTTCTTTAGAACTCCGCTCTCCCTTCCACACAGGGCCTGCAAACCATCTGCTCCCCCAGGGCGCTGCTGTCCCATAAACACTGCTGATGCTTTATAACATGCTAGTAGCCCGGCTTCCCCAGTGGGGAGTGACCCAGAACCTTCCTGAGTCCTTGCAGATGCGGCACGGTCTGGGGCTTTGGGAGCAGAGGCTCAGTGGGCCCAGGGAGGGGGGCTTCCCTGGGGTGGGAGCCCAGGACACCCACAGTGGATAGCAGCCTCGGGTTTACAGGTGGCATGGCTGGGATCTGACCCATTCTGCCTGACCCCAAAGCTTGGAATCTCTTTCCTGTTCCCCAACACTGGAAATACTTACAGGGTTCCCATCCAGTCCAGGAGGACCCCTTTCCCCAAAGTCTCCAGGAAACCCCTAAAGGCATAAGAGAGAAGAAACGTCTGTAGATTAGCGTTTATACCTGGGGGGCGGCTTCCGTCCGAACCCCCGCGGGCACACACGACATGTCCATGCAGTCTCACTCCTGGGTTCTGGGACCTGGACAGGCGACAGGGTCCCTAGTTATGCAGTGCCCTCCACAAATACCCCCACATGAAGAACTTCTCGGGGACTGGGTCCTGGGAAGGAGCCCACAGCCAGAGAGCCCTTTTCTTACTGACATAGACTCTGAGAAGTGAGCGTCTGAGGCAGCATGGAAATGCCCAGCCCCAAATCTGAGACCCGAACCGAGGAGGCGGGAAGGACGAGAACTGAGGTCAGGAAGCGGAGTCCAGGCCTGAGCCAGTAGCTGACTTGCGAAGTGTTTTAAGGACATCCCTTTCCCCCGTAGGCCTCAGTTTCCCCGCTAGTCGGAGGAGGGAAGGCCTCTGCAGCACCTTCCAGCTCAGACCTTCTGCGGCTGTGACATGCTCTTCAAAAACCACCCTATGCAATCACAATCCCCATTTTTACAGATAAAGAGGGACTCTGGAAGGATAAATGTCAAGGGTACACAAGGTCACACGGTTGGTGACTCTCTGCACCACTGGCAGAGGGAGGTTTCAGCGGCCCTGAGAGAGGCCAGGCCACCCGGCCCAGGCAGGTCCGGCCCTTTCATCCCACCCCAGACCCCACTCCATACTCTCTGGGGACACAGGCAGCTGGAAAAACATCAGCTGTGGGGACACCTCTGGGGACCAGCGTAGGAGTGGGGGGCAACTTCGTTTCACTTCAAAAGGAAAAGGAAATCCTCAAGCTTGGAATTTAGGGAAACCTGGTCTCCCCGGCTTGAATTCAAATCATTGTTTTTCCAGGGAAATTTAATAAAAAACACAGCACATGTTTCTCTGACCAAATGGATACCTGAGCCGCTCAGTAGAGAAAGATTCCTCACAGAAGGTCATTTGTGTCTGGTTTCTAACACAGCTGGGGGGGCACCCAGGGACTAGATTAAACCTAAGGACAAACCCCAAACCAATGAAAACGTCTGTCCTGGCTGAGCAAAGAGATCTTGAAATGTGTGTGCGCCCAGGCCTTTGTCCTTGCCCTGTCCAGCTGTTCTATCCTCCTCGGATCCCTTCTCTGTTGGGGAGCCCCCCTGGATCAGAAGGTCAAGGACCGGCATTCATCCTGGAGGAGGTGTGGCTTCGTTCAGACACCCAAAGGATGACATGAGGACAGAATAATGAGATTTGGACCAATCCAGTCCCTTGGCATGCAAAACTTCATTTGCCTTTGACATATACCCTTGAGGGAAAGATTATCAGTCCCATTTAACCGATGGGGAAAGTGAGGCTTGGAGAGGAGATGTCACTTGGTAAGGCTAAGGCAAAACCAAAAAGAAAAGCAAGTATGTGGCAGAGCTGAACCCAGGTCCCCACCTCTCTGAACTCCGTCAAGTTTGTATGAGCTGCACACAGGCAGATCATGGCCCGTAGAAGCTGCTAGAATGTGTCTTCAGCCGGTTGCAGAGAGTGGCAAGTGTGTGCGTGTGTGTGTGTGCGCTCACACGGGCACGCGCACGCATCTGTAGGCCCATCTCCAGGTCAAACCTTTGTGGGGGTACATCTGATCCTATCTAAGATTCCTCTCCCCCTGGCAAATTTAGCCTCTCCCAAATTTAGCCCCTCTCTCTCAAGCTGTAAGCAAGACCCCTTCCCCTTCTAGGGCCAGAGATATCAGCTGGGCTGTAGTCAGAGGAGAATTTTGAAGGCATTGCCTTTCTGCCTTCACCTCTGAAGGCCGGTGTTAGGGCCTTGGCAGAAAAGGAGGACCATCCATCAGAGGACAAGGCCAATGCTGTCCAGCCAGGCACCTGGCCAACTCCACACGGCCCATGAAGGGCAGGACTCAGGAAGTCTGTCCTCAGCTCGCCAAGTCTAGTGTCTGGAGACTAGCTCTGGTTCGCCTCCAGACTGGCTGTATGACCTTGGGCAGACCCTCCCTTGACCCACTGCCCTGGTCAGGCTGGCGTTCTCTAAGAACACCTGTCACAATCCCTAGACGAGGTCTGAAAAGAAGGAGCCTCTTCCCCTACCGACAGGAATGCCACCCAGCCTGGTGCAAGACAGAGACCTTGACACCACCGCCCAGGCACACCTCCTGGCTGCAAAATCCAACATATTCACCCAAAGCAGCTACCAGGCAGGTGCCAAGCCCATGGGTCTGCACTCAGAGGCCACTTCAGGCTGTCCAGAGGACTCCCTCAGCCCCCGCTGCCAGGCCAGCCTCCCCCATGAAGCTTTGTAAGCAGGGCCGTCCAGTGCCCGTCCTGGCTCCACCATCCACAGGCCCCTCCGAGCCGCAGTTTGCTCTGCTCTGCGACGCGGCGCACAAACAGGGTGAGCGGAGGCGTCCCTTGCCGACAGCAGCAATGTGAAAGCACATCTCCGGGGTATAAGTGAGGGAGAGACCGTCAGAAAGGTCAAAATCCCAAAGGAAGGCACTTGTGCAGACAAAAGGAGCCCGAAGATAGCCAGTGGCTGAGAACAGCAGGGTAAGAACAAAGACGGACAAGAGCAAACCCCAGCAGCCAGTGAGATGAGTAATTAGGAACGTAATGGTTGGAGCAAAGGGAGGACAAATCTGTGACTGGAACAATGTCAAAGACGGGAAGACCCTAGGTGTTCTTGACAATCCATACCTTGTTGCACCAGTGGGGAGACTGAGGCCCAGAGTGTGCCCAAGAGCACATCACCCGCTAGCCTGTGTCATCCCTCCATCGCTGGACACATAGGTCATTTCTGGCACTTGTCCCAGGGCCCCGATGCTGGGCCCTTCTGGATCTCAGAGAGGCGGGCCGCCAAGCTAGAAGTGTGACCCCACTTTCCTCCCACTCTGGTTCCCTCTGTCTGGCTCTATCTCCTCGTGCATGGAGTGCAGTCCCAGCCTGGCAGGCAGCGGGACCTTCCTCCGCAGGCCTGAGCTCCCGGCTGCAACAGGCTGGCCCGAGGCCCAAGGAATGAGCTCGGCGCCCTGCCGGGGCCCCAGCCACGTGGTGTCTCCACTTCCCCAGGTCGGGGCCCCCGGGGAACTGGACGCCTTGTACTTTGAGCAGAACAAGGCCCAGGAGGAGGCAGAATCAGGCTCCAGGACAGGACTCCAAATCCTGTCTTAGCTACAGCAGTTCAGGAACAGACATGAAGAGAGGGCGGTCCTTGTCACAACCACAGCGGGATGCCAAGGTCCGAGGAGGTTGCTGAGGGCCACCTTGGGCACTCCCCTGCCTCCGGGCAGTGTCTACCCCATCCATCTGCTCTGGAAGGTGAGCTGGAGAGGCAGAGGAGGCATGAAGCCTCCAGGATCAGCAGTACCGCTAATGCCTCAAAGGCTCAGCTCCCTGACCTATGACATGGTCCGTCCTGCCAGCTCTGCTAGCAGAGCTGGGCCAAAAAGGTGAGATGTTATAACGCAGCCCAGCACTCTCCACGGAGCCGGGGCGCGCTAGCTCTGGTTTGCCTCAACAGTAGGAATACAGAATAATCTCCTGGAAGAGCCCGTAGAAGGATCTAGGGGGCCTCTTTACAGTGCTGAGATTCTCCACAGACAGGAAATGCTGGGGCAAGCCTAACCTGCATCCCTCCCACTGCACTTGCAGCCGGTTGGAGTCCTTTCTAGAACATGTGTGCACTTCAAGTGTGCTGACGTGGAAAGACCCCTTGAGGTCACGGTGCTGAGCATGTTTTCGCCCTGCCCTTTTGGAATCCACTAGGGATCCCATCTAAGAATAGTCACGTCAGGGAACAAGAAGGAGACAGGTAGGTCAAGTTCTCACCAGGACCCCAGAGTCACCAGCTGACTTGGGCAGCTCAAGCTCAAGTATGGGACACTGAGGACCACACCCCCCCCACACGCACAACATTGCCACTGCAAAATACTTTCATCTCTCTTGGCCTCAGTCTCCCCACCTGGAAACATGAGGCCTCTGTCACTTTGCTCCCTGCTCCCCACAGTATGAGAATTGGAAAGGGCCCTCAAACCCAAAGGCACCGTGGTAGAAGCTCTTCCCACCCCTGATGGGCGTGTGGCCTTGGGCAAGTCCCAGTCATCTCTGAGACACACACACCCAAGGACTGGGAACCAGGGTTGGGCCTATCCAGCTATAAGCTTGGGGGTCTGCCAGCCTGACTCGCTACACAAGCCTTGCAGGCCCGGCCAGAGGCCACGAGACACACTGTGAGCTATGGCTGGCCATCCCAGGCATTCCAGCGGGCTTGACAGTGAGTTCACAGAGCGCCCGTCCAGCAACACGATTCACCACGTGTTCGTAACTCCTGAGAGGGACCCTTGTCTGAGCTGCGAGCCTCACTGTACCATGCCCAGAACAAGCCAGGACAGCCCAGGAGAAACCCTTTCAGCTCCAGCCAAGTCTGTAACATCTTATATCCAGACCCCTCCTCAGAAAACCACAACACTTTTCATTCTAGCAGGAGTGAGGAGATGAGAGCGTTAGCCTAAACTTTCCTTTGGAGCTTAAGATAGAAGTGCAGAGAGAAGTGTAAGGCAGAAAGCAGCTAACGGTCCAGGGTCGAGTCCTAACACTGCCATCAACTTGCTGTGTGATTTCAGCCAAATTACTGGCCTCTCTGAGCCCTGTCTGCTTTTCTGTCTGACAGAAAGGTCAGGCCAGCTCATCACTAAAAAGTTTCCGCAGCTCTGACAGGCTCTGACCTCTAGTGTCTCCTTCAGGGTTCCCATCGGCAAAAGATTCCCACACACCCTCCTTCCCGACCTGATGCTAAGGAGGCCATGTGCCCGAGCCTAAAGTTCTGCTTGCTGGAGAGAGATGAACTACAGCAAAATCATCACCAGCCCTGCCAGAAATGAGGCCAGCTGTGATCTGGCATGAGGGAATTCGGCTCCTTCTCCTGACATTTCCTCTTGTTAATAAACGCCTAGAAATCGCCTGACCCAAAGCTTTGACAAGAGGACACTTGCAGAAGGAGCACCCCCTGTCCCCAGCCCACCAGCCAGGTCAAGGGCTCGGGAGCACTGGCAACAGGGGGATGGCCCCAAAGATCACTTATGGAACATGTGGGCCAAGGCCATTGCAGACTGAGGCCTGGCAGGGGCAGAGACAAAGCCAGAGGGACTCGGTGACAGGCGGCCCTGCTCCATACACCATCAAATCATATCCAGTGCAGACCCTGCCCATCTGCTGACCATGGCAGCTGGACCAGGGTCAAGAGGACTTTCACGGCCCTCAGGGGCACTGTGTGGCCCCAGCACTGTTTTGCTGAAGAAGGGGGGGTTCTTCCCCCACCCCCAGTGCCTGACACCACAGTGCCATCGTGAAGGACAGGGCAGAATCCTAGGAAGTGAAAGGCAAGGAGCAAGGAAGCAGAAATGAATCGTCAGCTACGGGGGTTCGAGACCGGTGAGGCCCCCAGAGGATGTCAGAGCAGATGGCTTTGACTGAGTCTTGGTTGCCAAGGCTGGAAAACAGGTGTAGCCAATCTCACCTTGGATAATCAGTGAGAGAATCATATGTAGTTCAAATGCCATACAGGTAAAAGGCCTCAATAAATGTTGCTTTGTGGGGGTATGGTTTGGCTACAAGTGCCATCCCCAGTACCGAGCCCCTGGTAGGTGCCCAGTAAATTTTTGTTGAACGAAAAACAAATGAGCGGCCTCATCTGACGTGCAGATAGCAAAATGGCGCCCAGCACCTCAGAGCGAGCAGGTGCTGCCTTCCTGGGCCCAAGCAGCTTGGCCTTCAGCTGCAAGGAGCAAACAAGTACATGGCAGGGAGAAGGCAGATGACACCACTGGGAGGAGGAGAAAGGAGGAGATGGCAGAGGACAATGGGGGCCTGGCCCTGTTGATGGTCCTATGGCAGCAGGGTGGAGAAGAAGCCATCATGCCCAGGTTTCCAGGTGCTTCCCTCCTCCATGCTCAGGAGACTCTGGACCCATTCACTCAATAGCTACACTCTGGGGAGAGGCGAAAGCTCTGGCTGCTGCATTTCAACCCACCCTGGGAAGCCTCAAGAACCTTGGCCATGTCATTCACCCCCCCTATCCCCTGAGCCTCCACCTCCTCCTCTGTAAAGTGTCAATGCCCGGCGGTCCTGCAGCCTCCCAGGATAGAGTCTGAGCAAATCCCACACGGGTGGCCTGGGAGGCAGACCTGGGTGAGGGGACAGGGCCCAGCTGAGATCAGCTAAGGAAGTCAACTGCCCCTCCTCTTCAACTTAGCCTTTGGAAAAACAGGTCCAGAGAGGTGAAGCCATGGGCTTGAAGTTATACAGCACAGACAGCCTCACCCTTCCATGAAACTACAAATAGGAATAACCTATTTACCAGTGCTTACTATGTGACAAGCAGAATGACCCCATGAGCTAGAAGCTATTATCCCCATTTCTCATAAAGGAAAACTGCACTGCAATTCAGGGGCTTTGAGCCAATAATGCCCCAGGGCCTTTGCACCTACTATCTCCTCAACCCAGAAAGTTCTTCCACAGATAGCCACAGGGCTCTCATTCTCACCTCATTAAAGTTTCTCAAGAAGCGAGGAGGATTCTTGGATCAACTCACCTAATAGTCTTTACCCCTAAGCACTCACTGTCTCCCTTCCCCACTCTGTATTAACGCTCAGCACCATCTGACATTCATTCACTCATCGCTCCTCCCCTTGTTCATTGTCTATCTGTCCATGAAAATGGGAACTTTGTCTTGCTCAGTGCTCAGCACTAAGTATAGTGCCTGGCCCACAGGATATGCTCAATATTCACAGGATGGACAGAGAGATGGAAGGATGGATGGATGGATGGATGGATGGATGGAGGGAGGGATGGTTGGATGGATCTCCTTGCCCAAGGTCTCCTGGCTTGAGGAGCAGATCCAGACACCAGCCCAGCCCTCAGAGATGCAAGGTCCTTGCCCTGAAAGAAGCATTAGGTGCTCCTCCTTGCCCAGATCCAGGTCTCAGGTGTTAGACCACCAGGCACAGAGGGGCTGTTGGGCCCAAAAGGTCTAATCTAAGGATGAGGTGCCCCTCTGGTCCTTGAGACCAGGACCTGGAGCTTGGCATACCACACTGGGCCCCACAGGGCCCAGATCCATCCACTACAACAGGTAAGATACTCCTGGTCACTCATGTCAACCCCAGAATCACAGACAAGCCCCTTTCTGGGCACTGCTGAGCGCTCCTGGCCCCCTTCCAGATTCCTCTCAGATTCCAACCTCCCCACAGTCCCTTCTTCATCAACCACCAGCAGAGGGAAGCCCAGATCCCAAGCGGACAATGCTTCCAAGTCTAGGGATTAAACTGTGGACGACCCCATGGGACCTTAAGCCACCAACGGCAGTCAGGCCTGAAAGAAATATGCCTCTGTTGTAGTCTGGGGTCTCCCTCTGCTGGCAGCAAGGACACTATACATATCACTGCAGGGGAAGCCTCAGCTTCCCCTCGTGAGTAATGCGCGCATCAGAATTAAAGTCTCACCCAGCAGGTGAAGACTCTGGGGCATGTGTGTCTACGACATTACTGGCAGCCAGTGAATCTGAGCTCTTGATCCACCATTGAGGTTAGAGGCCCTGGAGGTGGATGGTGGTGCTAGAATCCTGGCTTCCTTACTGACTGTGAAACTGGGGGCAAGTGACTTAACCTCTCTGTGCCTTGGCTTTCTCTTCCTGCCCTGCAGGTGACCAAGCATGAGGAAAGCAATCCCTGCCACGCCGGAGAGTCATGGGCGAAGCCAGTGAACCAGGGGTTACGGCCAGCCTCTCTTGGGGGTCACACCCGCTGTGGGCCCGCTCACATGCCCACCAGCCTCTGGCCTGGCAGGTGCACGTGTGACTGTGGCCACCCCGAGACAACACAGAGACTGAGGGTTTTCCGAGAAAGAGGAGCCCTGATCCAGGCCTAACCATGATTCCCCAGTCCAAGCAGGCCCACAGACACCACTGGCCCAGACAACAGAAGACCCCGGACACAGGACTGCACACACACACACACACACACACACACACACACACACAGGAGAGCCATCCCACAGGGTCCCAGAGCCATGGCAGGCCCCAGCTCCAGCCAGACAGCCACTGGTCAGTGTCCTGATAGCAGAACATGAGGCCCAGAAAGCCCCACATGCTGGCCCACACACTCAGAGCAGAGCAACGGCCCAGCGGATGGAAGCAGAGAACACCCAGGCTGCAGGTGCACGGGGTGGGGGGGTGTGGCCCCTGGGACGTCAGATTCACCCATAGAGTCTGCATAATAGACACGGAAAATCTTTACCGGCCTACCCATCTTGCCCCTCTTGCCAGGAACACCAGGCAGGCCCTGTAGGGGAGAGACAGGGAAGAGGTCACGAGGAGATTCCACAAGGGACAACCAGTGCTGTCCCAAGCCACCCATACGAGGAAGTCCCAGAGGGCTTAGGGAGCAGGTCACACACAGTCACTGTCAGTTATGTGCCCACCACATGGATGGTGCTTCCACTCTACAGGACTGGGATCTTCATGGACCTGAACTGGGGAAACGCCCAGGAGAGCCCCCAGGGTCCCTGGTATTCAGCAGGCGCTCTCTCAAGGTCCTCTCTATTAGGCCTGTTGATGAGGTTACGAGTTGAGTTCCCAAAGATGGGCTCAGGCTGGGAGGCGACTGTCCATGCTCTCAGAATCGAGTCCCCTCCCTGACCTGGGTCCTGAGCACCCACGTCACTTTGCCCAGGTGCCCCCTCCAAGCTCATCTCCTTAACCATTCCTGCCCCGCACTGAGAGCTTTGACGTATACACTGTCAATCCTGCCAAGTTACCGGATTCCCTGACTTTGCACCCACTCTCTCTTCTGTCTGGGAGCGGTCAGCCTTGACCCCTTGGCAGACTCCTATTCAACTCAAGGGCACCTCCTCTGGGAGGGACTCCCGGACTTCTCCAGGCAGAAGGGGTGGGTAGGTGGGCGGGAGGTAAACAAAGAAAGCCTACTCACTCGCTCTCCATCAGACCCTGGCAGGCCGAAGAGCCCTGGGAGTCCAATGTAGCCCTAGGAAAGAGCAGGTAGGGGGTCAGAGGGACCGAGTGGCAGGGTGTGGCTGGCCCGACCCATCCCCGCGCCCCTCGCTGCCCTCCCACATCCAGGTTCCTCTTCCTCGCTGGTGGCAGCAGTGGCTCTGGTGGCTCCTCGATGACACAGGCCTTGAGGCAAGTGTATATGCCCATGGACTGCATGGTGCTGGCTTCCACGATGTAGTCCAAAGGCACATACGCTCACGCCAGGGAAGGGCGCGGGCACTCTCGGGGGGGACGCCCGCCCCGCGCCGGGGCTCCCGGACCTGCAGGAAGGAAGCTCTCGGCTGGATTAGAGGGACACCAGGTTCCACTTGCTCCGAGGGAGCCTGCCGGGTGCCCGTGGCTTCCACGGTGCCTTCTCCTAGGCTGCCAAAGACCCCGGGAATGGGGCTCCCATCTACCCACAGCTGCCTGAGCGCCAGCAGGAGACGCAGCTGCCCCTTGGGCACACGTACACCACTGCCTTTGACCCACCGGGTGACACTGCGGGCTGGCCATCCACACCAACCAGGAAACCAAGGTTCTGGAGAGAAAGTGGCACAAGCAGTCGGGGCACAGCTGGGAGTCCCCTGCCCTCAGATGCACCTAACTTTCTGCCTCCGAGTTGTGGCCGCCACCGGGCATGCCCTTCCTAGCTCAGCGAAGGCAGAGCCACCCCTTCCAAGCTGGGCTCCGAAGCCCTTGCCTCCGACAAGTGGAACCCATCCCTTCCCTCCACCCCCGCGCCATTATTGCTCCCCCATTAATAGGATTCACCACTTTCTCCCATGTATCTTCTATAATCTGGGTCCATATTTCATGTCCTCATTAGCCTGGGATGTCCTCAAGGGCAGGGACCTAACCCCCAGCACCTAGTGTTATCTGTGCTCTCTAAATGTTTGTGGCATGCTTTCATAATAACGCTCCCAAAAGTTAACATTTCCTGAGCACAAACCACATGCCAGGCCCAGTTCTCAGGACTTTGTGTCCACACAGCATTTACTGTGTCCTCCCTACAGCTCCAGAAGCAGGGTATTATCAGTCAGCCCCCTGTAAAGGTGAGAACGTTTAGGCCCCAGGAGTGGAGTGACTTGCCCAGGGCCACAGGGCTGGAGGTCGATAAAACTGGTATTGGAATTTGATTCATTGGACTCCCCGGCAGGCCTCCTAACCACTCGGTTACACAGCTTCCCGCCAGCAAGCAAGCAATGCGGGCTCACAACCATCTCTCCTTCCCTAGTAAGACGAGAGGTCACTGAGCCTCCTTGGCATGCCTGATGAAAACAGCCATCCCTGTAACGAGGAACTTTTACTGATCCTGCCAGCCAGGGCTTCTAGCCCAGATTTACAGATGAGAAAAATGGGCTCTGAGAGGTCCAGCAACTTGCCTGCCGTCCCACAGCTGGATAAGGGCACAGCCGGTCTCAACGTCCGTGGCCCTAATTCCAAAGCCTGTGTTCTAACACCTTCCCAATGATGAGGCTGGTGCTGGCAGGGGTGGGAGGGTGGCTGCAGCCCTCCCAGCTCCCCCAGGCTGTGCAGGGCCTTGTGACCCAGAGAGGAGGGCGCTGCAGCCAGACCAAGTCTGGCCCTCATGTGATCTCAAGATGCCATCCGCATGGCAAACAGCAAACAGCCCCAGATGTCAGCAGCATGTCTCTGGGGCCACAGCTCATGGGATCAGCTGGATACAGGACAGGAGCCGCCCTAGGTCCTTGCATGATGTCACCACTGACATCATCATGTCCCGAGGAACCTGCCCGCCCACCTCTTTGCCCACCTCCCAGACGCTCTAACAGCCACATGTCAGCTGCAGGGATCAAGGCCCAGACTGTGGCCATAAATAGCTTTGGCTCGGGAGTGGAGGACACGTCACACCTGACCTGGCCTGACCGAGAGCTGTGTGACCCACTTGCTGAGCACTCTCCGAGAGGCAGAAAGTCTGGTCCTTTGGACACCTGGGTCCCCGTCCCAGCTCCAGCCGAGGCACGCAGAGTGAACGGCAGCTGTCGGCTCCCCACCATGAACCCGGTTTCCTTGTGCGAGGACAAGGGCATTCCACCACCTCTTTCAAACTCCATCTACTGTCATCTGGTGCACCCAGAATCTTCTCCACCACCCATAGCCCACTTGGGAGCCCCTCTTCAGCAGTATATGTTTCCAAACTCCTGGTAGCCCCATAACCGTGCTAGAGGTAGGAACGGACGTCACTCCCATTGTAAAGATGGGCAAACTGAGGCTGCTGGCTACTCAGGGTTTGCTCCACAGAGGGAGAGCTGATGCTCCCTCAGCCTCTGGGCCTGAGCCGCATCCCTCATCAGCCTCCCCTGCTCTCTAAAAAGGGTCGGGAGGGAAGCAGGAGAGAGGCGTCTGAGGATTCTAATGGCAGACGAAGGAGCCCCGACTTAGGTCCCCTAGCACTCGCGATGTGCTAGGGGACACGGCAAAGAAACGCCTGACCATGGCAGCTGGACCACTCAGCACCCAGCAGAACCTTTGCTGCCCAGTCTGCCTGGCATTCCTGGCTCAAGGTTCCCCATCACCTGCCCACCCTGCTGCCCCCTGGCTCTCCAGAAAGCACTCAGATGGGAGGGCAAAGGCGCCAGACACTGGAGAAAGACCCTGCACACCTCACCTCTCAGCAGGCCAGCTGGGCAGACAGGGAAAGCACCCCCCACCGCCCGGGCCCCAACCTGAGTGGCACTTGCCAAGGCCCACTTACCCGGCTGCCTTTCGGGCCAGGGTCTCCTACTGGTCCTGGTAACCCCTGAAACACAAGAGACAGAGGGGCAAGGACATAGGGGAGCGTTCTCTCTGCTGCCCGCAACCTAGGGCAAGTCTTGCCTTCTTGGGGCCTCAGCTGCCCCTTCTGTAGAAAGGGAGTGGGGCTAGACCTGCAGTCTTCACACTGAGGACTCCACTCTGCCCCAGAGTCCCAGGGGGAGTGGATGGGGGGTGGGGATGGGGAGCTGAGTGGGAGGAGCCTCTAAGGCCCCACCCCCCAGCCCCAGCTCCCTTTCTCAGCATCCTGTACCCTATTGCCCTCAAAGAGAGGGTTCCTCGGTCCAGCCCCCTGAATAGCACTTCCTTCGGGGCCCACCCGGTGGGCACAGCTCCTTGGCCCCCAGCCTGCCGCCTCCCTCTGCCTGGGGGGCACCCGTGGCCATCTCCACACCACCACGGCCACCGAGCTTCCAGAAGCCATATACTGCACCTGCCTGCCAGGGTAACCTTTGGCCCCTGGGCTGCCCTCAGGTCCTGGCTGCCCCTGCAAAAGAACGAGGAGAAACATAAGGAAAGGGGAGACCTTGCCCTGCTCTGGGTCTGGGGGCCGCTGCGGGGCTGGGGCTGACTCACAGTGTGACAAAGACAAGGGCAAGAATGTGAGCTGAATGTGGAGGAAGGGGAAGCCACCGGCCTGCCGGGCCCCCAGCCCACCCCTCTGCGAAACCGGTCAGACCAGCTCAGAAGGACGAGCGAGCGTCCTGCGCCCAGGACTGAGAAGCCTCTGAGGAGCCCTGGCTGGCTCTCCCACGCTGGCAGGGGCTGCTGTTTGACTTGGGCCAGGAGAGCCCAAATTCCTGCAAACCCCACGGCGGCATGCATAATATCCCCTAACATCGCCCGGAATAGGCCAGCTATTCATGGCTCTGGCTGCCGTCGAGTGGCTCGTGCCAACGCCAGCTCGGCGTGGACTCCAGCTCCTCTCGGTCGAGGCAGCTGGGGGAGAGCGGGGCGCAGTGGGGAGGCTGCCCATGGGAGGCAGAGCTGCCTGGTTCTGGGGCTCACTCATGGAACGGGGCCCAGGGAGGAGGCCAGGGCCAGACAGGGGTGGAGCGGGGCGGGGGGCAGGGAAGGGGGAGTGTAAGCAGGGCAGGGCTGAGTCTGTGGCCCTCACCTGTTCTCCGGGGTGCCCCGCTGGTCCAGGATAGCCCTTGTGTCCCTGGGGGAGGAGGGCGGAGTAGGGGGGAAGAAAGGGCATCAGGCCAGGAAGGCATCTGGGCCTGCAGATCAGATGGCAGAGGCCCAGCCGCCCCACCTGCCTTTTCAGCACTGTCTGCTCCGTGCACAGCATGGGTGGAGTATGCGTGCTCGCTGACCACCCGCTGAATGGATACATACAAGCTAGCAGGATGCTTTCGTCTGCCACCAAGGGTGCTCAGACAGAAGCTATCCGGGACGGTGTTTCCCTCCTCCCGCGGGCTTTGTGAGCGGAACTGGGAGACAGCTCCCCGGGGCAGAGTGACGCTATATCCCAACCATTCCTTCCAAATCCAGACAGGGCTGAGCCCATCCAAAGCCAGCCGGGGTAGAGCGAGTTCTCCATGGATGGGTGGGCCCATGAGGACCTTCAGGTCTGGGATACGCGCAACCACCGTGTGCTGCTAGGATCTGTGTCAAGGCCTGCCCTTACTCATAAACCCCCTATCAGGAAAGATCTCACACATACCGACCAAATACGGGAACTGCAGGTGTGGCCCTCCCTTCCTCCCACTGGTCCCAGGTCCCATCCCAGGGAGGAAGAGGCCACCCAAATGCCAGATTGGGAAGGACTCTGGCCACCACCCCTGACCATCTATCACCACGGCCCAACCACCAGGTCTCTAGGTCAAGAGAATCCAACCAGTGTGGGCTTACTCACGGCCCCAGGGACCACCACCAGAGCCATCATTTCCTAAGACTTAGGGGCTCTCCGAAGGGAAACCCGGGACTTCAAACTTCCATTACCCCAGGGCAGCTGTGAGCTAAGACCGGGCAGGGGCCTTCCAGTTTAGACAAATCAGCCACCCAGAGCTCCGTCAGACCCCCCCCGGCACAGAGAGCTCAGGGCTTGGCTCAGATACCGCCCCTCACCTACCGTGCAACGCTGGTGGGCTTCTACCCTACCCTGGACCTCAGCCGAGGGCACAAGCCCTCTCAGTCCCCCTCAGCTCTGGTGTTCAAGGACTCCAGAGTTTACAGCTCCCCTGGATGGCGATAAACAAGACGACGCCTGTAGATCCCCTCTGTGCACAGCTGTTGACCTGAGCCCACGCCTGCACGACCCCCCTCTAGCCCCTACGCCAGCCTGACAAGGTGCGGGTGGGGGGACGGGGCAAGGTCCGGATTATCAACTGCACTTTACAGAGGAGAAAACAGAGTCTCAGAGAGCTTGCTCCAAGTCCCATCGCTAAGAAGCACTGGGCTCCCGCTCGCCGCCGGGTCCTTCTGACACCCAAGGCCACACCAAGAGCCTGGCTGACATTCCGGGCACAGTAAGCGTTCACGCACATCCACGAACACACACAGGCACACGCACTCGGCACCCCCCGCAGGCCCCCAGGAAGCAGGAGTCGTAATTACAAACAGCAGCGTCGGTTGGACCCAAGAGCTCTGGGGGGTTTACAAGCATTCCTTCTGCACCTACTCACGCCTCGGGACGGCTTGCCGAGATGATTACACCTCACACGCGGGGCCTGAGAGTTGAGGCAATGGGACTTGGGCACGACTTCTACCTGGGGAGGGGGCGGCGTGTTCTTTTCCCCCAGGAGCCGATGGAAGCCTAGGCCATAGCCAGGGGCTTGCATGCGGAGTGGCTAAGAGCTCTCAGGTCAGGCTAATCTGGAACTATCCTGCTTCACTCCTGGAGGGCTGTATGATCTGACGCCACTGCCGTCACCTCGCTGAGCCTTGGTTTCCTCTTTTGTAAATGAAAACAAAAGGACTCACACACGGATCACATGATACAACGTGTGTAAAGCACCCAGCCCAGTACCTAGCATTGAATTCAGAGGCCCTGTCGAGACCTGCTGCTGTCACCATCGCGACCTTCGTATTTCATTCATTCATTCAACAAACACTTACTGAACTTGTATGTGCCAGCTCCATTCCAGGCCTGGAATGAGTGAGAAGACAACATCCTTTAGCCTTAATGGAGTTGCAGTCTAATTAAGGGGATGTAAAAACAAATAAATATAAAAGATAATGTCTGGGGGAAGTGGGCAAAGGGAATTTTGGGGGGGGAGGTGTAGAGTTTCAGTTTTGCAAGATGGGAAAGTTCTGGGGATGCCTTTTGCACCATGATGTGAATGTGCTTAGCACTACTGACCTGTAACCTTAAACACAGTTAAGATAGTAAATTTTATGTTGTGTGGTTTCTGCTGTGATTAAAAACTACAATTTTGAAAACGGTGACGGTGCAGCAGGGACCAGCGCTACGAAGAAAAGTGAGCAGAGTCAGAGGACAGAAAGAGGCCGTGTTGTGGGGGGAGGGGGTGTGTGGCTGCAACTGGGACAAATGACGTGAGGCGGTGCTGGCTCTCTGGGGAAAGGCATTCCTACCAAAGGGAAGAGTAGGTGCAGAAGTCCTGAGGCAAGAACCCTCTCGAGTGGGTTGGACGAAGACTGAGGCCTCCACGATGGGAGCAGAATGAGTGAGGGGTGAGGCGGAGAGGGGCGGGTGGTTAAGAAGAAGCCAGAAGCCAGACAGGAGCATGGCAGCAACCCACAAGAGGATTTTGAGCAGGGATGTGTCGTGATAGGACACACGTAATCGTCTTTCTTATCCTTTCTCCACTTGAAACTTGCACACGAGGAAGAATAAGCAAAGCCTTTCCCACAAAGAGCAAAACTGAGCCTTGAGCTCAGGCTGTGTGACTCTACCCAGGCAACCGCCCTCTCTGAGCCTCACTCTGCCATTCTCAGCCTGCCTGGGGTTGCTTCCAAAAGCTGATGGAATAATGGGGTGAGAATCCCCAGAGAACCAAGAAAGGGGACCAGGGAGCCCCTGAGCATCACCAGCTCCTTTGGCTTCACCTGCAGTCAGGAAGAAATCTGTTGGAAACCAATGCTCCCACAGAGAAGTGTTACCAGGGAGATCCCAGAAGATTTTAAGTAAACCCTTTACTCAGGACACAGAAAAAAAGGAAATGCATGATCTTCGGGGATAGGGACACAGGCCTGCCCTTTGCCTGGCCTGGTACTAGAGCCTTAAATAAATACATCAGCTCATCAACTCCCTGCCATCACCCCTAGCAGGCAGGCATGGCCATGCACACATGGCAGACGAGGAAACAGAGGCTCAGAGAGGTAAAGAGACTTCCCTGAGCCCACACAGCTTCTCAGGGGCAAGGCCAAGGTATGACTCTAATCTCTAAAGCCTAACCACCCAATCATGGGATAAGACATATGTATTGAGGGCCAAGGCCCACCTAGAAGGACACAGAGCCACGTAGGGAGAGACCCTATGTGTGTAGGGTATGTAGGGTGAAGGTGTGTAACCTTCTTCCCCAAGACAGAGCATATGGGTCACTACGGGATTACCAGAACAGAGGACCATCACACGGAACCCTGGAGTATCTGAGTTGGAGGGGACCTGCGCCATCGATCTGACCACTTTTCTCATTAGACAGACTTACCAGGGGGAAGGGACTTGTGCAAGGTTCCTTAGCAAGTTATGGCAAAGCCCAGACTATTCCCCCAGGACTCCTGACACCACCCCCACCCCGCCCCACCCCACCCCGGGCTGTGCTTCGTCCAAGAGGCCACGATTCCTAGGTCTGTCCCAATCAGTGGACCCTGAAGGTCCTTGCACGTTGCTGTGAATGACCCACTTCTGGCTGGCTGACAGCAGGAGAGGCTGAGCACGACCATGGCGTGGGGGGAGGGCGGGGGGAGGTTCCTGTGCTCCCTGGAAGTACCTTAGCAGTGTTTACCAAGCTGGGGCCAGCCAAACAGCTTCAAATGACAGGGCCCCAGGACCTGGAAGAATCCTAACCATGATCTTCTCCTGGGCCCCAGCAATTACGGGGTGAGTGCTAACCGCAAGGTGGACCCACGGGCCGTGATTTGCCCCTGTGTGATGGGTGCCTGGCGGGTACTAGGGGAGGGCCGGTGCTTCCAGGGAGCTCCAGGGACCACGGAGTCTGTAAGGGGCCTCTGGCGGCCTGGCAGGCGGGTCTCCACAGGACCCGTGTTTATAATAGAACTTGGTCTATATTTTGGTTTGGGAGCCAGATTAATCATTGCTTACAGTGCGCAAGGAGAAACCAGACATCACCTCACGGTGGCTGCAGACAGTCTCTCTGTTGGCCGGGGTGCTATTTGGGCTTCGGGCAGGGAGCATGGGGTGGAGGTGGGGTCCTGTTCATACCTGGGGGTCCTGGGGAGCAATGTGTGCCTAGATCTTAGCTGGTTCCCCCACTCTACCTCAGAGTGTGAGCAGCTTCCTAGGCTGTAAAACGGAACTCGCCATGCTTGCCGAGCACGCCACGAGACTCCCTAAACTTCTCGACCACCTCCACAGCCCACTGGGGGCCGTCAGCGGGACAGAGAGCCCCACTGGACAGAAAGGATCAGCGAGGAAGACACAGGCCAGGAGGCTGAGTGACTCATTCCATGATACTGCCCAAGTCCCTGCTCCTCTCTGGACCTCAGTTTCCCCCCACTGGCGTCTCAAAGCCTTGTGTCGGCTCAGAAACTATAGGATTCGGAACGGGTGGTTTGTCCAAAAGCACAGTCCTTCATGACCCATGAGCCAAACTCTGCTCACTGGGTACCCGAAACAGGTCGGGCAGGAACCCACCATTTCTGTCTGGCTCATTCATTCAACTAGGGTTTGCTGAACCCCAAACATGACCCTGCGTTAAGCGTTAAGCTCAAAGAATAAACTGGTGAGTAAAACAAACTCACTCCCTACCTTCTGGAAGGTAACACATATTAAGCGGACTGAAGGAGAAGCGCTCTTAGCACTGATGTGCTAAGACAGTGTAGATAGCCAACCGGAGGGAGTGGCATTGTAAACAGGCTTGAAGGAGGGGCCGGGTTGGACAGCAGAGCTCAGAAACAGCAGTGGGCCTGGGCTCCAGAAGCCCAGAGCAGCCCAGCAGCAGGGGAATCTGGAGAAGGTTCTCGGGAGGGGCTCTGCATGGAAGTGGCCAACTCTGGCAGCACAAGGAGAGCCTGTGGGCAGGGGGAGGGTTGCAAGAGGGAGCCGGGAGGAAGTTTCAACTGCAGTCCCAATTTTCTTCCATGAGTCATGTCTACATGGGGCGATGTGTTAAGGATTCTGAGGCCGCATCAGGGCTTGACAGGAAAGATGAATGAATGATGTCTGCCATAGGCAGGAGAGGAGGGAGGTATGGGACAGGGCAGATGCATGCATCCAGCACTGTGCTCAGCCCCCAAGGAAACAAGGGTGAACACCTGCTACAGTTGATGAATGCCGCAAGGACACCCGAGAGTCCTGCCAGCCTAACGGGCAGAGACCCAGAAAGGCTGAGCAGGTGGGCAGGATGATCAGGGGAAGGAGGCGGGACTTCTCTTGAGGGTGCCAGGAAAGTGCTCCTGGAGAAGACGGTGTTGGAGAATAGAATTGAGGGACAGACGCGAGAAGATGAGCATGGAAGGTCAAACCAGGGGAGGGCACAGTGTAAGCAAGCGCAGGGAGGCAGGAAAGCCCGGGATGGAGCCGCTGACATGGTGGCTGGATAAGTCTTGGCTGGGGAAGGGCGGCTGTCCTGTGCATTGCAGGATATTTAAAAGTATCTCGGGCTTCTACCTGTTAGAAGCTGGTAGCTTCCCTCTCCCACTGGTTATGGCCAAAAACGTCTCCAGACATTGCTAACTGTCCCCTGGGCTGGGAGGGGGGCAAAATCACCCCCAGTTGAGAAGCACAGCTCTAAGGAAAGAAGGCAAGATGGTCAGACCAGGGACAGCACAGGATTCCACCCTCCCAATGTGCAAACAGGGTTCTGGTAGCCTTCTTGGCTAGTGGAGGGTCATTACCTGGTAACTAGGCAAGATGACTGATGGTACCAGATGGACAAGACCTTCAACGCTTTTCCTTCAAGATCGCCATCACTCATTCATTCAACAAACACGCACGCAGTGCCTATGGTTCCAGCCCCGTGCTAGTGCTGAGGCTAGAACATCTCATTCCACCCGACTTCTCCATGAATCTCAGCAGAGGCTCAGCGAGGTGAGGCCACTTGCCCAAGCCCACACAGCAGGAGAGGGGACAGAGCTGGGTTCCATCCAGGCCTGTCTGGCCTGGTCTGTGCACCGGCCCAGCCCTCGGGGGTTGGCTCAGCAAAGGCCTTCAGCAAACATCACAGGCAGATGGCAGACAAAAGGACCTTCTCAGCCTGGGATGCTATTTTTCACTTAGCGGGCCCTCTCTTATTTGAAAAGCTGTCTTAGGCAGCTCTAGGCAGAGAAAGGGCTTGAAAGTCAAGAGACCTGGGTTCAAATCCCAACTCTGCGGCTTAGCGACTCTGCAGGGTCTGTCCGTCAAAGCAGCAACTCTCAGTCTCGATAGCTCATGAGAATCTTGTACCTGGATCCCACTCACAGCAACAGGACCAGAGCCCCTGCCCACAGCCCCCAGCTGGATCTAGTCCGGGGGGCGCTGCTACTGAATTTCTTCTCCACGAGGCCCTCGGTGAGCTCGTTGGCGTTCACTCAACACCTGCGCCAGCACTGCTGACCTGGGTAAGCCTGGGACCTAAGCGCATATTTGTTGAACGACTAGAAGAATGAGTGATCAAGCGAATGAATGAATGAGGTCGATCTGGGCCTGTCTTCTCAGCTGTAAGATAGGCTTAATAGTGCTATCGTGAGGACACAATGTGACAAAGGAGAGTCACTCCTATGCCACCTCTAATTTGCCACACGACCTAACCTGGGAACCCTCCCAACCAAAACTCCCTTTCTCCTGCCTATTTTTGTCCATTTTCCATTTAACATTCCATTTTTATTGTTTTTCTTTTCAGTATCTCTCACCCTACCATGCACACAAGAATGCAAGCTCTGGGGGGACAGGGATTTTTGTCTATTTACTCAGCTCCCCGCCTTGCAACCTGCCTGGCACATAATAAGGATTCAATCACTTCTGTCGAATAAATGAACGAATGGGATTATGGGTGCCGTCCTGAGATGACACCCCAAGTCAATGGGCCAGTGAGCAGAGGATGCCGACTTCACTTGTCACCCAGGGTGGTGTCCCCTCTCCCCCAAGTCTCCCCACACAAGACGATGCAAAGAGCCACTTAAGAGCATCAGGACAAAGTGGCTGCTGTTGTCACTGAAGACACTCATGGGAGGAGAGAGTGCTTACAAACCGTGATGCTTCCAGGTACCATTCTACCCATCGGTCTTCCTCTCGGCCCTCACGACTGGTCAGGGATCCCTGCCTTGGGCCCCGAGGCACCGCCCCACCGTGATCTGCCCACCAGCCTGCCACAGACCAACTCCTGCATTTCTGCCTGAGCCGGGGCCCTGGGGCCTCTGTGTCAATGGTTTTGCGAGTTTTTCAACCGCACAGAGACTCTTCCTTAGTTGAGAAAAGATGCTTCTCCCTTCTCAGGTGAGCTTGTCCCTCTTGGATGGGGGCTCTGGGCCTCCCTGGACATCTGCTGAGAACAGGGAGCCCTGGAGCCCCGGCAGGAGCGGGTCTAGCCTGCTTTTCCCATCTCCTGCCGCCTCTGCTAGACTCCCACCCCCATGCAGAGCAAGACCACCACTGGCTGCTTTATGAGCCACCACTGGAAGAGACTTTTCCACTCACACCTCATCCATCAGAAAGTGCTGGAGCACAGAGGGGAAGCGAGTGGGGAGAGAGAGTCCCTGTGTTCTCTGAACCAGAAAATACCATGTTTCCCCAGCTCACAGACAGCCACAGACTCCTGTCTGGGTCTGGCCTCTCCAGATGTATGCTCTGGCCTGCTCTGGCCATGGAGGGTGGAGAAGATGCAGGGGACATGACGCTTCAAGTGCCACAGAGACCCTCAGAGCAAGGACAAGATGGAGCCAGGAGACACCAGATCTGTCCAGAGAAGAATCAGATGGTCCAGAGAGCCGGTGGCTGTAGACAGAGCGGGGAGCCAGGGCAGAAGCCAAAGACGTGGCTCTAGGCTGATGAACCTCCCGGAATCCCCATCAGTAATCCTGCAAAACTAGTTGACCCTTGGCCTGCATTGTCCTCCCCACCCCCCACCCCCATTTCCTGAACACCTACTACACACAGGCCCTGTGCTAGGCTCCGTAGGGAGAGTGCCAAACCAGATTCACGAGCCCTGATCCGTGAGGCTAGACTTCGGGCTGAAAATAACCAAGATGGGCAAATAGTCCTTGAGCAGAGTGGAGGCTCCTGGACTGAAGGCTGGGGTTCCAGGAGGACTGTCTAGAATAGGCATGAGCATGGCTGAGTCCTGAAGGATGGCAGACCCGGGCCAGGAGGCTAGAAAGCCCACTGCACAAGGCCAACCATGGAAAACAAAAGGTGTACCTTTCGTCCAAGAGGTCCTGGATTCCCCGAGAGCCCAGGCAAGCCCACGTCACCCTGCAAAACACAGACAAACAGGTGAGGCATGGGGAACAGGAGCAGAGACACTCGTGAAATGGCAAGGCTGTCCTCACTCGGCCAACTGTCTGCGACCAGGAGACAGTTGGAGGCCCAGAGGCCTCTGGCGGAGATGAGGGCAGTTCAGTGGGTGGCTACCCAGCCCCTCCCCACTAACCCAGTCTCTCCCCTTGATCTATTTTATACCCTGGACGTTGGCACAAGACACCATCTAGGGAACAGGGTCTGCTGCTAAAACCGTGTCTGAAAACCACTACCCCAGGGGACACACCACTTGTCTGTCCCTTTCCAATCTGCTCTTTCTCTCTCTCTCTGCATTCCTGAGAATGAGGTCCTGAGACCTGGTCCTGACACCCCTTCTCTTCTGCCCTTTCCTCCTCCTGGCTGGGCCTGGTGGGCAGTAGGGGGCATTTTTGCCTTGAGACCTGAGAACGGACAACTCGGGAGCAAGAGAGAAGCCTGGGCTCTTGGACTTCGTCAGACCTGGGTACAAATCCTACTCTGCTCCTGACCAGCTCTGTGACCTCCAGCAAGCCACTTGCCTCTGAGGACTCTCTGTTTCCTCATCTGCAAGCCGGGCCCATCTGTCCTATGCTACAAGGCTTCGATGAGGAGCACAGGGGCATGTGCATGGATGTTTACACCCACGGAATGTTTGCTGCATGAAAAAATGACCTATAAGGATGTGAAGGAATGAGCCACCTAGGTCTTGGGGAAATCAAAGGGACCTTTGGCTTCTACATGCCTAAGCACAGGAGGCTGGGTTGAGAAGCTGTGCTCTGTCTGTCAGGAAGGCTCTTGGACTTGTGTCCAGTTTCCATGAGAAACTTCGGGTCCCGTAGCCCTTCAGAGATAGGGAGCCCTGAATCTCTGGCCCAATCCTTTCCCACCTCCTAGAAATCCACAGACCTGTCGGCTCAAATTAACCCCAGAGGCGATTTTGAATGTTTGTTGGAAGCTTCCTGGGTGTGTGCTAGCAGAAAGCTTCTGCACGCCAAGGTCACCTAGAGGGCCCTACAGAAATGCAGGACATTACACAAAAGATCACTCGCCAAGGGTGTGTCCACAGGCAAAAGCTGTTGTCAGTCTTATGGGCTGCACCCCCAAAGAAAGTGCAGGGAAGGACTCTGAGTTTGGCACGAGGAGAGCTGAAGGACTTCAAGGAAAACACCAAAACCACACTCTTCTCTGGCTACTTTGCCGCCTCCCGCCTCTGACACGCAGAGGCCTCTGCCAGGGCAGGGAGGGTTCCCTACGGTCCACTCCCCCACTGTCCTCGACGCTGGGGTCCCTGGAAACCTACCTTCGCCCCATCGAGGGCCTTTCCTGGTGAGAGCCCTGGGTCCCCCTTCTGTCCCTGAAAGAAAAATAATTCTTTCTAGAGTCATCTAGAGAGGCTATCTCCCCACAACCTCTGCTCAAAGTCCTGTCCCCTGTTAAAAATGCCTTCCCATCCATCCCCCTCAGTCACACACCTCTGGGGGCGGGGGTGTGTGTCTTTTCCAGTTCCGTTCTTCCCTGCCCTAACACCTTCCATAGCTCCCCACTGACGGCACGAGGACATCTCTGAACTCCTCCTTTGGTGTCCTGTGTCTTCTACCATCTGGTTCCACCCACCCTCTGCAAACCTGGCTCTCTTTCCAGTTGCTAAACCCACACACAGGGTCCCTCTACTCCTTGCCAGACCTCAGCCCATCAGCCATGCCCTGTACTTCCCTCCTGCCAGCTCCTGGCTCAGGCCGTCACCCCTGCCTAGAAAACCGTTCCTCAAGTAGCATTCACCACACTATAGACATTTTCCAAGATGCAGCTGGAAGGTGTCCTCCCCACCAGCTGGTAGATCTCTGAGGACCAACCAATCCTTGCACATGTGTGTTGCTAGGACTGCCTCCTGACTTGTTTCCCCTGGGCTCTCAGAGCTCTCCTGAGAGACACGTCGAGGAAGCATGCCCGATTCTTCTTGAATTTCTAGTACGCTCACCTCGCTGTTCTCCATTTACCGAGGGTCAGCGTGGTAAGACCCACTCACGTCTGTGCGCAGCCCCTCACCGTGTGCGGTACCCTGGTCTCACGAGATTCTCACAGTATCCTGATGGTGCGGGCAAGGGAAGTGTTATTACCCTCCTCCCCATCCACTTAGGGAAACTGAGGCTAGGAGGAGGAAAGGGATGATCTGAGGCCCCATGTTGAGGCCCAGGCAGAGCTAAGACAGACTCCTGAAGTTGTCATTCCCAAATCTGTGTTCCGGGAGGTCCTGAGATCCAAAGAATAGGCAGTACATCGGGGAGAAACCAGTAAGCGGCGGGTTCCCAGTCAGAGACAAGCACCCTTTGTGCCTAGCGTATGGGAAGGTCCCCGTCGCGAGGATCCTGGCTCCTCTGAGCACGAGGCTAAGGGACGGGACCGGCGCGGTACCACAGCTCTCTCTCTTCTGGCGCTGCCGAGGGCTCCTGGCTGCCAGCCTGCTCCTTTGGCCCAACGTGGCTCAGTTACTCAGAAAACAGTCCTTTGGAGAATCGGTCCACCCTGATGTCACCTTCCAAGAACCCCTGATCTCTACCCCTCGTGCTCACTCCCACACTCCCTCCCCAAGCTGGGCCCTGAGTCACAAGCCCTGGGCTGAAGGCAGGGAATCCCAGAGGGACCTCGGGCAAATCACTTCACATCTCTGAGCCTCCACTTCCTAGCCTTAAAATGGGGGCTGCACAACAGACACGCGCACATGGACACGGCACACATGCGCGTGATGGCACACACACACCTGCACACAGGTACGCGCATGTACATGCACACATTCACATGTAGGCACGTGCGTACACATTCTCTCACACGTAGGTGCACGCACATGGGCACACTCACACATACGCATGGGTGTGTGCTCACGTACACACATGCACACGGGCGCACGCAAACACACACAGGCACATGGGTGCACGCTCTCATACACGCACGCACACACATCCACCAGCGTCTTGGGTTTCTTGGCAAGGACCCAGTGAGATAATGGATGTGACCCATGGGACAGGTAGTTTGGCCAACTTTAATTAGCTCTCATTTTGTCCCTTTCTTCATCGGAACCCAGCCCTTCCGAATCCTGGCTCCACTGCTCTCCACGGGAAGCCACTACACTGGAACTGGACAGAGCCATAAAGAGGGCACGTCTCTCTGCCACCGACTCCATGTCTAACACTGTGTCCATTCGTCCTCTTAACACTGGTGGTTGCAATTCAGGACTGAGCCCCAGGTTCAGAGAGGCCGGGTCACTGCCTGGGGTAACATGCAGTTAAGAGGCAAGGTCCTCCCAGGTCTGGCTTGTGCCCGCTCAGTCTGACTTCGAAGTACTCATTTACTCGTTTATGAATGAAAAGCCTGGCTGCTTCTCCAGCACTCCCTCTGACCGGGTGACAGTCATCCCTGGGGGGAGACCAGGCCCTCCCTGTTGGAACACCAACCACCTGTCCATCTGGGCCCCTCCAGGTCACTTCTGGAGAACCCACCCTCTGGGACCTACCACCTCACCTTGGCCGCCCTCACATACATCTCCCACCCTCGGCTCCTCACAAGTCCCACTCCAATGCCTTTTATGTCCATAGCGCAAATACAAAGCCAAGCTCAGGGCTACCAAGGATTCCAATGGCCAAAAAAGGACAGCAGCTTCTCCCCACCCCGCCCTCGCCCACCTCAGTCTGTGGCTGGTAGAGCAGCTGGGCTTGAGATGCAGTCAGGGGTGGGCCTTCGTGTATCCTGTTCTATTGTTTTATAAAAGGGGAAACCAAGACCTGAAGATACGATGGACTTGCTCCCTTGTCCGGGCTCCTTACCTGGGCCATTTCCATCATGGGTAGATTTCTCTCTGCATTCTCAGCAGCCAGCAAAGTGCTTAGGAGGTAAGCCCTACCCAAGTACAACAGCCACAAGTACAAATACACAGTGAACATCTACTCTGAGCCAGGCTTTGGGGTGAACACAGAACACCGCCATGGGGAACATGGCACAGTTCATGTTCATGGGGGCCTCTTGAAGGAGAAACCAGAGACCAGTAATGATAATCAGTGCTAGCATTTACTGGGTGCTGTTCTGAGCCCTGGACACATAAATCCATGAGGTAGCAACGGTCACCATCCCATTTCACAGGTGGGTAAACTAAGGTACAGAGAGGTTAAGTCACTTATCCAAGGTCGTACAATATGTAAATGGGACTTTGACCCAGGCAGAGGGTCTGCTTTCAGAGCCCAAGCTCTTTACCTGTCAATACACTACAGATTAAAAACTACCTCCAATGTTAAGTGGAATAAGGAGGACATCAGGGAGAACTTGACCCAGACAGAGGGGAAATCCCTGAAGGGAGTTCCAGCTAAGCTAAGGCTGGAGGAAGTCAAGGAGGGAGGCAGATGAACTTTCAACTCCAGGGATGCTCGAAGCACCCCTGGTCAGGTGAAGGTGTGACTTCTGGGATGGAGAAGACTATATGGCTTCCCAGCCAGACTCCTACAGATTCCCCAGTGAGAGAAAGAAGGAATATATAAGTCTAATTAATTGCTTACACATTGGGTAAAATGAGAACCTGGTTGCCAACCCAGCTCTCCAGCCAACAAGCCTATGTGACCCAGGGCAAACCCCTTTCCCTTTCTGCGTGGGGATTGGTACTCCCTCCGAACTCATTAACAGAGCCTCTGGGAACTAGAAGACAGATGGGAAGGTATATTCTTAGCCATAAATGCTACAAACATAGTGGGAGTGGGGACTGTGCTGAGCTCCTTTTCTGCAGGTAGGGTTGAAAAGCAGAGGAATAGAGGGTTCTGAGAGGCCGAGGTCTAGAGAGGGACTGACACAAAGGAGGAACACATCGTGAAAGATTGGGAAATTCTGGGCCAGAAGTCCCCTGCATAGGTCATCTCTAATCCAAGTACCCAGCACAAGGCCTGGAACAGAGGAGACATCATAAAATATTTCACAAATGAGCAAATGAATGAATAGAATCTCAAGAGACAACTCTAAGGCTGGGATTGGCTCAGACGGGCTCTCACTGAAGACAGCCTGGGCCTCCCACTATCACTATGTCATGTGTTCAGAAGTTCCGGCCAATGCAATAGAGCAAGAAAAACAAATGGGACAATGAGGCTTTGAGGAAAAGGAGACAAAAGTATGTCCTTTTTTGCAAGCAATATGAGGACCTGTCTAGAAAATACAGGAGAACTAACTGAAATACTGTTAAAATCAATAAAATCACACAGTACAGGGTGTGGTTATAAAATAAACACAAAAAGTACAAAAATACAAAAGTCAACAGTCCTCGTCAGTAGCTGACAGCCAGCTAGAAAATGGAATGGGGAAAATATTTCATTCGTAACAGCAACAAAAATATAAAATTTCTAAGCAAAAACCAGAGCTGTGCTGGCCTTATACAATAAAACTTATAAAAGTTTACTAAGAGATGTTTAAAAAACTCAACCAAATGAGAAGACATGTTATGGTTTTAGATAGGAAAATGTAGTATTTTAAAACTGCTAATTCTTGGGTGCCTGGGTGGCTCAGTGGGTTAAGCCTCTGCCTTCAGTTCAGGTCATGATCTCAGGGTCCTGGGATCAAGTCCCACATCGGGCTCTCTGCTCAGCAGGTAGCCTGCTTCCCCCCCTCTCTCTGCCTGTCTTTCTGCCTACTTGTGATCTCTCTCTGTATGCTAAATAAATAAAATCTTTAAAAAATAAAAAAATAAAACTGCTAATTCTTTACAAATAATATACACATCTAATATAATTCCAACAAAAATCCCAAAGATGTTTTTAAGGAAATGATTAAGATGGGCATTAAGTTCATCTGACAGAATAAAGAGCCAGAAATATTTTAAAACAACAAGGAAAGAAGACACAAAAAGATCATAGATGTCATATAAAGTAGTATTTTAGCAAAAAGTATACAAACAGAGCAATGAAACATATTTGAATGGTAGTTTGGCCAACTTTAATTAGCTCTCAAATAGATCTATTCCCAAATAGACCTCACTCTATCATCTGATAAGCAGTAGAGTCAAGGTTATTTAATAAATGGTTAACTGTGGGGGAAAAAAATAAAGTTTCAGCCCCATCTCATACCCACCCCCTGAAGAAGATTAACACCATATGGTTTAAATTCTTTAAGAATACAAATGAAAAAAAAAAAAAAAGAATACAAATGAAACTATGAAATTACTAGAATATAAATGAATACCTATCTGATCATGTGGTGGGAAAAAAATGTCCTAGTATAAACGTGAGGAACGATAAATTTTACATATGGGAGGAACTGTCTCTAAACTCCTGACATAAGTTCCTCATAAGTACGTGTTAGCTGTTATTGTTAGTCCAAAAAAAATAGATA